GACAATCACTCACTAAACCAACTAAGAACAACTAAAAAAAACCAACCCCTAAACCAACTACAAACCTAAACATGCCCCACTAAACCACTCAAACAACTTCCCAAAAACACCTAAGGAACTGGAGGATTCTCCGGTTGAACGCGTGACCTGGACTCACCGAGCCCCCGCCCAGCGCAGGCCTGGCAGTCGGAGTGTTGCTGCTGCTCTTCGGTGAGCTCTCTTTGTAGCTCCGCCTGTCCACCCAGCAGGTCCCGACATTTTCCCAGACCAAAGTTAAAAACCACCACAAAAAATGGGACATGAGCCCCAAGATGTTAGTTGCGAAGCTGTGCTTGCCGTTTTTGGGAGGCCACTTTTGCCGGCACGATTTGTCCAATCACGCAGTCTAAGTGGCGCAGCGCCGGGGGGCGTGGGCCCGCAGGCGAAGGGACTGTGTGGCTGGTAAGCATGGTCACAGGTCAGAAAACAAAAGGACAACCAAAAGGACAACCAACAAAAGGAGAACAAAAGGTTGAACCTCAAAGCAAAGCTCAACCTGACATCGAGGTTCAAGGCCAGCTTGATGCAGGGACACTCGAGCACCGAGAACAAGCTTGACCTTGTTCTCACTCAGACCAGTCTTGGACACCCGGCCCATGCAGCTACCTCGGTCCCGTCACTGGCGCGTCGCAAAGCGACGGGCGTTTGCAAGCTAAGCGAGCAGGCGGCGATTTCGGGCAAAACCGCTGGGAAGAAAGCGGCTGCTAGGAGGGAGCAAGACAAAAGCGACGCCAGTTGACTTGCTCTCCTTTGAAGCCACCTTTTTGCAGGCTGCAAAGCCAAGCAACCGAGAGGAAACAGCGGCCACAGTTTGCGACTCTGCAGCCTGCCGGTTGACATCACGCTGTTAGCAGAAATTGCTGCGGGACAGCAGGGAACTGTGTTGCCAAGTTGCCTCCCGATAAAGCAGGCCAGGCATTCCGAAGCGGAACGTAGCTAAGTAAGCAGCGTGTTACATGACGAGAAGCTCGCGACATGCAGCCCGTGTAGCCCCATGCCTTCACGCCGTCAGATGCTGAAGAGCCAACGCGGAAGCAAGCGTTGGAGTGCAAGTGGAGATGCGACGAAGCCGCCAAGCCGCTCGTCTATGATCAGCGACGAATGCCTAGCCAAGAGGTTGTCATTACTTGATTGAAGCATCGCGCTGGGTTTTTTGCATCCACAAGACGCACGGAGCAATTAAGTTCGATTAGGTGAAGCGTGTGGATAGCCTTTCGTTTGCGCAAATGCTCCTGCTCTCCGAAGGAAAGCCATACCCGACAAACTCGTTGGGATGTTGGTGTCTTGTGGTTGGCCCACACCCGCAAATCGTGCACCCCTTTGTTTCTTTTGCTGGTTTACCGACTCAATTCAGGACAATGGAGACTAATCCCAAGAAACATCTCACTTGGCCACTGCCCAGTGGCCAAGGGAGGAAAGGTACACCTTTGATTGGGTTTCAAAGCGAAACTGTCGACACCCAACAACAAAGCAAGAATGATATGCCTCGATGTGTTGCCGCAACATGCCCGGGATTCAATGCCCTTCACTGCGCAACTCCGCAAATTAGGCACTCAGGTGTCCCTTCAACGCGCTCCAAAAAAGGGCTCCTTGAACTAAGAAGCCACTTGTAGTACATAGCTCGGTGAGCCACAACCGTTCTTCTCTTTCAGCTTTTGTGCCCGCTTTACACATCCTTGCTAGGTTGCAGCATTGAGTAACTATCATGCTGAAATGGCTCATGCGTACTATTAAAATGAATTTCACTGGTAAACACTCAACCCCAACAAAATGACACCTTACTAACACGTGATATAAACCTGACATGCAAACATGTAAGAACATAAAAACACCGCCGCCAAGAGAGTCCCACCCCTTTCTTCTGGTTGTTGATTGCGACCAGTCCCTGCAGGGGCGATTCAAAGGCTTTCATGTCTATCCTTCTACCTAGAGGATTCATTTGCCGGCTTGGATGTCTGACCAAGTTAGTGGTTCGCCACTTGGATCTATTGCTTTGGAGATTTGAGATCCCTTCTCTAAGCCACTGAACTAAACGGACTGGATGTCCATGGAAAAGTCAACCAAACTTGTTTGGTACTTGAGGTTCTAGGAAAACCGACAAAGAACAACAAGGGCATCACTGGAGATCGAGAATTTGCGCGCCTCATGAAACCGAAACATGAGAGATATGTCTTTTCATGATGGACCCGCTTTTGGAGGGCTTCAACAAAAACAACAAAACCGGCATGGTGCGTCCGGCATGTTCGGGCGCGATTCCCTTTCTGTATCAGATCTACAGTCCACCATGCCCCAAGAAACTCAAAAGTAGTTGGTGGACAAAACCAAAGGCTCCCCCCAACCACGACGCAGAAGTTTCCTAGAAACTTAGGGTGAAACATGACTCTGAGAACCTTCCTGGCCGCTAGGGAGAGACCTCCAAATGGGTGTCTCCTATTTTCAGGGTACCACTTGCTTGCGGTGTTAAAGAGAAACCAAAACGAACGCTTTTGCTTTGCCCTCTGCCAAATGGGGGAAACAAACAAATACCCTTTCTTTTCTTGATTGCTTCTGAAGGAAGCCCTCCGAGAAACAAAACACACAGATGCGCAGGTCCTGGGAGCGACAATTTCCAGCCCATTGGCTTGCGAAAAGGAATCCACTCCTTTTTTGTTGGTTGCTAAAGGGAAACCCTCCCTTTGCAATTTTGCCATGGAAAAATATGTCCAACAATGATAGATGACCTTTAAAACCAAGAGGGGAAAATAAACGAAAGCAAGTCTCAAGCAAATAGACTGAATAAGCCCTTCCCCAAAAAAGGAAGGGCAAACCGGTTACTTGCGAGGTGGGGGCGATTGAGAACCAACATTTGTTTGTGCTCAAAGTACTTCTCGCGCCGATGGGAAGCTGCACGCTCCCACGGGAAAATCCACGCAGCTCGGAGGCTTTCACCGCTGACCGCGCCTGAAGCTTCTCCAATTCTGAGCGCATCCCCTTCTCATCGGCCGCCTCCTGAAACAAACAAATCTCCGGCTGGCCCGGGTATGGTTTTGCGGGTCGCTGTCAAAGAGAAACCCCAACTTCGGGAAATCATAATCTTCTGGGGGTCCCTACTTTTGGACAAATAAATAGATGTGGGCTGAAAAAAAAACAGTTCTTCAAACCAAAGAGCCCCCAAAGTTGTGTCCTTCCTTTTGGCTTTGCTTGAAACAAAAAAAGTACCCTCACAAACTACACGCCATGGCCATGAAGATTTGGGGGGGCCCAACTAGACAACATGTAATAAAGAGCTTATGTTCAATTTGGCCATGGCTCAAAAGCCAAATCGTACCCCCAGTGTACATCCGATTCAATCCCCAATGAAATAGGTTCTGAAATGGGTGGTGCCCCGAAAACCCCAAAATGGGATCTAAAACGGTTTTGACGACCACAGCCATTTGAAGGTCGCATTCCGCTTTGAACACCTCCCGCCACCTCGCCACACCCAGGCGACCCAAACGCGCGGATCGGATCCACCGGCCTCCTGCCACTTCAACTTCTGGGCGGCCAAGTCCGCCTGAAACTTCGCCCCTTGCGCCGCCAGCTCCTGTCTAGAATCCTCAAAGTGGGCTTCAGCTTCCTAGCTTCCTCTTGGTTTCCCTGGCAAACCCATGAAAGGTACACCTCCAAAGAAGACACACCCATGTGGCGGTTTTTGACAGGGATGGGAAGGCAGGGTTGTTGTTTTCTTCACGAAATTGTGTGTTTATTGGAGTCGAGTATTTGCTTTGGATTAACCCAAAGCTCCGATTCTGACAAAAAAACACTTTTGGACCCTCAGAAAGTTTGCGCGGGGAAGTCTGTTCGAACCCTAGACCTATTTTCGACCGTGGCAGAGGCTCGCAGAGAATGACAAGGGCTTTGGGATGCTTAAGTCCCATGTGGCTGTGGTTGTCAAAGCCAATGGGATCCCATTTTGGAGTTTTCGGTGCACCACCCATTTTAGAACCATGTTCACTGCGGGTACGGGATTTTGACCCGTGGCCATGTCTGCAGGCTTGACCTTGGATCGATCTACCGTGCAAAATCTGGCCAGTGTCAGTTTCTCAGCTTTTGTGGTCTATTCCAAGGTTTCGTGGATGAGCCACAGCTATTCCTCCTCTCAGTAGGGTTGATTAACTCACTCGCCATGTGAACCGACGCACCAAACCGGTCGCCCGCACTCGCCTCCTGCGCTTTCTGCAGGTCCGAACTTTGTGTCTCCAGACGCTCCTGCAGGTCTGCCACCTGCGGCCCGTGGCTTTAGAAGAACCCAAAGGAGCACCTTTGTAGTAATCATCCTTCTGCTATCATTCACATTCCTGCGTGCCTGAACGCTATATATATATATAGTATACACATAAATAAACGGCTTTGACTTGACGTTCTGCAAGGTCAACAAGAAAAGGGTGGCCCCTTGCCGGGGACCCCGAGTCCCTGTGAGCCGCATGGAGACACGTGAGCGCAAGAAGGGGCCACTGCGTTGGGTCAAAGGACCTGGAGCTGGACGGTCTCCACGACAACCATCCCAACCTGGACACAAAAGGTGAACCTTTTGGGGTCATGACTGACAAATCGACCAAGCAAATGCAAAAAAGGTCTCAAAAGGTCGGCTTTGGACAGAATTTCTGGGTGTTCCAAGGGTGAGAAGCCTACATTTGTATTAATGGAACTGAGACCGGTGAGCACCTTGAGGGACGCCATAAACCAACAACTTTGGTTCATCAAAAAGCTCTCGGACATGTGGATGTGAGTCTGTTTTTGAGGGTACCCTTCTTGGATGGGTAAAGGGAAACCAACCAGAAATCACCATGTTTTTTTCCCCAACAGCTGGGGTCTCAGCCCAGATAGGCTCGGGGGTGGTCTGGGGCGGCCCTGAGGTAAGGTTCCACGAGGGTTTCCACCAGGGTTCCACGAGGGCTCCACGAGGTTCTGCGAGGTTCTGCGAGGGCTGCGGGGTGGTGAGAGCGCTAAAACGAGCACCGCATGCTGTTGGGGATATCACCTGAGCTTATTCTGGACAGAGACAAATTCGTACGTCCTGGCTTCCGGCCAATTGGATAGCTCACGTGGCGTCTTACCCCAGGCAACCACCCCATGGCACAAGCTACGAACCAGTCCCACAGAGCCGATGTCCAAACCAGATGGACTTCTCTGAATGACCTGAGTCTCCAACCTTCACGAAAGCCTTGCTTTTGACATTGAGGCAGCCTCAAAGAGAGGATCCTTCCAAATACTCCTGCGCAGCGCCCAACAATACAACGTTTGGTTCCACCAACATGGGTGAACCAACATAGGCAATCGGTTGGTGCGGCACTGTTCAACGAGGTGTTTTGCTGTTTACTACCAATCAAAACCCCTCCTGAAAACACCTCTATTAACCTTTCTAGGTGGGGGATGGGGGGGCGCTGGGCTTTCTCAAACATCTAGGCCCACCGTCTGATAAAAAAAATGGGCGTTGCTTGGATCGTATGTCCCTTCAGCCCTAAACTTTGGAGTGAAGTTCGCCCAAGGGGATATCCACCCCCAAACGGGAATCGAAGTATGGACCAACGTTCGCACCCGAAAGCTTGGAGAAAAGAAATCTCTCCGAAAGGTTCTGAGGGATAAGCTTCTGGGCATTGACCTCGGATGCCATTTTTGGTCCTTCGTACCATGGCTAAATTCATCCTAGGTCAACATGAGGATTAGGGAAGCAATGTTGTCAGCCCAAGGTTGGCTTTGGAGTAAGGCTCTGAGACCTATAAGCTGTAGGTAAACCTCCCACCCCCAGCCCGGAAGCCTTCTGCTCGGAGTCCTTCACTTGCCCTGTCTTAGTTGTTACCTGCGGCAAGCAGTCATGTGTCATGTGAGCCATTCACTGTTGCTCATATAGTTGGAACGGCTTAGACCTCAATGTTACTGTATCTCCGGCAACACCAGGTAGAACCACATACTATACTATTCATGTGTCATGGCGCCCCATTGACTTTCCCATTTACATTTGGTTAAATATGGATAGAGCGGCTTAGGCCTTAATACATCTCCCATAACAACAGGTAGAACCACAAACCATACATGGCCGTGTGCATTGATGTAAGGCGTGCTGTAGACTTTTGTTTGGCTTCTTGAATGAGTCACAGGGATCAAAGAAGAAAAACAACCTTGGCTTGGGCAATGGGTGGATACCATAGAAGTAGCACAGAGGTAGATCCATGGGGGGGGTGTACCACAATATATATATATATATATACCTGGAGTCTCCGTGACCCTTTAAAAATAGGGTACTGACCCCATTATGTTGGGTAACGACCCCATTTTTAAGGGGTCATGGAGACTCCTGGTATATATGTATAATTGTATATGTGTATGATTGGTCCCAGACTTTGGACTTCCACCAAAAAGGCATGTGCCACGTGCATGGATGCCCCACTGAAGCTCTGAATTGGCTCGACAGAGCCCCTTCGGGGCCCCAAGTTGCGCTGGACCTCCACCCAGAAATTCTTGCCCTGACGGGCCCTTCTTGCCGACATGTCGCCGGTTCCGAAAAAGAATGCATACTTTGGGTGATACCAAAGCAGGTGTTCCCATTTTGCAGCATCTAAAAAGGGATCCCCTTGACACCTCAACAGGCAGCCAAAACTGCATGTGCTCCACCCTCGCGTGTCACCGCTTTGCCAATCTTAAATGTGATAAGGTGACTTGGCCCCAGAAACACTTTAGATCTTACAACCCATTGAAGCCAATCGGAGCTTCGAGCTTGTCATTAGCTTTTGACCCAGGCCATTAAACATCACCCCAAAAAGTCGAAAGTCCAGAAACGCGTTGGACGTCTTCGCTCCAACGAGGGCGCAAAGCCCCTAGAACCTGTTGTTCTTCAACAACACAAGCTGCAGTTACTATTCCTATCCTAGGTCCTCCAGATTTGAGAGGTTAGAATAAGAGTACCAACTTTTTTCTGTAGTCTATTTTAGTAGGGGAACCCAAAACCACCAAAAAGAAAGGGGGTCAAAGAGCGGGCACCAATTGCTGGGGCACCTAGTATCACTTCTGCGGAGCGAATCCGCCAGATTTATTCTGAGAAGCTGGGCTCAAGCCAGCGCTCATGAGCCCAGCGCTCCAAGTCTTGGATCGTCTCAAGCGCCCGAAACGTCATTGAAATCTGGTTCTACATGGTACAGCTGTATTTGGGCACTACAAATAACCCAGAAACCAGGTAGAACATGGTAAAACAAAACCCCTGTAGAACACGTACTATTCCAGCTAACGGATTGGATGCATTCTGTGGAATCCCATGTTGTTGTACCATTTGTTCCCTGCGACATACTCTCTTGGTACTTTTTCTCTGTTTTTTAAGGGTGGATCCACAGATTCGCCGCATCCAAGCCGTCTCGTCGAACCATGGCAACGCACTCGCACGCTATGCCCATAAGCGCGCGCTCGCGATAGGAATCTTCGGTTCCTCGGCATCCAGCACCGCGAGGCGCTCCAGCAGGTCGTCGTTGCGGAGCCGCGCCTCCTGCAGGCGCCTGGGGCGGGGTTCGGGCTGTCGGTTCTGCGGCTGCGTCGATGTGAAGGGGTTTATTTTTCGGAAGAGGGGGTTAGGGTCGGGTTCAGGGGTTTAGGGGATTTAGGGGGTTTAGGGGGTTTGGGGGGTTTGGGGGGTTAAGAGGGTTAGGGTTCAGGGGGTGTAGGGGGTTTATGATGGGGATTTAGGGGGTTATAACCTCGAAGCAGTTAACAGCAACCATAGAACCAGTCAAGTAGCCGGCTGCCCAATCGTTAGTCCTCTTTTAGGATTCTTAAATGTCAAAAGGCAAGTCGCGTCTTGGATCAGCTAGCCGCGACAAGTTTGGTTCTCATGGACAAGAAAAAGGCGACCTGACCTGCTCAAAGGACCTGGAAATCAAAGTTTCACCCTGTGCAACCTTGACTTTAGACCAAATGAGCCAAAACCAATGACTCAAAGGTCGATCCGCCTGACAACAATTCGATTCGTGGATTCGAGTGCTTCCGACAAATCGCTTCTAGGCCTCTCTTGCTTGATCAAGTCATCCCGCACCTGGCCAGCCGGGCGAACCCTCGCACTTCCCCACCGAACGGAGTGCTCAGAACAAAAATCGCTTGCCCGCCACTCTTCCATTTGCTTTGTTTGCTCCCTAAAAGCATAGTTGCTTCCTTTCCTAACTTCCACAAGGGAACATCAAACAGATTCATTTCAGCAAATCGCGGCACTCAAATGTATCTCAAACGATGTCTCAAGTCCATCTGAAACATGGACCGAGATGTATTGCGACCAACATGAAACCTTTCGGGCCTCATTCCGACAAGTACCTGGGGTCTGAGCAGACCCATCGCCGCCATTCGTAATGTTGACCCCGGATGAATAAACCCCTGTTGATTAGTATGGGGGTGTGGCTCTGGCTTTAGTGGGGATTCATCACTTTTGGAGGGGAACACACCCCCATATTAATAAACAGGGGTTTATTAATCCGGGGTCAACATTATTTGGGGCCCTCCAAACGGCCTTGGCGATCTCCCGGTTCCGCTTGATCAGCTCCGACTCCAGCTCCGCCGAGTTTCCTCGAACCGAATTAGGCGGAGAAACCAATTGGAAGCCTAGGTCCTGCAGTAGAGAGGTTAGAATAAGGGTACCCATTTTTTTCTGGTCGTCTATTTTAGCAGGGGAACCCTCCCAACCAACAAAGCGGTGAGAAGGGCATTCCTGGGGGACCTAGAAGCAGCACTGCGGGAGCCGACCGAGCGGAGTGAGGCCTGGGCAGTGTGCATGGCACGTTGCGAGACCGATGGGTTCCATCAGCCTCCAATTTGCTTAAGTTCACTGGAAAAAAAAGCATTGTATTTTGTTTATGCCCAGTAGTGATAGATTTCATTTAAAACCAAGAGAGGAAAATAAAACATATTCTTAACCAAATGGAAGTAGGCAGGGAATACCCTCTTTGGAACAATCATGAAAGTGGACATAGGGGGAAAAAGGTCTTCCAAACCCCTCCTGTCAGCTTCCATTGACCCAACTCAACCATCCCAAAAGTTTGTTCATTTCAGGTGATCCCCTTCCCGTATTCCCAAGACTCAGTCTCTGACGGGGAATGTCAAAACGCTGGGGCTACGCCAGCCCTTCCAAGGGACGCCTGCCACCCGTCAACTACTGCTTTCTGGACAGTCCAAGGGGACTTAGGACATGGGGAAAAAAACACAGTTCTTGGTGGCTTGGATGTGGCTTGGATGTGTGTGTGTGTGTGTCAAGGTTCGTAACATCAAGTTCTTAGCCGATCAAACACCTTGCCGCCCTTTTTCACTGAGGCACCGCACCAAGGGCCCCCATCGCGAGTTAGCGACACGCGTGAGGACTGCCTTGATGATTTCGGATTGGTGTGTATGACTTACATCCACTGCAAAAGGAAGGACTACTGCCTTGATTGACCTAGATGTTACCCCTCTCTTGGATGCTATGAAGCTGCAAGGCATGAAAGCTAAGAAAATTAAAACACAGCCAGATATTGCCATGGCTGTTGCATGGAAACCAACTTGCTCATTGATCAATGGTTTTCGGAACCAGTTCAGAAAGTCCCAAGGGACCCTCGTCAAATTGTTCTGACAACCCTTTTTGCCAGCCAGTTACTTGCGTATTCCAAATGCGCTCGGTGCTTGCACGGCTGAGGACTGAGCTCATTGGGATTCCCAGAAGTTGTTTCCTGGGGAAGCCCTGTTTTCAATTGGCTGCTTTTGTTGAGGATAACCTATTTCCAGCTTGCTGTCGAGGGAAGCCAAACAAAAGCACCTTTTCCAAGGGTGAATGCAAACATCCATAGGAACCCCCGGTGTGAACCCTAGCTTACGAGCTAAGTAACCGTTAGTTGTGGCTTAACCATGGAAACAAGCCCGCAAAGGGTCCCAAAAGGTCGTGCGTTCATATATGGACCTACACAATCAGCCTTTGACCTTTTTGTTGGGGTAGAGTCATAGTCAAAGCCTGGTATCGAAGGACTCTACCTCCTTTTGCGTTTCCCGTCCAGGCCATCCTCGCAAGCAAAGAACCCAACTGCGATCGCGTGGACTGGCCAAAACAAGTCACAACTTGTTGTTTAACGCTAACATGGTCTGCCCAAATACTCACAGTCCAGAAAACTTGGGAATAACTCCAACTCTTCCATTCGGTTATGGCCCCTGGAACAAATGAACATATGTCCAGTGGTGATAGATTCCCTTTAACACCAACAGGGGATTAAACAAAAAAACACTTAAGCAAATGGAAGAACTGTGGACTTTTGGCCAGAACACAAGAGTGGCCATGGGGCAAACTGCAGCTTCGGCCTCCAAGTGGATGGTTCACATTGAGGGAACTGCTCAGTTGCAGGCATCACAATTAGGCAAAAGGCTGAAGGTCTGTGTGCAAACCATGACCGGCCTGGCACCCAACAATATTCATCCCTGGTAGATACTTAAGCACCAAGCAGCGGCCCCACTAAGGTTATGAAACGAAACCGCACAAAAAGCCTAACATCAGAGGATACAAAGAGTGATAAAGAATCGTAGCTGTGGAAAAAGCGTGGTACAGGCTTCAAAAGCGTGGTACAGGCATCACCACAGTGAAACGAAACCCTCTGCATGTCCTTGCACATATGCAAGTCTCCAGAAATCTCCAGAACTCATTTGTTTCGTGGGGACCCCACAAACACGATCTGGTTTAGAGGAACCTGCTTGTGTAATCGGACCGCTTCTTTTGAGGGGGACATTCTCTCACTTGCAACCCGAGCTGGAAAAAGATTTGCAAATTGACGAAAGATGGCTGCCACGGGAAACACCAGAAGGCCTCTTTAAAAGGCTTGGAACAACCAGACCCCCGATACACATGGCTTAGGGAACCCGGACCCCAACATGGCAGCTTTCCTGTTGTTCTCCACATTGCAACAGCCAAACATATTTTTCCCCCAAAATGCAACTCCCAAATCGTGCGTTCCTTGATACCGCTGCGACTGCGTGGTCTGAAAACCCAGAAAGCCCAGTTATCCACAATCTAGTTTGCGTTGTAAGCTCCTGAAGGCGTCAAAAGCAATGGGCCCTCCCTTGCAGTGCAGCCATCCTTCTGAGGTTTAGTTGATTCTCAGCTGCATATGTACAGCTTACATGTGGGGTACGTAGGACCTTCGCACTTTTTTTGACAGCTGGCTGTCAAGGAGAATCAGGACTCCTGACCATTTCCATTGAAAACAACTTGCCCTTGAAACCCAACTGGCAACAGTCCTGAAACTCACCTCAACTCCATGGAAGTCAAGTGAAAGCCATCCCCCTTACCGTGCCCCTTCTCCATTTTTAACTGCTCACCTCGCTCGAGTGGAGCAATTTTATGCTCCAAGAGCACCTACATGGAGGCGGCATGAATGTTCCGTGAGTGCTCGGCGTATATGCACATGGGTGTGCCGGTGTGTGGTTCTTTAGCAATGTATCTGTTGGTTTTATTGCTTGTTAACCCTGTCTCCAACAATCAAGGAAGAGTCATTTCAACATGATGAGATCCAACTCATGTGACCTACTATAGCCTCACAAGTGCCCAGGGCAAGTAATGGGGATAACTTGACCCCAATGGGGAAATTGTGCCATCTAGTTTCACCCAACAACGTATATCCACTCAATCTTTGTCTCTCGGAGGATTTCTACCGCCGCCTCTCATCTTGCTGCCGAAGTTTGGCGGCTTTGGAGCTACCGTGATCCGGGCGCTCAATGTCCTCGTAGACCGCGGCAATCATTGTGCCGCCGTCCTGCACAATGACTTCAGCTTGGTATTCGGCATCAAGTTGGTAGTAGTAGTAGTAGTAGTAGTAGTAGTCGTAGTAGTAGGAGGAGGAGTAGTAGTAGGAGTAGCAGCAGCAGCAGCAGCAGTCGTTGGTAGTAAGTTGCCACTCACAATTTCTGACAACTGGGAGTAGTCCAGCTACGAAGACTTGTAAGCGTGCCTGCGATAAACAGATAAGGACAAAGCAACAACACACAAGGCAATGGCACCGGCAAATGATGGAAACTAAACTGAAACCGGCGCAATCTGGGTGTGCCTTCCCTTTGGGGTTACCATCTTTGGCGTGGATTTGAAGGAATACCAAGGGAAACCAAACTCTGTTTTTTGGGGGGAGGGGGGGTTCCCATGTATTGAGACAGAGACCTATGTATGTCCAAGCTATGTTCAATCGAAGTGAGCTAAAAGGCCTATGCGAGAGGACTCCTTAAGCTCTCCCGCGGCCATGTAGTCATCGATGCCCACGCCGATGTGCCTCGGGATTTCCAGCAAGCCACTCTGCAGCAAACTCGCCGCAGATCCTTCAGAGGATCCAACTCCTCTAAAACACGACTCTAATCAGGCCTTGTCAGGGAGGAGACCGCTGAATGCTTGACAGACAGCATGGTTGTTCGAATTCGGCTCAGCCCTTGCGTTTGTTGCGTCAACCAATTCGCCTCAGTTGCCGTGTTTGCTGGATGCTAGGCCAACTTCTGCTTCCCAACCCAAGTGGCATGGGCTTGCAAAAGACTGACGGCTGTTCGCAGCGCCCTACTAAAAAACAAAGACACAACACGCTGCGTTGTGTGCAGACCCCCAGTAAAAGTGAACAACCCCCCCCCTCGAAAAACAAAATCAACAAAATTCCAAGAACAGCGCAAAGCCTGTATGCCCAAGCCCCCTGTGTTTGTGGGTTGCTAGCCTTCTGCTGCTTACTTGTCGGGGTTGGATGCCCTGAAAGCCATATAGTTCAAAGCCTTCTGAACCCCCCCGCCCCAAATGTTGACCCCAAACAAATGGACCTGACACACCTTCATTGAGTCCATGATCTCCTACCCAGCAAGGACAACAAACAAACCTGCTTCTCGCCTCAGCGGACCATGCAATCTGCTGTGAGAGTTTGGTACTTGAGCATTTCAACGTCTTTTCGCGAAGCGTCACGGTCCTCAATGCGGAAGGCCTAAGCAATAGAAACGGGCTTGGCGCGGCACTCCAAAAAACAAACATTCAATGATGATCATAGTCTATCCTTCTTGTAGTGTTTCATACATCCTTTAACCCTGAAAGTGCACTACACAAAAGGACACACTCACCAGCATCCGAAAGAAACTAAAGCTAGTGTGCAGAAGCGCACTTGCCTAATAGGGAGGTGGCCCACTGAGATCCCTAAAGTTTGGGGAAACACCCAAACTATCTGCCAGGATTAAAGAAATCCGGGCATAGTAACCCCCCCGAATGGTAGAAAAGGGAAACCACCCCACTCTCTGACTTCCATATTTTCCCAAACATAGTCAAACTCATGACATGACAAAGAACCGAGGCGCATCTTCTGTGTCTCGGAGAGGCACTTGTTGATGACATCCCGTATGTGGCCCCGAAGCAAGCGGCACTGATCCAGCAAACTGTCGCTCTGGTTCCCCACTTGCTGCTGCTCGTCGTAGTTCCTGGCGTTAAAGGGGGTGCCTGGAGTCTCCATGACCCTACAGTCATGACCCGATTAATTTGACTAATGACCCCATTTTCTAAGCCTTCTTTTTGAGGGTTGCCCAGTTTCATCTCAGAGCTTGCCAGGCTCGCCTTTGCTCTCATTTGAGTGGATTGGCCAAAGGTCCACAAGTCTTTTGAGTTTGCTGAACGTGGGCAAAAGCCCAAATGCCAAAAAAAACACAGGACCTCGAGTCAACATCTCAGGCCCCTGCTAGACGAGCTCCGATTGGGATGCAAAGTCGCCAAATGGTCCCCGCGAATAGACCATGAGTCCAAGACTTCATGTTGGCTTAACCACATCAGCCCAGCAACAAAAAACCGATGACAGAACAAATTGGGCGTGTCAATGCGTGTCATTTTGTGGGAGGAACCCAAAAAGGGTGGGTCTTGCTTTTGGTTTCCCTTCTGTTCATTTCTTTGCTCCAATCAAAAAGGGTTACCCTCAAAAAACATGTCGAGCCCCTCAATTTGGGTTGAGACCCCCGCCTGAGCCGCGTAGCATCCTGGTGCAGACTCTTCAGACCCGAGCCGACGCGGCCCAGCTCGTTGTCCAGGCCCTGAGCGCGTGCTATGGGCCGAGGGTCGAAGCTCAGGGACGTTCCACCTGGGGGCGGGGGGGGGGGGAGAAGCACTTAGGGTGTTTCACCCACCGCCCCAACGACTGCGTTTTGGGAAGTTGGTTTGAGCGTGCCGCCAAAGCTGAGTGGAGGGAACAGCTGCCCAGCCAGCGTCAGCCACATCTCGGGCTGGGATTTTGGAGATGCAAACAGTTGGGGGTGGAGGGGTTTTGGACATGGGTCCAGCACCGCCCAACAGCTGCTTTTTGGACACTGAGATTTTGGACATGGGAAGAACAAAGCAGTTGTTGCCGGGGGGGGGGGGGCGTTGTGATTGATACCAAAGGATAGGAATTCATCCGCTTGGCACCAGGGTGCACAACGGCAACTCGGATAAACAGAATCCCCAATACAATGGTTTGCCCGTGCGTTCGGCTCAAAGGCTGGCCGCAACCCTGGGAGAGCTGAACTTGCCTGCGCCAAGCAAGCAAGTCCGACCTCCTTGCGGAGAAAGAAACAAGCTGCCTGCCACCAAGCTCTATGCAAGCACTTCTTTTCTTTTTTCCGGCCATAAGCACTTGTGTTTGATGACCTTGTTGTTGTTTTGAAGGAGCAAAGAGAAGCTGACCACGTTGGAGCTTCCATTTGAGGGCAAAGGCACCTGTGGCCTTGGGGTTCTGGGGTAGACTAGAAAAAAAACGTGCAGCAAACCAATCTGGACACCTGTAGCAAGGCTTGGATAAACTTCTTGAAACGTCGAGTCAGGTGCGAAGTTGGGAACCTTCATGTCGCTCTTTGACTGGGGCTCTCCTTAACGACATGAGGAGAGTTCAAGCGGCGAATCCTGGTCCGGCCGAAAACTCAAAGGCACTCAGGTAACAACCTCAATATAGTTCACTTGAAAAGGTGGGCCAAGGACGTCAAACTCACAGAGTAGCGCTTGAGAACCCCCCATGTAATCATTTACAATACTTCCGAAACCTGGAACCAAAAACTTAGATCAAAGTAAAGGACCAAAGGACATACATCCCAGCATCCTAGTGACCTCGTTTTACCTCCCAATCGATAAGTTTGCCAAAAAATAGGCGTGATCATCTCATGCAAATCCAGCGGGCTATGTTGACGAGCTATGATCTCCAAGAGGGTTGACATAAGGTCCCCGTAGTTTACAAATAAGGCACTCTACAATGGGGTTTTTCCATGTGGATGGACAAAAACAAACCTGCAGTTGGCAAGTGGTTTCTCCCATAAGGCTTCACCATATGGAACCCCCAACACAAAGATGGGGCACCGGGAGCCCATTTTGGGCTTAACAGCTAAGAAGGAAAACCTAAAATACCAAAGACAAACACAAACGCAACACCATGTCTGAACCCACTTCTTGGCATTTACTGATTATTTTGTTGTGTTTCTCCTCGGGAATGTTCGGGAATGTCTTTACATTCTTTCGGGTGAACACCAAACTAAAAGAGGGGGGTGGATTGGGTGGATGCGGAGCTTCGGGCGTCGGGTCCGGCACGCCTTCAGCTCCCTGGCGATGATGTCCAGCTTGAAGATATCCAGCTCCTGAGCTAACCGCATCCAGTGGGGCAAGGCGTGAGCTTTTGGGTCAAGAGGGTTTCCTTAAAAAACACGTGTCCGTTGGGCGTAGGTCCAAAACCTCAGACGCTGGTGTTGACCTCTGGCAGAATATGACAAACTACCCGTCCCCTTTTGTTGGGAAAATCAAACATATTGGGCAGTTGGCACGCACGTGTTGCCGAGTGTTGCGTGGCAAACAGGGTGAGTAGCCCTTTTGCCACCACCGAAGGATTCACACAGTCTCCCACGGGACAGCAGATGGTTCAGCAAGGTATAGTCTTAACACGTGTTCTGCAAACGGTGACTTCCCAGGTTTCAAATGCAAAGGTCAAGCCACTATGTCGTGAGAACAAGGAAGGATTGGCCATGCCGCTCGGCGAGAGGGAGAGGCAAAAAAAGAGACGACCGACATGGAGCTCCAAGGCGTTTGAACCCGAAAATAGAGAAGTGTTGGGTAAAATAGGGCCACTCTGGTGGTCAAGGGAGCCGGACTCTGACGGCCTTTGAAAAGGAACCGACAAGGCTGCTTCAGCGAGTTCAAACATACAGGCCTCCAAAAATCTAACTTATTTGCCCCGGACATGGACGGACATGGACAAACTGGCTAAGGCGGCTAATACAAAAATGGAACCTGACATCCACCCACTGGGGCGAAATGAGGCCAAGCAGGGGGATGTTGATGTGCAAACAGGGGGGCATAAGGTCAAACAAGGCAGGTTGGATGCTGGGCCAAGTTAGCAACTTAGCGAGCCATTTGAAGTTTAACTTTTAGTGGTTTAATGGAAAACCCATTTGGCAAAAAGTTGAAGTCCTAACATCAAAGCAAAATGCACCAAACTTTGGGTTATAAGTTATGACCCACGAACAATAGGCTAACTCCACTTTTAGGGACTTGTAGGTGGGTCCTGGCCTGGGCTACCAACAGCTTTCTAATTTGGCTGAACACCTGGCAAAATGAGCAGGTTTGCGGCTCAACAAAACACCCTGAGCCAATATTTCCCGACCCCGCCCTACGGGTCCTTCTGAGGATGTACGTCAGGAACAGCCAGAAAGGGTCAAGCAAGGTACATCCTCTCCAGATACCAAGATGACCCGCAGGGGGAAAAAACATGTCCATCCCCTTTGGGAAACATGTCCATCCCTTTCGGATTTCTTTTGGATACGGGTAATTTCGCACCCACCTGTGATTTCTTGTCAAGGACTCCTGCCACGGACCTGGCAAGTCCTGCTTGTTTCCTCTGGGTTTCCAGTTGGCTTCCCGAGGGAAACCACCCCAAGGGCACCAACTCCAGAACGACACCGAAGCACCCCAAGGGTGTTGCTCAAAATGGTGGACCATCACCTTGTGGTTGGTATTTAGAGAGAAGCCAAAGGGAAATCTGTCCATTCTGGGGGTACCCTTCCTCCCACTAACATGGCACCTGTGGGAGGGTGCCTGGAAGATCAATTTACTCTCCAAGGGGCCCTCCAAGGGCCCTCTGTCAGCTATGTTCGCGGAAGGGGAGTACTCCTACTTTGCGAAGCATCTTCGCCCCGGTTTCGCGAAAACGGGTCCTTGTACTTCACCGCCATCATCCGCTCTCTCGCCTCCGCCTGCTCACGCTCGCGCTCTTTGGCGGCCAGCAGGCGCTCCTTGGAATCCCCGCGGGTGCCAAAGGGACCAGCCCCCAACCACCAGCCCCGAGGCGCATATATTATTATATCTCTGTGTGGAGGGGGAGGGCGGATGCATTCAACGGCTGAAATCTTTAAACGCGCTGTAAAATCTGAAGTCAAAGCCGTTGTTTGGGTATCGCATGGACATGTTCTAGGAACAAGAACCTCAAAGCTCATAGGTTTTCTGGTTTGTCATTCTTTTGTTTGGTAACTCCCTATTGGCGGTTTGGATGGGTGGCTTGGGATTCTGGTAGCCGGCAAAAAACCGAAAAACGACCCCCGGAGCACCTCCAAACCGGCTCCACAACACCACATTGAGGGTGTTCCAGAAGGCGAGCCCCCGCCCAAAACCAGCAGTTGGCACCAAGGAAATGCACTAAAGGTGCTGGGACAAGCTTACAGGTCTGGTTACAGGAACATGTACAGGACATGGCCCCAAAACACCGCAAATAAGACATAGAATGTCCCGTAACCCAACCCTGTGAGGCAAGGATTGTCCCAAATTCGACCTGCCGAATCAGAGGCGGCCTCAGTGGCCTCTTCCCTTCTGGGCTGTGGAGACCAAGCGGCCAGCTCTGTCACACGACTACTGGTGGAGTTGTAGAGCCTCTGGAGCCCTGGCGTCGAGGTTTCCATTTCGGTGGTGCCAATGGGTGGTTTCCTGGAGAACCCAATCATGAAAATAAAAGGCATCAACCCAAAATGGTGAGTTCCGCAAAAAGGAAACGTTAATTTCTGGAATGATGTGTTTCTTAGCACTTTGGGTTCTGCAGGTTTGGGTGTGAACCTTCATGAACTTTGGTGGATGGGCGGGTTTTTTGGGGCGGTTTGACGTTTTTTTTGGGTGTGGCTTTTTGTCGGGTGCCTTTGTATTATTTTATGTTTGGTGGGGGGGTGGCGTTGGTATGAATGTCCAGAACGGCACGATGAAACGGGCAAATGCTTAGGACCAAACTGAAACCAGCGAAACAGCGCACCTATGCAAATTGAAAACATCCAATACTTGAAAGGGACCCCAAAGACATGGACCTACATCATGGCGAGCCTGTTTTACCCCCAGCAGAAGTATGGCCTGGGTTCAAACCATTTAGACAATGGAAAATTAATATAACCACCACTTACCTAAGTTTCATCATCCAAATTGGGTCCCAAGGCCATCCTTTTACTGGGGGCAAAGAACCCGCCGGGTATGGCCATAAAGCTCTTCCAACTGAAGCCGGGCGCGCGCTTCAGCTCCTCCGAGTCAGCCTTCCACTTCTGGATCACCTGAAGCTGTGGAAATTTGGGTTGAACAACTGCACCCTACCAGCGATTCCATGGGCTGGTGCACGGACCCCTGTAGAAAGACTACTTTCCTCTTGGTTAGTTGGCCTTTTTGCACAGACCCATGTTAGTTGGTGGGAGGGGAAGTCGTTGACGAACACCACTGATCTGGTTTCAACATAACCGGAAAATGGCAAAATATTTTTCTGGTTGTTGGTTTCCTTTGAAAGGAAATTGAACAACTTGGATGATCTTCGCGGAGAGCTAAACGACTAGTAACCCTATTCTGGTTACAACGACTTGCAGCTGGATTGACTTGAGGCTACCAACTGGCTAACTCCGGAACAGCTAAGTAAGCGGTTACTAAACCTCAGTTAACGCGCAGAAAATGTTGTGACCAGGGCTACTAAGAACTCGCCGTCAGGGAGGTTGGGTATGTTGCAATTGGATCCAAGCTGACCAACCTATCAGTCCTCAAGAGTTTTAAGTCAACCAACCACAAACCTTGATCCAATACAAGGTTGTCCCTGTGGCACAGAGAAAAATGATAGCTCTGCGCGTCAAAACAAGTCTTGCCATTAGAAGAGAGTCCCGTTCTGACAATGTAGTCTCCTCCGACAAATCAGGACTTGACCAAACCTGGCTCAACCGAGAAAGGAATACTATTCGAATGCTGGCCAAGTGTGAACGTTGCGGAACCCAGTCTTCTCTGTTGGCAGGACAAATCCGCCAGTATCAATCGATGTAGTCGTCCGGTTCCATGTTGGTGTCTTGTCAAAATGAGAAAACCTGCCGTATACGCCCAACAGGGGTATTGGCCAAGGCCTGATAAGCTGCTACGCAAAACTGCATGTTTTGCCTGAGTGTTCATCAAATCCTGGAATTAAACGTGCCCCCCAAAAACCACCCAAGTGAAAGCGTCCTTGACAACTGCACCCAATTTACAACCCAAGGACAAAAAATCCGTTTGGGTATGTCTTCTTTTTGGGGCCCCCCAGAGTGATGATTCCTTTTGGCTTCCCTTCAAACGCCCAATGCGGCCAGCTGGCCGAAATGTCCCCCAGCTGCTCGAACTCCTTGAGCCGGTTCTTCAGAGCTTCAATCTCCTCCTCCTGCAATGAGCTATGCGGGTGGATTAAAAAAAATCCATTGCATTTTTGTTTTTTACTTTGGGGAGAACCACACAAATGATGATAGCTGCCAGTCACTGGGAAAAGTTACCCATAATGAAGATTGATCAACCCCTAAGTGGAGTCCCCCCCCCAAACAGAAACCAACAACAATGCAGCCTTGTGGGTCTTCGGCCAACCCATTAAGCTGCTGGTACCTGAGGCTAGCACCTAATGTTAACCCCGGATTAATAACCCCCTGGTTGACTAATAGAGGGGGTGTCCGCTTTTAGTGGGGATTCATCACTTTTGGAGGGAACACCCCCTAATAATGGGACGGGTTTATTAGTCCTGGGTCAACATTGCCGGAAGGTGGAGTCGACCCTGTGATTTCCTTTTCGTCGAAACCAAACTGAGAGCAGCGCCCACAACCCATCGCTTTGGGTTGTTCCAGCGTGGTTACAAAGGTTCAGATAGAACACTTTTCATAACCTTCATCAAATGGTTCATAACCTTCATAACCTTCATAACCCATAACCTTACTAAAACCTACTGAAGCGGACAGGGCTTGCTGCTAAGCCAACTGCCACCACTTGGCCCTCGACTCCCCGGTCTCCTTCTTGGAGATCCGGTCCTCCAAACGAGACATTTCCTCAGCTGCGGTGTCTCCCGGGTCTGCCCTCAAGGTCGGCCAGGGCCCACATCTGGGGAACCCCCCCCAACAATATATGCTGCGCTTCTGTTGCATAGCCCCCACTCACCATGGCACCTGACAGGTCGATTTCGAGGAAATCGATAGGCTCCACAGATGCCTTCTGATCTTTGTTCGCGGGAGGAAGGGTAAGATATTTAGTCTTCCCTAAAATTACAAGATAAGTTTGGAGGAGACCTCAGACCCTCACCTTGCGATTTAAAAGGCCCGCGAAGGCAGGGGCTCACCCAAATAGCATGGACCATACCTGCACAAGTTGTTCTCGCCTGGTTTTCGAGACCTCATCGAAACAAATGGACTTTTCATTTTGAAGGCTCCGGTCACCGGTTGAAGACGAAAATGAAAGCTTTCCAGCTTTGAAAGCTGGTTTCAGAGTAAGACAAATGAATGTCGAGACCTTGAAATAGCTGGCTTGGATGAATAAAGTCAAACCCAAACTTTGTCAATTACGACGACATGATCAAAGACACCTGCAATATGCACAAGGGGAGTCTTCATGAGTGAGGCTTCCCGCTAAAATCACAAAAAACAAAATTTGGATGGCAGTCCCTGTATGTGACTGTAAGTCACCGCAACTCGAAGTCACCCAACTCTAAGGTTCCGAAAATGAAATACAAATCTATATATATATATAATCATGATAATAATAATGATAATAATAATAACCAGAAAAACAACAAACAACACAAACGCATATCATGGTCTGGTAATAGGACCCTCTCACTTAGGAGACATTTCCCCCTGAACATTCGCCGCTCGGCTCGGCGAGCCGCGGCGTCGCGCTGCGCCAACTTCTCCCCGGCCCTGGCCTCCTTGATGGCCTACGGAAGACCCACGGATGGTTGCCCCACTGTAGGCTTTCCTTATCTTTTTGGCTCAGACCCCTGGAAAGAATTTTTTTTTAAAAACAAAATGTCCAGTAGTGAAATCGATTCCATGTAAGACCAGCAGGGCAAAATCAAAAAAATAGTCTTAAGCAAATTGAATGGAAGGTAGGCTTCCCTTATGTCAATGCAATGAACGCTTCAAGGGGACCATATTGGGGCTCCAACATATTTCCCCGATATGGTTGTTTCGAACATCACCTTAGCCCAATTAAAAGCTTCTTGCGATTCTTGTGATGTTTCAAGGGTTTCAACCCTTGGTTCAAACCTGCAAACCTGAAAGGGTTAAGGTTGTTTGCTTGCATTTTTTGGAATGCAATGGATGCCCGAGGAAATCACAATCGATGGTTCAGTTCAGGGTCATTCCCTCAATCGCAAACAGCCAGCAAGTTTCTTAGGGGTTTCAAACATACGGTGGATGGTTGCGAAATCCGAGACGGCACCACGAAATGAGCAACCGCTTGAATGAAACCAGAAGGTTTGCTATGGCATTTACAGGGGAATCAGAAACCCGAGTTTCTTATACGGTGCAGGATTTCATCCATCCACAGTAGGATAATAGGTTGGTTGGCCTACTGTAGGGTTCCCGGAATAAGCCCCATGATTCGAGTCTTTGGGTGGTGCACAAATTCCTTCACTTTTGTGGGCACATCATATGGGTTTCTCAATCCGGGGTTCCCTCTTGACATCAACCAACAACACTAAGAGAAAACAGTAGTAACAACAGTTGACCATTAATACTGTGTATGCTTGCCAGATCCATTGTCTGATGGTTCCCCTGTAAATACCAACAAACACTGGTTTTAAGCATGGTTTCAAAGTGATGCGAACGGATTTCGTCCATCCACCGTATGTTTGAAACCCCTAAGAGACTTGCTGGCTGTTAGCGAATGAGGGAATGACCCTGACCTGAACCATCGATTGTAATTTCCTTGGGCATCCATTGCATTCCAAAAAATGCAAGCAAACAACCTGAAACCTTTCAGGTTCCAAGGCTTGAACCGAGGCTTTGAAACATCACAATCGAAAGAAGCTTTCAATTGGGCTAAGGTGATGTTCGAAACAACCACATCGGAGAGATATGTTGGAGCCCTTGAAATGGTCGGCTCTATACAGTTGCTGCTTTTGCTCGGGCTGACTCGAAACGAAGGACGCTCTCAGACACTCCTCTTTTCATGCAAAAGTCCTGCGATGTGCTTTTCTTTTTGGCTTGGTCTTGTTGACTGCTGTGAGGGTATTTCAGCGGCCTGTCTTTTTGGCACTTTCGTCCGACAAGAGCCTACAAAAGCAAACGCCTGAAGGGATACAAAGGGAATTCCCTTCAAACCAACACCCAGTTGTTCACGACTCTGGTACAAACCTTAATCGGAACCCTTTTTGAGGCTGTCCATTTCCAAGTAGGGCAGCCACCAAACAACAAGGGGAATTTCAGGGTGCTACTAAACAATACAAAGGTTTACGTAGTGTACGTGTATATATATATATATACACAACAACTAATATGTTGGCTGCTTCCGACAATAACTCTTTTGGCCAAAACTTCAATGTGAGACAAATTCCATGCTAGACTGCCAGACGTTATACAAATTGCTATACCAATGTTGCACCAATGTCATACCAATTGTGTACAAACTGAGTTTAATGTTTTACCAAATTGGAAAGATATCTGCCCCGGTGTTCCCCGCAAAACAGAGCGTTCGGACTCCGACAATAGAAGTGGCGCACCATGATGTTTGCCCCAGTTCCAGCAAATTTGCCGGCTTCGCCACCACTTTGCCGGAAAAACTGGTGTGGCTCTGCCCATCAAGAGTCTGTTGAAGCCATCAAAAGGAAAGGAGGGTGCCAATGAACCACCCTCAAAACACGCGCGCACAATCAAGATTTCCCCCGTGTTGCATCATCCCAATGAAGAGGGGACTCACTCCCCCTGCCCAGGCAGGATCGTCTTAAAGGAAAACCCAAACTTCCATTTGGTTAAGACCCCTGGATTAAATAGAAATATTTCCCGCAGTGACCAATTCCCTTTAAAACCAACAAGGGACAATAACAAAATATTCATTTCAGCTGAAATGGAAGAGAAGGACACCCGTTGCTCGTTCGAGCTTCGGGACGTCGGACTTCCCGCCTTGAGCTCCTGCTCCATGTCCTGCGGAAACTTGAAGGATCTCTTGTCTTTGGAAGGCTTGGTTGACGTTGGGCTTGGGGAGCCAAAATTCTCAAACTTTAGCAGTCAAGTGGTTGGATTTCCGCAAAACATCAAATAATTTTAGCAGTTAAGTGGATTTGGAGTTCAACCACTCAACCGCAATAAGCAAACATGCTTTTAATGTTTCCCAACGACAATCAAGAAGGGCCCGGAGAAATGCTCGGCGACTCAGGTAATTCACGGCCCGCAGTTTGGAGCGCCGCCTGTGAAGGGAGCCCAGCAAATCTAGCCTGCGCTTGAGACTTCGGCATTACTAATGCTTGGAATCAAGGGAAAACCAAGGTTTGGGCTAAGAGGGTCCAACAAAAACCACCAAAATCTAGCATGTTTGGAGGGGTGAGGAGGGTGTTCAAGGAAAAGACGGCAGGTTGTGCGGGATACACTGGAAATACCAGCTGGGAGGTTTTGGAACATGGATCCAAGACTACTAAAGTCCTTCCGGAATCCAGAAAGACAAAAATCCTGATAGATTCCACACATGCTCAAAGTAGGATCCCCCGCAAAAGGAAGCCTCTTCATGGTTCAGGTTCTTTTACCCCCCCAAGACGTTTGTGAGCTAATTTGTCCAAATACCAGCCGCCGACTCCGTGAAACTCCCACCCCTTTTAGCGCTCAGCCCTTTTAGCACTCAGCCCTTTGACATTTTCGAGGGCTTTGCTCTATTTGTAAAGGGGCTACCAGGTGGCTTCCATGAAATCGCAAAAAACGGCCCCTTCTGATTTTCATCTGAAGGTTCTATCTCTCTTCCAGGGGAAAGGAGGCCTGGCCCTGAAATGGGAGTGGATCCTAAACGGATTTTTTTCCCCGGCTCCGAGCAACCCTAGTTGCTGCGGATTCCGGCCGACACAAGAGCTGGGCAACCATCATGAACCGAAGGTGAAACTTCCTTACAAAGCATCATAGGCTCATAGGTTATTTCAAACAGGGTCGATATGATCGTTGGCTAATTGCCTTGGCTTGCCAATCTCCACTTCCAGGTCTTCCTTTTATCGCGTTCATAGGCTCCTTATAAACAAGTTGATTGAAGATACTCAGAGCAGTTGCAGCCCGATAGCACGCAGGCTTCGCTTGCAAACACGCATGTGGACGTTCGTCCAACCAAGATATTACTATGTATACTGAAGGGAAACTCAGCATTGGCCCAAAGGGTGAATGTCGAAACCGGCCAAACTGAGGGATTAAACAACAACAACAGCTATACTCAGCCACCTTGTCTTTTCCCGCGAAAGAAAAACAAAAGCACCCTCGCGCGCCTTGAACTTTGCAAGGAAGTCCCTCATGGAGGGCACGCTGTCGAACAAGTAGCCCAGGCCATACTTGTCAAACTCCGCGCGAATGCGGTGGTGGTTCCGCAGGAAGGCCTGGCGTCCGAAAGCCAAGTCGAGCCAAAGACTTTGGGCCGAGGTCTCAAGCTGAGGAACTCAAAAAGACGTAGCCCACTTGGTTGACGTTGGGTTAGGGAAGCAAAAATTCTTAAATTTTAGCAGTTAAGTGGTTGGATTCCAACCACTAAACCACAATAAGCAAAAAAGCTAAATGTTTCCCAGCAACAACCATGAGGAGATGCCTGTGAACCTGGCGGTTGCAGGAAGCCGATCTTCGCTTCGGTATGCCGCGGGATAGGGCACACGATTCCCCTGCAACTTGGAGGGAAAGACTAAGCCAAAGTGAGCCGTCTACTTTTACCCAATGGTAAACAAAACAAGGGTCCGCCTGTTGATGCCCCAGTTTGGAGGGGGGAAGGGAATTCTTGCCGGACCTTGGCTTGGGACAAGTTGATCGGCCAGTTGGCATGGTTGAAGCACAACCACAGTCAAAACTCCTGAAATATTGCCGATTGAATCATGGTTCCCTTAAATAAATCATTGTAATGGCTATTGAGGATCCTTTTACGAGGTGGATCACCATCACCTCAAAGGTGTCGTTTGACCATGGCACATGTAAGGGGATTTGGCTGACCCTGAAATCGCGGCACCCTCCGATTTCAGGTTGAAAGGCAGGCCTCCCCTTGAGGAGCCTTCGATCTGGGGGGCGATCGCCTGTAGTTTCCCTACAGGTTCATTGGAACCTTCGGCTCACCCCATCACCCCGATCGCCCGGAAGGCGCCAGAAGGCATACTTTGAAGGGGCAAATGTGGCAAACAGGCGGCAAAAAGGTGGCTAGAAAGTGGGAAAAAGGTCGAATCTCAACTCTGAAAGTGGCAAAAATGTGGCTATGGGCCCCTAGGCCTTGGTTGGCCGGAACTGCCGGTCTGATCTCCTTGGAGAGCTCGCCCAGCTGATTTGCTTTTTCCTTCAGGTCTTAACACAGGAAAAGCCTTGCTCCAACTTGTTTCGAAACCTCCTAAACACAAGGACCCGAAAACATGGGCTTCCATGCTTGAAAGATCTTAAATGGTTGTCCAGGGATCAACTCAAGGGCCTAATCCCATTCGCCTTCGCCCGGCAGATGAGCAGAATGGAACACGAACACTTGCCACTGGGCACAAAACGCCGGTCCACGTATCCCAAACTCCCCATTGTTTAACAGAAAGAAACACATTTCACCTCCAAACGGGTCAACGTTGGTGTAAGACTCCCGTGGGTTGTGTGGCTATGGATGATTTCTTCGACTCGCAATTTGACTTGAAGGGTTGCCCTTGTGAAGCAACATGAGTGTAAGGACTCGCAAAAGTCGGATGACTTTGTGGAATTGTGGCTGAAAGGGTATTTGAAAAGGGCACCCTTGGGCACTCTTGTGAGTGAACAACAACACACAACCTCCCCACTGAGAACAAATAGGGGTTTCCTCAAGGGGATTCAAGTGTTCAATCTTGCCCAACCCTGGTCTATGCCCAAAGTCAAGTCTTGCCTCTTAAAGGGGAACGACCGCCTATCAACCACCCCTATTAACGATGTCCCCCAAAAATGAAGCATTCCCCAGCATGGGCTCCCCCCGCTATCAACCACTCCCCCCACATAGGTCCACTCCCCCGTACCAAGGTTCGCTTTTGGACCTGAATGGTGCCTTGCCTCTCAAAAACCTTTCATATCAACCACCCCTATTAATGTCCCCAAACGTGGAGCGTTGCCCAACAGAACCTCCCCCTCTCAACCACTGCCCCCATGAACCAACCAGTGGGCGAAGCTCATGACGTCGCTTGACCTCGACCGGGGTTTGCCTTCAGCATGTACTCCGGATCCTCAAAGAGTTCTTCCATGCCGTGCTCCTTGAACGCGCTCTGCCTCGGATCGATCGCCTTTTGACCTTTTTTCTTCGACTCTGGCCCCGTTCATAAGCAACCACCAGCGTTCCCCAAAATTTGGCCAATGGCTGTCTGGCTTGGTGAAATTTGGTGGGTTTAGCTTGGGTTGTTGGGCTCGGGCTTAGGCTGTGTCAACTTATGGGAGAAATTTGGGGTTGGGCACTGGCTGCGCCGAGGGTGCCATTGTCTTGGGGAATTCAACGACAAAGTGGGTGGTTTGGCACAGGGTTTCTCAAAGGATACATTCAAAGACCACCTGAGATCGGTATTGAAATGGTCGGGACCCAGAACCAGGAAAAGAATTCGACGGCGGCGATGGCACCCATATTTATGGATGAGACTATCCTGTACTAACCTTCATCTACCCGGGTTTTGATTGCGGTTCAAACTTAAATTTTAAATGTGAAATATCTTCAACAAAGATCCCAGGCAGGGTGCGCCCTATTGCTTTTGAGGGCAACCTTTTGGGGTGCAATCATTACAACAAAATACTGCAGGCCTGTTGGGTTGGCCCCTTCTTCTTTTTTTGGAAACACCAGCAAGGTTCCGTCAAAAACAACCTTGTTTCTCTAATCCACGAGGGCATGCTAAAAAAATCCGGTAACTCTCACCTACCCAAAGGACCTTGAAACAAAGGAAAAAGGCATACCTCGGACCCTGAAGCCAAAAACCAGTCACCATTTGGAAGACCTTTTTAGTGGTGCCTGGCCCAATTTTTCGTCCTGATTGGGACAGGAGGACAAAGCACATAGGGGCAAACGCTGGGGCCGCAGCAGCATCCGGTAGGCGGACAGCACTTCCGCCAGCAGAGAGGGGTCCTTCTCGGCCTCCTTCAAACCTCAAGTGGCGTTGGCGGCCAGGCGCATCCGGATGCGCCCTCACAGCTCGGAAAGCGTAGGCCCAAACGACCAAAAACCATAATTTCAGGGACTGGGGAGGGGGGCTATGGAAAGGGGGGCTATCCCTTATTCAGCCCTTAAGCAGGCCTTAAGGGCTTGTCCTTGGGTTTTCCTGGGCTTATCCAGGGATAGCCCGCCCCCCCGTAGCCCCCCCGAAGATTGCATGATGATTCGGACACCTGAAATGAATTAAATCCAGGTAATGAACCTTGGGTCAGGTTGTCAAAGCAAAAACCCTCTCGCTAGGTCTTGCCCAGATCTGATCACTGAGAAAACCACTGCTAGGTGTCGTTCCCCTTTTGCCTGCGAAGCACCCCCAAGCTTGTCATAATCCACACGGTCACCAGGCTACAAAAAACACCCATGTAGAGGAGTATCAATTTGGGGAAAGAACCTCCTTGAACGGAGCAAGGGGCTCCGCAGTAAGTATTTTCAATACGCTACAGGTTACAGCGCCTCAGAAGCAAAGTTAACACTCACGAGAAGAAAACAACTGGGATGGTGCAAACATGATTCCCCCGAAGATATCGGTTTACCATTGACCCAAACTTGCAACAAAAAGCAAAGCCCGCTTACATTCATTTACACCTCCAGGCGTCATAAAAAGAAACCACCCGTGGAAATCCCAGCTCCGCTATCCAGAACTTTTATAGGACATTGCCATCCACGGCGCGAACTCAATCCCCAAACGAGTGTGTTCAAAGGATCTACAGCCCGCTTCCGTGGATTGGCCCAAGTAGTTCTATTGTTTGCCACCATCCCATTCGACTGAAACTATTAGCACAAGGGTAGACACGTGGCAACCCTCAAAAGGGAAACTACAGGAAACCAAGCCAATGTTCCACCCTGGCTTTGTTCATCTTGCAAAAGGCGCGTAGCACCCTTGCTTAAAACAGGGGAACGGGGTCATTCAATGAAGGGTCAATTCATTCAAGGCTCTTGTACTTCTCCATGAAAATGAACTCCAGTCAATTTGAGTGAAGAAAAGGAGCCGTACTTCTCCATGATGGACAAGAACTCCTTGAGGAGCCGCAGCAAGCGGCCCAACTCCTCCGGATCGTCCAGAAGATATTCGAAGCCTGGCAGCGGCGGCCCCTCCAGCTCCCAACGAACAAATAAACTCCGGAACTGGAGGAGCTCCCCAAAATAACCAACAGCCATGGTTTTGGTAAGACCAAGGTTCGCAGGAATGCATCCTAAAAACTGTTTGGGAGGGAGGAGCAGCAGGGGCTCTCCCCAAAAAATGTGCTTTTGTATGCAGAGGTGATGGATGCAGTCGTGGATGCGGAAGGCATGGATGCTGCCAACAGAAACAGTCATGGATGTAGAGGTGATGCGGGAGGCGTTTCCCCCTTCTCTAAATTTTGGCCGTAGATTACAACCTAGCCTCCCCCCACACCCCCAATTGGAGCCTCTGCTCTACAATCCGGGCCTGAAATCAAATCAGGATGTGACATGCAGTACTTGACTACCAGATTGGCAAGCCATCAGACCAACTTCGCCATGACAAACCTGCAAAAGGAATGGGCACAAGTGACTAAGCGCGCTGTGTAGCCCTGGCTAGTCTGGACAAGGGAAGTCAATTTGTTATTAGAAGGTGCCAACAGCGCCGGCGTCAGCAGGGAGCAGTCCAACCGATCGATCAAGCCCCATGTGGCACATCCTCACAAGGTGAGCAAAGCATCCTTTGAGGTGTCACGGTCAAACTTCCCGTGGCCCCAACATGACGTTCCCTGGTTTTCGTGGGGGACATTGCTTGTCCCCCTTGTCCCTCCCAAAGGAACAAATGAACCACAAAGGAACCATAGGCTGGACTGAGCCTCAATGTTATTGTAGGGAGCTGCAAACGATTGGTTCATGATTCCAACCAGATCTCCATGGGAACTTAAAGAGGGAGCCTTTTGACGGTAGGGAACCGCATAGACAAGAAGGACAACCCCAATGAAACTTTGATAATAATGGCAAAAGCTCCGAAACAAACAGCTCGTTGGTGGCACTTGATCCTTGAACGTCATGTTCCACAATTCCAAAGGATCAACTGCCATGTTCTAAAGCAATCGCCATGTTCCAACATAGCTGACCCACCGAACACGGGCCGGCACTTCTTCGGATTGTTGGTGTCAGAGAACTGCCACGTTCCAAAACTCCAAAAAGTCGCGGGGTCGGCGGCTGGAATTGTTATCAAGCGATAGAAAACGGAAGCTGGGGCGGCCGAGAATAAGTAGCCGACAAGTAAAGAACAACTTTACGCTTCAAATACTTGATGAAATGAATTGAGATCCCCTTCAGAATAAGGGTACCCTCTTTTGAACTAGTCTATTTTAGTAGGGGAACCCTCACCAAAAAAGTTGGTGAGAAAGGGCACCTATCTGGGGGACCTTGGTGAGCTCGGTGCGCAAGAATCGCATCGATCGAGATCGCCTGTCTCGCGCAGCACGCGCTCGAAGGCGGCGGTACGCGAGAGGTGGGTCCGCAGGAACGGGAAGGCCACGGGCGCCTACGAGGCGTAGGCGGGCGAAAAGGCCCCGGCTCCAAGGGGGCCGCAAGGGTGACCACTGGGCATCTTTTCCGATGTGGGAAGTATCATCTCAGCTTTTTCCAAGGGCGATCTCATGTGAAGCACGTGCTGATCAACCTCCACTTGGTGATCCAGGTTGATTTGGGCACTGCATAGAACCCATAGACCAGGTAGAACCTACCCTAACGGTCCCTGACTATTTTTGTGCCCTCCAAATGAGTTGTTGAGGGCCCTTGAGGAATTGGTCGGGGTTCTCCATTGGAAGGCTTGAGGGGGTCGAGGCATTGGAGGGGTCATGACCCTTAGGGCAGCGAATTCTCTTCAAGGGAACCTACGCAAGCAAGGTTTCTAAAGGCACTCGCCCGCCCAACATGGAAGCTGATTGGAGGTCGGAAGATTGGCGAAGCCTGTGAAAAAGATTCCTCCCCCAAACATGGATGGCTTCCTCATTGAAACGTCGAAAAGGGAGTCATCTTGTGGTACTCAACAAGGGAACCCTGTTGTAAAAGGGTTCTTAGAGCCTTTCTGGAGGGTAAAATGGGGGCCGTTCCTCACAAAAAAAGGGGTGCCGCAAAGCGGAACGAGCTCCGTTCAAAATGCAAGTTGTGAGTACTGCAAGACTCACTGTAAGATACTACGCTGCCTGCAGGTTGATATGCAATGCAAACAGCTACAATGTTCAAAGGAACCTCCTCGCACAGGCTCCCCTGTTTTGAGTAGTTCCATGTCAATGTGCAAGTAAAAAAAACGGATTTAAAATCCACACCTCCAGTGGCCAGAGGAAAGCATTCTAGGGTATCCTCGTCCTGATTTGTCAAATAAAAGGGAAACATGGCGTGGAGGTCTGGGAAATGCTCTCTTGTGAACAATCTCAGAAGTACATAGCTTTATTGTTCAACATTCATGGAAGTGCATGTGAGATCTATTTCACCAAACATGGAGGCTGCACATCATACCCAACAACTGTTTCACTAACACAGAACCACCAAAAATTGCTTCCAAGGCTAGCATAGAACTCCCAACATGGAATCCGCTAACCAGCAAAAACCACCGGGTTTGCAAAAGTGCCAGAGAACCAACATTTCAGCTGGAGCAGCTCAAGCCTACGATAGGAAAAGCCGATGTTTGTGAAAACCAACGTGGAACCAGCTTCACGGGTTGTTTGGAATTTCTGCCTGAGTGCGCAGGCAACAGCTATCCATAGATCATCCCCGGTAAATTATCGAAAAATACGTAAACCAAACAACGTCCATGCTTTAACCAAATCTGATTTTGACAAGTGAAAAGGTTGCCCTAACACGGCAGTGCACGGGACCAAAATCACCAAAATGACTTTGGACGATCGTGGACAAGGAAAAAAACACCGGGAGCTTCCCAGATTCTTCGAACGAGAACCAACCCGTAAATTGTGAGCCATGGTCGTCCTGCTGCGTTTAGACCACTGTGTCTTGGACAATATGAATATTAGATTCATACAAAGCTTAAATACATTTCCCATTCTGAGCCCAGGGCTCCTGAGAAAGCCACAAACTCGAGGACAACGACGCTTGTGTTGAACGAAGCGATGCTCGGAAAGAATGTTGAGCGAGCCTCGGCGCCTGGCTCTTTGCGGGAGTAGGGCAATTCGTGGAGTTTGCTGGCAATAGAAACACGTATACAGATACATTATACATATTATATGTATGCATATATATATACATATGGGTTTGCCTCAAAGGTAGGCAAACCTTTCAACACGGGCGCTCTACTTTCCCTAACCCCCCCCTCTCTTATTCCACTTGGCGCCCGCCTGAAACAGCTCCAACACGGAAGCCCCGCCTTCACCGGCTTCACCGGCGCCGGCTTTTGCCTCGCGGGCTTGGGCGGCGGCCTCGGCTTGGAGCGCTCCGGAGGCGTCTCCTCAGTGCGTCTTCCGGGTGCTGCCCGTCTTCCATGTCCATGTGCGTCTTCCGCAAACCCCTGGAAAAAATGGCGAACCTATGTCCAGTGAAATCGATTGGTGGGTTGATTCCATGAGTGGCTGCTTCTAGTTAGTTCCATAACATGCTTTTTTGCACACAGTTGATTCAATCTTGGGGAACAAAACAAAGGCGGCCGTTCTTTGTGGCTGGTCGACACCGGGTTTTTCGGGTTCTGAACTCAAAAAGCAAAAGGGGTGAAATCCACTGAACAACTGGAAGCTGGACCGGGGGCCAACGCCAACACGATCAAAGCAGGTTGGTTCTTCATGAAACTTTTCAGTTGCAACCAAAGAATCAGGACACCGAGGGTTACTTGGATGTTCCGCCAAGCGAGAAGTGGCTTAAGCTTGGGTTAGCTTTACTAACAACCATAGGGGGTTGTATGCTAGGTTGCTAATAACTTCTTAAACTGGCCGGAAACCCAAGTAACCTTTAAGAACCTCGACTAAGCTTCGACCACAGGGAAACCGAAAGGTCAGAAAGGTCGAGTGCCTTTGGGCAAGCGAGAGAATCAAACAACCAAAGTTTGCGTGAAAACTTGTTTCCACACTTTGAAAGTTGTCAAACACCTTGGACACTCAAATTCACCTGCGTTAAGCCGACCAATGCAGCCGGCAAGCATCCCCTTCCTCGTCGTCACCCTCCTCATCGTCTTCCTCGGCATCGTCTTCCTCCTCCTCCGGCTCTTCCTCCTGCTCGTCCTCCTCTTCCTCCGCCTCCTCCTCCTCCTCAGCCTCGTCCCCGCCATCAGTGGTGCTCACAGCATCGTGCTCCTGACAGGCTTAAGCAAGACGTGCTCTTTCCTGCCAACCTTCCAGCCAGAAATTTAGAAACATGGCACTTGATGGGTGCCCTTTGCGAGGAATTTAGTCTGGCAGGTACCTTCCCAGTGGTTCCACCAACATGTCATCAACGGACTCCCCCCACAACAACATGTTTTTCCTTGTTCCTCTTTTGGTGGCTTTGCAGACCACCTTTTCAATCAAAGGTGATTTAGTCTTCGATGGGTGCTGATTCTGCAGAGCGCCCGCCGCCAAAACCCTTCTGTGCCAAACTGGAAAATCTCTAAAATGCTTCGTTGTACAGACTCGCCTTCGTCGTTTGATGTGTTTTGTGTTGTTGTTTTTTCTTCTTCTTTTGTTATGAAATCTTGTCTCTCTTCCCGCACTCTTCCCGTCGTCTTCCGGCAATCTTCCTGTAGTCTTTCCGTAGGCTTCCAGTTGCTTCTCATCTATCGTCATTCAAACGAGCCAATATCCACAAAACGAAACACAGCTGAGTCCATGCTCCGTCTGGCCTTCGTTGTCAGACCTGCTCGCGCCCTGCAAAAGCCGCCAGTTACACAATGAGAATCCTTAGTTTTGAAGACTCGCATTTATGTTTGCGGGTTCTTTCCTGTTTGCCTACGTAGATTAGCACGCGCTCAAACTTTAGCAACACTTGGCTCTTGAAAGTATAAAACAGAATACCTTTGATTCTTCTACCACGCCTATATATATATATCAAATATCCTAGTAAATATGACATAGATGCATAGCAAAAAACAAGATACACTAACATCAATACCCCTCTTTTCTATGTTTGGAGGGGATGGTGATTGGCCCATCGCCACCTCTTGAGCCGTGGCATCCAGCCTCCAAGAGCTTGCTCTGCCCCGTCTCCTCGAAGACTGCCCGCAGCCTTGCCTAGCGAACCAAAACCACCTCGGCCCCTTGACGGATGGCTCAACATCTGGGCCCCTGAGTGCATGGCTCCCAGGTAGGGCAACAAACGGAAACCCTTGTCAGTGACCATTTTGAAGGTGAATGGCTCCCAATTAATTGGGCAGAAAAAGGAAACCCTAACTGGGATGGCCATTTTTAAGTTGGAGTCCAAACAAAGAACAAAACCCAAACATGAAACCATCCTCGGTGTCAAAAGCAAAAAGCCCAAGGAGGATGACAACCGAAGAAGCACTTTGTAAATGGTGGTTTCAAGGCACACCACCCCCCTGAAAGTAGTATGAATCTCTCAAAGCTTGACCACTGTAGGCCTATCCTGAATGTTTATGACCTGTCAAGGTGTCCCGGACAGGGCGCTAGATGGATGATGTTCGGATTCCCATCAGCCTCAAGACAGGGTGTTTGCCTGAAAGCTACAGATAAAGCTCAACCGATAAACTATGGTGGCTTGACTGGAAATCGGTGATCCTTGTCTCGGCTGGTTCGAGTACACCCTGGCCTGGAATGAATGACCTGACATGGGCTATGGTCTTTGGACATGTCCCAACTTGGGGTAGTTCCCTTTGTGTGATCGCAGGGGCAGTAGAAGAATAGAACGCTTGGATCGACCTGCTTTTTGAGCATTGAAAACCAAAGGAAAACCGTCGGTCAACCACAAGGATCTCAGAGCAGCTTTGCGAAAAGCTAAACCGGTGGGTCACAACCATGGTGACTTGATATGACTTGATTAATTAATCATTCCTGGAAGCCAAGTTCGGGCATAGTCCCATCAAAACCAGTCAACCCAGAGGGAAGCCAGTATCCTTCCAAGGAAACACAAATGTCAACTGCTTTTTTGTCCTGAGAGCTTCCTCCTAGATGTTCTTCCTCCGTTTCCCCTTTCCCCGAACCGCAAAAAGGGAAAAGAGGTGTGTCCTTTTTTGAGGGTACCAGTTATTTGGTGGTTTCAAAGGGAAAACAAAAGGAACACCTCATTTTAGAGGCTCCCCCAAAAAATTGAAGGAGACGACTCGTTTCTCGCCCCGTCTCGCCCCGAGCGGCCATGTAGGCTCGGTCGAACTCCCCCTGGTCGAACTTCTGCAGAAAGCTGCTGGCCGCCTGCGCATCGTCCAGCAGATCCTCGTGGTTGGCCTCCTGAAAAACCTCCCGCACCTCGAGACTCGGAGGCTGAGGTGCGGATTTCCGGGGGAAAAAAGGCGCCTCAGTCTAGGGGTACCTTCCATTTCCATTCCTTCCAGGCATCCTTCTTTCTAAAAAACCAGCCCAAATCCCTAGGGAAACAGCTGGTCTTTTTAAGAACGATGGCTGAAAAGAAGGGGGCAACAAGTCCGATGGCTCACTTCCTGAGAACGATGGCTGTCTTCCTGAGATTGGGGCAACACAAGTCCGACTCAGGTGAAAGCACATTGCAATGGTCCCACGTAAGTCGAAGAGAAAGTGACTTAGGTCTTCCAGTAGAGAGGTTAGAATAGGGGTACCCGCTTTTTCTGTAGCCTGTTTATTGGGGGAACCCTCCCCAAAAAAAGGGGTGAGAAAGGGGGACCTAGGTTCCATGGCCTTCCGAACGCGGCGTGTTGGCTCATGCCCTAAAGAGGCAACACGACTCTAGACTCGAACACCCCGCCTGGCGATGAGTGCGCAGAAAGGCGTCCAGCTTCTCAACATCTTGGAAGAGATCGGAGAAACCTGTGGTAAGCCAAGCCGGTGCCTTCGGGAGAGCCCTGTAAAGCGGGGGATACTGTTGCAACAATCTATTTGAACAAAACAAGCAACATAAACACAGAAACAGGCATCCAACAAGTGGATTGTCTGACCGGGTGCGCTGAATTGTGCCCAAAGAAAGTTGCAATTGACTCGCGGTCTCCTCTCCAAGTCGTGGGTCTGAACATGGCGCCGTCCCCGAAACCCTAAAAACCCGACACATCTTTCAAGGGACAGGGCAGGGGAGCGAAAAGCCAAACAAAAACCAGAAAAACGGAAAAAAGGGGGAAACAAAAAACTCGGGAAAAGACCCGAAAAAAACCGGAAAACCAGGAAAACCCGAAAAACCCGACATGGCAGGGACGGGGAAAAGCCCGGGGCGGTCCCAACGAAAACCCGAATCCCGACATGGCGGGGGCCCCGGGAAAGACCGAACACGCCGCGGCGCCGTGGGTCTCGAAGGCCGTCTTCATGGCGCCGTAGCGCCGCAGCATCGCCTCGAAGTCTTCGGCGTTGGCCAAGAGGTCCGCGAGGCCCGACTTCTCCAAGACCTCCTGGGGCCACGTTTGTGTGTGTGAGTTGTTTTTCCGGGAAACCAAGGGAAAGCCACTTGTTTTTTGTATGGTTTTCATTTTTTCCGGGAAACCAAAGGAAAGCCACGTGTTGTTGCGTCTGTTTTTTCGGGAAACCGAAGGAACGCCACGTGTTTTTTGCTTTTTGTCGGGAAACCAAAGGAGCGCCAAGTGTTTGTGTGTTTTTGTTCTTCCTTTTTTTTAATATAAATGTTTCTTCTTTTTTTTTCCGGGAAACCAAAGGAAAGCCACGTGTTTTTTTCGGGAAATCGAAGGAAAGCCTGTTTTTGTTGTTGTTTTTTGACGGGAAACCAAAGGAGCGCCATGTGTTTGTGCGTGTTGTGGTTTTTTCGGGAAACCAAAAGAAAGCCACGTGTTTTTTGTTGGGGGAAACCGAAAGGACAGCCACGTGTTGTTGTTGTTTTTTGTCGGGAAACCAAAGGAGCGCCACGTGTTTGTGCGTGTTTTTGCCTCTTTTTTTTTCGGGAAACCAAAGGAGCGCCACGTGTTTTTGCGTGTGTTTTGAATCCCGGGAAACCGTAGGAAAGCCACGTGTTTTTTGTTGTTGTTGTCTTTTTCGGGAAACCAAGGGAAAACCCCACAGACTTGGCGCTTTTTGTTGTTTGTTTCTTTTTCTGGGGGGGGGGGAACCAAAGGAGAACCCCACAAATGTGGCGGTTCTTTCTTTTCTATATTTGAGACAAACCCATCTGCAAATTGTGTTCTTCCAAAAGCTGAATTACGAATTGTCCCAAAGTAAAGGACCTTTATCATGGTGAGCTCGTTACACCCCCAAATGAGCTCGCCAAAAAATTAGGCAGACTCATCCCTTCAGGGCTCTTCAGGGGAAAAATCACGTGATCCCTTCCATTTAGGCTTCCCTAAAAAAGGGAAAGACTTGGGACAAAGCATGTGCATTCCATTTAGACTTCCCTAGAAAAGGGAAAATCAAATTCCAGGTGGCAACCCCTCGCCCGATTCCATTTTGAATGGTTAGTAAACCGGGGTTTTACATTCCCTAGGCTTTATGAAGGCTAAACCCTACCTACGAGGCCAACTAAGCAATCAACGACTTCCTGGCTGCGGGTGCTTGGATGTTCGCGGAAAAAATAGTTTGTTGTAGTTAGCCATTTGGGTGTGAGACCCCCTCCCCCCCCCCCCCCCCAAATAACAGGGTCAAGTATAGGTTAACTCTACGGTCTCTAAATGGGCTACAACGTAGGTGCCCAACTTGCTGATCTTGAGGTGCTACCTGAGCTTGTCATACCCAAGCTCATGGTCACTAGAGAAGCTTTGCCAGGGTAGCTCCCCAGTTCAAGGGATCGTTCCTTCTTTTCAGACCACACAACACCTGCCCCAAAAAACATGCAAAACAGTCCTGTGTGGCTTCCCTTTGGTTGTCCCTTTCGTGTTTTGCTTTTGCCACTAAAAAAAAGCAAAGGGAAAGTAAGTGCCTTAAAATGGGGAAAACCACAAAAAAGAAAAACCTCCCCCTTGGTGTCATGTTTGTATTTCGCGCGTTTCCCTCAAACAAGAAAGCAAAGGGAACCGCCTTTCGGTGTCTGCCGCCTTTTGGCCCACCCCGTTGGAAATCCTTGATGCGCTGCATCATGGCAAGCAGCCGCGCGAGTTCCTCCGGGTCCTGCGGCCAAGTGCAATGTGGCTGCATTGTATGTGTCAACATGGGCTCACTTCCCATCGAGTGGATCAACCAAAACATGTGTCCAAACTGTTTGTTTATCACTAAAGCGGTCCAAACCCAAAAAGTGACTAAAGTCCAGGAACTCAGCAAGCGAGTAGCAGTAGGGGACCCCACAAGGTCTTCCCTTGTGGTTTCCCTTCCGACTAAACCATAAAAAGAGTGTCCGCAAAGGACCAGAATCCCAGATGGGCTCCTTTCAGATGCCACACGCATTCTCATTTGGTGCCAGCGATCATCCGATTGGAACCTATTAACCAGGCCCCCGATGCCCTCCCCCCGGCCCACGCCAAGAACCAACCAAACTCCTCAGGGGATCTGCAAATGAATAGAAGCAAACCACCAAAACAACAGCGCCTCTTGGATCCGTCTGGGACTGTTTCCTCCTATTAAGGGATTGTGTTAGGAACGGACTCTCTTGGGATTTGCACCCTGGTTGCGGGACTCGAGCCGAAGAAACGTGGTACAAGAACACTTGCAGGCGCTCATTTCGCTTCTGATTGGTCAAACGCAAACTGTGAAAAATGATCTTCCCAAAATGGAAGTCCGATTCCTCCAGGTGCGAGAATCTCCTTCAGGGATCTGTCCAACCAGAAAAACCATTTGCTCTTGCAGCCCTACCTAAAAAATCACAGAGTCCCAGGTTCCAGCCCAATTAGCCTAAGTTTGATATGTTTGTGCAGTCTTTGTGAGCTTCTCTCGGCTCGTTTGGGGAACATATCCCAGGTGGGTTTTCAGTTTTGCTCGAATGTGTTTGAGGGTGCCCCCTGTTTTAGGTTGGGTCAAGGGGAATCCAAAAGGACAAACACATGTTCTTGGGGATCAACATGCCCAGTCAGTCAAAATATGGCCATTCAGGAACCAAGCTCCAAGACGCAGATCGCCGAGCCCCCTGAAACCCTGCAGCAACCTGTCCAATCTGGAACTCCAACAAATGGCTAAGGCGATGACTAACTTTTCGTGGGTGAAACTTGGAAACCCCACCAAAAATCGGCAGATAAATCAACAGAAACCCCACTTTCCAAACAAAACTGCCAAGCAATCTGAGATATGTTTGCCACGCCCATCTGCCGCTGTTCTCGGCGGCCGCCCGAGCGCTCCTCGAGCAGATGCTCCAGGCCCAATTCTTTCAGCAAGTCCTCCAGCCGGGCGCCCCGCTGGACGAAGGCCCTCAGCAGGTCCTCGGGAAAGTTTGCGAAACGGGAGGTGGGACCTGAAAACAGACCACCCCTTTTACAGGGGACTTTGATGGACCCGCCAAACAAGAGGACTTGCAAAGAAAACCCTTTTTGGGGTTCCACACGTTGATGGACGGACGGCAAAATTGGGTGGTACTGAAAGGGGCAGGGTGCTTGCAAGAGGCTAGTATGCCTGGCTATAATCCACTGAACGGAGACGTATAAACATGGCTTTCGTGGGTAATAACCATGGTTATTGCCCACTTACTAGGTACGGGCCATGGACGGGGCGAAACGGGTGGTAGGCCCTGGCTCAATAATTTGGTTCCCGCGCGTCGTTAGCAAACGCTGATGGGAAATCACCAATCATCATTGCTAGAGATAAACCAGTTGCCACTATGAGCAACCAGCCATTGTCCCTTTGGTATCTTTTGGTGTTTAAAGGGTCCCCTTGGTTTCTCAACCAAAACCGGCAACCGGGGTTCTGTCCTTTTGGTGTTTAAAGGGTTTTCTTGGGAACCAACCATAACAGGCAACCGGTTGGGGGTTCCTCAGTTTGAGGGACCCAAACAAAAGCCACGTTAAACCAGGAAGGGGGCTGCTGGACTCCATTTGGGCCTTTGGGGTTTGCGGAGGAGGTGCTAGCGTCAGGGGTGTCTGGAGCCCAAATGGGGGAAAGGTGCCATCTACTTTCACCCCACTCGGGACTGACTAACAAACTCGAGGATGAGGGGCCACATAAATACATGATCAGAAAAGGTGAGTTCAGCCCGACAACTATCCATTGGGTGTGTGTGTAACCAGGCTATAGCACACCAGGATCCTTGCTGCACTTCTCAAGGAGCCCTACCACGCGATAGACCGCAGTTGCCAGCGTAGCAGGCAACCAGCCGCTTATGTACGCCAGGACTTGGAATCATTGGGTAAGGTTATGCTGTTGGCCAAACCAGGCTACGGTGAAACTGGGTTCAACTGGTTCCCTACTTGCAATATGTGGGGAATCGAGCGTACTGTGTGCAGTTCAGCACATCCGGCCTTTGAAATTTGCCGAGGGGTTAGGGATAAGATCCTCAGGACCAGAGGTCCAAGAGTGAACCTCGTCCCATTGCTGCCGTGAACGCGCCAAGAGAGGGACATCTTGTTGCCGGTTCAAAACACATGAGCGAATGTGCAGCTCCTCCTTTTGTTGCGGGGTGTTTGTCCATGTTAGAGGACACGCTCTGACTAAATGCCTCAGCGTGCGCCTCGGCGTGCGCCTTGGCGAAAATTTATAGATAGATTCAGAGCCATAGCAAGGGGCGTTTTTGCAACCTAGTGTCGATTTGAGGCCATTAAGGACAGTGATTGGCCCAAATCTGGGGTACGTATGCAATAATATGTGTCTCTGAGTATGTTTCGTGCTTGATCTACCTTAAAATATACAGCTAGGTCCTCCAGTAGAGCGGTTAGAATAAGGGTACCATCTTTTTCTGATTTGTCTATTTTAGTAGGGGAGCCCTCCCAACCAACAAAGTTGGGTGAGAGGTCGGGCACCCTTTCGCTGGACCTAGAAACTAGCTTTCAAGATCCCAGAGTCATGTGCCATCGCCCCTTGTGAGTCGGCTCCGAAGGTCCGAACTTGCGGCCAAAACCCATGGACCTTCGGTACTATGTTCCACTCACATGGCTATGGGTCAAAACCCCGTACCGCCAGTGAACATCCCAATCCCCACTAGAATAGACTAAAATGGGTGGTGCACCTACCCCAAAATGGTACCATTGGCGTTGACCCACGGCCACATGGTTCAGGCAGGTGTTGGGGCTTACTATAATACCTATCAAATCAAGTGGTAGACAAATCCTGTGCCTGAATCAGGATTGATGAAAAAGAGTCTAATGCTCTGAATCACCTGCCCGCCATGGTTTGTTTAGGAATCGGTTTAGGGCGCGGCTCACTTGGGCGTGCTTTGTCTACTTGCTTGGTTTCAAGGGAATAACAAAAACATGGGAAACCACAATTATTGTTGTTTTATGTGTCCGCGATGGTTTGAAGGAAGCGGGGTTCGTTTCAAGGGAAACTCCAGAAAACACGCCCATGGGTGTTTCCTGCATTTTCTGGTGGGGGTCTTTTTTTGAAAACACACCCAGGCTGCAAAACACTTCCTCGGGTCTGAGTCTTCACAACTGTACATGCGATCAAGTGGAACCAGGGCTGGTCACCCGCTGGAGCCAAGGTGCCGGATCCTCCAGCAAGTGCTCCCTTGAGGCCTCTTGGAAGATCTGGCGGAACGTGGCCAACTGGTCCCGGTGCTTCAAGAAGTCCTACGGCGGCTTCGGCGCGAGGCTGGGTATTCTCTCCGGGGTGGCTCACTCCCCCAAAAAAATCAGAGTGGCACCTATCAAAGGGTTGGGATACAGGAAATTCTACGAAAAAACAGCTTATTTAGGGTGTTTTGGGGCCATTTCCTGCATTGTCCTGCAACCAAACCCTTTGACCCTAGGTTTTAGTTGTCCCCCACACCTACAAACTAATGGGTTTTGCGGGGGTTTTAAGGGCTGTTTTCAGCGTTTAAAAGGTTCGATAAGCAATGAGTAGGAATCCTCATGTAATGACGTCCGAGGTTAAATCCCATGGTTACACAGATGCAAACCCCATACAATGAAAACATAAACCCTTATAAGCCCTTTTTCACCCTTATTCAACCCTTATGCCCCATGTCCAGTATGCGGCTAGTAACCAAATCACCAAACCAACGGTAGATCTGTGTCCACACAGGCTTACCAGAGGACACTCATTTTACGGCCCAAAAGATGATGACTACAACCACAGGAAATCTTGGGTGTTTAAACATTGGTGGACATCAACTAACCATGGGCATCCACGAATGCTTAAGTGCCGGGTTGGGCGACAAGGCCGTCGCCTAGGTAATAACTTATAACCGACCAGATCCCCTTTGCGGCGCTAACCTTAGTGGGTTATGACCCAGGTGCCCAACTTGCTAACGCCGAACATCCAACATGGACACCCTTCTCCGACGTCAGGGGACATTTCGGGGATCCCCCGCAAAAGGCTCCAAAGTCTGCGGGGAGCGGGGGGAATGGGCGGGGTCGGGTTTCCATGAAGCAGGCTCTATTCCACTTCAGCCCCAGAATGATCCCCGGAACAATATCAAGCCCCACCAAACCTGCCCTAAGGGTCCTGACCCCTCCAATGGCTCGATCCATTTGGAGGGCCCAAAAACAGGCGGAACCCTTCGGGATGCGGATCAACATATCCAGTCTGAAGTCAAATTTGGGGGGCCAGGAAAAAAGCAAACAAACGGCGATTCGCAAAAGGCGTTGTAGCATTTGGCAGTTCTGAAGTTCTGCTGACTCCCACGATGCGTAACCCCTGAATCCACGGTCTACGGAAGATTCTAAACACAAAAATGGCGAAGCCCCGGTCTCGCATCTGCCCCGGTCTCGCATCTGTGGCTCACTTCTGAGTGGTGGATGGCCCAAAAAAAGTTCAAACTTTATATTTACCACTAAACTGGTCTGCCCAAAAAGTTTTAAGTTCATGAACTGAGGAAGTGAGGTGGCTTGGGAGAATTCCCGCCAATTTCCCCCTGACGAGTTGAGGTTTCAAGTGGCCCGTCCTCAGATCCAGGGCGAGTTCAACTTTTGGGTGAAAATCGACGCCCCCCCCCACAAACCCACAAACCCACAAACCTGAAGGCTAAGGAACCGGACGGGGAACTGACAAGTTCCACACCAGGGACCTCAAGTTCAAGTTGCGCAAAGTGACCTGCAGAGTTGACTGGCCACTTCGGGCCTTGATCACACCTGTCAGCAAAAGTCTTAGGCTTGCCACCTGACCCCTCGAGGGAGAGGAAGTGGTACTTGTGTAGATGAAGACCTCTAGATCCAGTTAGTAGAGAGGTTAGGGTTTCGGGTACCAACTTTGTTCTGTAGTCTGTTTTAGAAAGGGAATCCCCCCCCCCCAAAAAAAAGAGGTAAAAGGACACCACTGAGAAACCTAGACAAAAAGGATTGAAAGGGGAAGCTACACATTGACTGGAAGGTCTTTGGGTGTCGACAAATCAGCCCCAAGACCCGACCTGTTTAGAAGTTTTGGGACTCAAACAGAACAGGGGGAGCCGATGGATCCTTGTTTAGTAATATGGGGGGTATCCCTGGTTTCGTGGGGATTTATCACTATTGGAGGGGAACACTCCCTATTAATACAAAGGGTGCATTAATCCGGGGAATTAATTGCAACTTGTCTTAGCGCCCCATGCTCTGCGGGATCTATGGCGTCTGGTTGTTTGAAACGTTGCCTGACACTGCAAACGACCCGAAAACAACCCTGTCCTCTTCAAAGGTATCCCTCTGTTGTTGCACGTCCTGGCAGACTGACTGAACGGTCTGTCCGAAACACATATCGGAGGGTGATGACAATGGCTAGGAACTGTTGTGTTGTACTTTTCTGTACGATTCCCATCCCCGTGACGATTTTGCTTTGACACAGACTGTTAGGATTCTTCTCGATAACTAGCGAACAACATCCTCTCTGGGTGCTAAATAGGGTTCCGGAACCATTTGTGAGACATTGTGTACCCAGATCTTGATAGCACAGTTCCACTCTGCTCCGCGCTCTCTGTTTCCCAACTTAGCAACCGGCGGTTGCCAACGAGAAACAACCAAAACTGCACGTCGCTTCAAACGCGCTTCAGCCAGACAACACACAGCCCCACCTTTCTATTGATTGGACACCACTCCCCCAAACAATAGCATGGACAACCAACCAACCCACCCCTCTGGGTCCAAACCGAGTCTGCGGATGTACCAAACGTCCCTTTGCAGCTTCAGTGCCAACACCGAGCCTCTCAGCTTAAGATGGCGAACCCTGGGCCAACATCAATCCCCATGTACTCAGTGTACTCGCTTCCTGAGTGGGTTGGCCCAAAAACGTCCAGACTTCTTGAGTTTTTTCACACCGAAATCCGGTCCAAACCCCGAAAGGTGAAAAGAACGTCTGGAACTCGGGAGCTGTAAATGTCCAAAGGGTCGAACCACAGAGCATGAAAGTTCACACCCAAAACCACTCAAAATCTCCACGACCCTCTAAAAACGGGGTCACGACCCCTTTATTCGGGCATCATGATCCCATGTTTTAAGGGTCAGGAGGAGACTCTAGGCACGCAACAAAAAAGCACCAAACAAAACACATCAATCCTTAAAGGAACCATCATTTTCTTGACCCCCCGCACTCTTTCACAGCAAAACCACCCAAAAACAACACACACCCACACCCACACCCACACCCACAAACCCACAAACCCACAAACCCACAAACCCACAAACCCACAAACCCACAAACCCACAAACCCACAAACCCACAAACCCACAAACCCACAAACACACACACGCAAACACCCAAACACCCAAACACCCAAACACCCAAACACACAAACACACACAAACACACAAACACACAAACACACAAACACACAAACACACAAACACACAAACACACAAACACACAAACACACAAACACACAAACACACAAACACACAACAACACACAAACACACACAAACACACACAAACACACACAAACACACACAAACACACAAACACACAAACACACAAACACACAAACACACAAACACACAAACACACAAACACACAAACACACAAACACACAAACACACACAGAAACACAGAAACACACACACACACACACACACACACAAACACAAACACACAAACACACAAACACACAAACACACAAACACACAAACACACAAACACACAAACACACAAACACACAAACACACAAACACACAAACACACAAACACACAAACACACAAACACACAAACACACAAACACACAAACACACAAACACACAAACACACAAACACACAAACACACAAACACACAAACACACAAACACACAAACACACAAACACACACACACACACAAACACACAAACACACAAACACACAAACACACAAACACACAAACACACAAACACACAAACACACAAACACACAAACACACAAACACACAAACACACAAACACACACACAAACACACAAACACACAAACACACAAACACACAAACACACAAACACACAAACACACAAACACACAAACACACAAACACACAAACACACAAACACACACACACACAAACACACAAACACACACACACACACCAAGAAGACCACAAACAAACCCCACCCCCCAAACCACCCAAAGCAAGCCAAAAGAAAACATGTTTTTTGCCCCCATTTGTTTTATTAAAACAAACCAAAAACACATATCACAATAATAATAATCATAATAATAATCATAAATCGGGGGAGACACCGCCCTCCGCGTTCCGCCCATCTGCGGCCTCCAGCTGCCGCTTCAACTCCGCGAGCTCCTTCTCCAGCGCCTCCAGCGCCTCGGAGGTCGCCTGGGAGGCCTCACCGATCCGCGGCTCGCTCGAGCCGCGGAGGTCTGGGAGGTCGGGGGGAGGTGGGGGGGTGGGGGACGGTCGATTTTGCAACCTCTTTCTTTTAGGCTATTGTTTTTTTAGGGTATGGTTACAAGATAGACTCTAGGTGTCCGTGGCAAGGGGGGGGGGGCAGGGGAAGGGGGGCTTTGGTGGGAGACTTGGGAGAGGCCTAAAAAACTTGGACTGTTCGAGCCAAAATTGGTCTAGATGGTTGTGTGGTAAACCTGGGAAGTGACCTGGGCGGGTTCTGGTGGTTTTGCACCTTTTGCAGGGAAAGTTCGTGTGGTTTTGTACATGACAGGGAAACCACAAAGGGAAGGTTCCCCCGCAGTCAGCTGGTGGTTTTTCGTTTTAGCCCATACCCATTTGTTTCTAGCTTGTTTGAGAAACCTACAAGATGTCCAATCCACAACCTGCTCACGCCCCTGTCTAGAAAATCCAGTCTGCTACTCTGGCCAAATGTGACTTCGAAGATCCCTTGGTGGGTTGGCTGAGGCCTGGACGTGGCTTATCATTGGGTTGGTTTAGGGTCGGTTTCGGGGTGGTTTGGGGTTGGTTTAAGGTTGGCTTAGTGATGTCACTCGCAAATCCAACCCCAAGCCCGTCAGGTGAGAAACAAACAACACACCATGGACGATGGACGCCAGTGGGAAAGCAAGCGGTTGAGCTTGGCCAAACAAACAATCATGATTGAAGGCGTTCTTGTCGCCTTTCAAGGATCATGAAGGCAATTTACTTTTCTTTGAAGAAAGAAAAACAAGTTGCTTAAGTTGAACACTCTGCGACTAAATCCCTTCAGCCCAAGGACCAGACACGCGGCACAATCAGGTGGGCGCACAGGGTCTCACTCGAGCTGGCCCAAAAAGGGTTTTCCACTAAGATGGCCTTCCCAAAAGTTTGAAGTCCAACCCCCCCGAAGCGAGGATTCCTTTTCAGTCCCTTTGGATCACCCAAAAGACCACTTACAAATGACCCAAGCGGAGATTGGCAGCTAACCCACAAGCAACCGAACTGAATCTAGGAAAGGAGCTGTGCTGCAGAATTCAGCGAACCACCAACGGGCATGGTTTTGTTTTTGTCTGACCTGTCCAAGATCTTTCTGTTGGCTGCTTGAGGGGAAGCGGAGAAACCTCCGGCAACAGGTCAAATAAACACCCCCGCAGGTCCAAACAAAAACAAACAGTTCACCACCATATAGGTGTCCTTTTTGGGAAAATAGATGGCCCTGGTAGTTGATTGAACCACCACGTAAGCCAGGGCCCTCAATTTTCAACCAAAAAGCACACCTATGTCCACCGCCAACCACCCCGGGCCCCACCGCGAAAACACAAATCCCTGCCTCGAGGTGGCTCTTGCGCTCTTGGAAGAAGCGATGGGCGAGCTCCGCATCCTGACGCCAAAACCAGGGCTCCAGTTGGCTGAGTTGCTTATTATTTCATTTGTTTTTTGCGACCCTGGGAAAACTTGGTTGCTTTATGCTCCCCTGTTAAAAGTTTAACTTTTAGTGGTGTTATGGAAACCCATTAGTTGGCAAAAAGTTAAAGTCCGAACATCCAAGCACATGCACCAAAGAAAATACATGTGTCCAATAGTGATAGACTCCCTTTAAAACCAACAGGGGAACAGAAACATATTCCCAAGCAAATGGAAGTTTATTGCGATTGATATTGTTTTGTTTGTTTGTCTGGTTGGTGTGGATGCATCACGTGGCCCTTATGATTCCACCCAAGATTATGGATTTTAGTTGGGGGTGTTCGCCACATCTGGCCGGGGTAAATAACCAGTCTGGCCCCCAAAAGCGATGCTGATACTCATCAAAGTTGTCATAGACTAAAAAAAAAAGACTGGTCGGAAAGGCAAGCAACAATAATTGTATAAGCTGGAGGAAAACTCCCTTGTATCGGGAAATGAACTTGTTTGTCGTGCAAAAGCCAAGGCCGGCCCATTGATCAAGCCTGGCAGATCAATGTCTCGGATAGGCTTTGTGGGGTGGAAACAAAGCCTAAGAAACCTGCGTCCCGTTTGTGGGAGTCCAAATGATATGGACTTCACCTTCAAGGGGGGCTAGGGGGTCGTCAACCATCAACCCTTAATGAGGCCTTGATAGTTGCCTCTCCTTGGCTTATCTTGGGCTTTTCCAGCAATAGTCCCCCCTCTCCGCAGCCCCCCCATAGGAGGTCGGGGGCCTCGCAGTGGTACGGATGTTGGCGTCCCCTCCAAGGTTCAAGGTATGTTCTTTTGCGCAAGCTGATTTCAAAGGTATATACCTCCTTTTGAAGTCAAATGCGAATGATGCCCTGAAAAGAGTGAGTATTTGGAGTAAGGAGTTGATCCTGGGAACACCTGTAGTTCCCACGCCGAAAATCGGGGATCCCTGAGGGACCTTCATGGGAATCGCTGATTCAGCGAGACCGCAATTTGCCCAAGGGTCCATAAAGACCACAAAGCCAAGACCTGGAACAAGAATGGGATCCCCAAGTGGCCCAATCGACAAATTGATTCCACGCCTCCAAAAGAGGAAGGTGTTCCGCCTCCTCGAAGACGTCGCGCACCTGACGCGCGCTGTTTGACACTGAGCTGCCTGAGCCAAAACTGAATGACCTACTTGGATGTTCGGCCGCCTAGGTTACAACTCGCTGACTGGTTAGAACCCAGGCGCTGTCAGCTAGCTAACTTGGCTGAACAGTCAAGTAGGGACCACAGGATACCCCAAACCCATCCCCCAAAACAAGCCAAGGGATTGGCCGCGAGGAAGGCCAGTACCCACTGGTGCGTGGGGCGCCTACTTTGGAATCCGCTGGAGGTTTGCCATGATGGCTCGAGGGTCCCTTAGCTTGTGAGGATGAAAACCTGTTTGGTCACTCACTCCCTCACTCCCTCCCTCCCTCCTCCCTCCCTCACCTCACCTCACCTCACCTCACCTCACCTCACCTCACCTCACCTCACGTCACCTCACCTCACCTCACCTCACCTCACCTCACCTCACTTCACTCACGCGCTCATTCACTCATTCTGCCCCCCCCAAATCGCTGGGTGCTCAAACGCGAACCAATCACAATAACGATATCACGCAGCAAAAGCCGTCAACGAGCACATAATTACCCGGTAATTCCGTTTATACAGTAGCAGCAAACCAAAAGAGTAGCAGCAAACCAAAAGAAGCACCCTGTGAAAGTGGAGCGAAAATGGCTGGCTACCTGGGAGACTGACTCAGCGCGCTTCTGCGCTTGGCAAGTAGAAAACGGCAGCCCATGCTAAATGGACACTGTGGGAGACTGACCCAAGCTCCAAAGCTCCCAAAATGCCACCTCAATCCCCGGTCTCCTTAGCCCAAGCGGGGAATGCGGCAATACAACGACTTCCTGCTTCTGCCCTGCGTTGTAAGGGCCCGGCCTGGCGGTGGGTGGCCAAAAACCCGTCCAGCAGCCCTGGGTCTGCGAAGAGTTCCCCGAAGCCATGGCTCTCAAAGGCGCTCTGCAGCGCCACGTAGCGCGCCAGCCTGCCAAATACGCGCGGTCGCACGCGTGCTCGCGCTGGCGGGTCGTGCGTCAGTCGCGCGCGCTCGCTTGTTCAGAAAGGCGACTATGGAATTCAGGTGCTTAAAGCAGCAAAGAAGGACAGCGCCGTTTTCTGGGCTCCGCTTGATTTCACGCGCTTACGCGGCCTTTCTCGTTAGGGAAAGACTTTGTTTCGCCGGAGCAAGCGACTGAACATCCCGTTGGCGTCGCCCCGGCTCAAGCCCTGCAAGCAACTAGCACGCGCTAGCCACTTGGGTTAAATCCCACCGACAGGTTTAACTCCACTTAAGCTACGTGTAAGTGGGATATAACCATAGGTTCAAAACGTCTTACCGAATTGGCAGACCGGGACGAAGCCGCCTGCATTGACATGGAGCCCCCTCGGAAATGCACAGTTGACAGGCACCCTGACCCAGTTACAAGGCGGGTTCTCCAGGTAGTTATAAAACCTTGGGCTTCATGCGTCTTGCGCAAAGTGGATGTCGCTCAGAATCTGGGAATGTGCTGAAGTACAACAGAAACCATCCCGAAAAGATGGTTTCCTTTGGCTTCAACCCGAAAAGGGCACCCTCAAAAAGCACGCGCAGTACACACACACACATTCCCCCGCTCTCTCTCTCTCTCTCTCGCACACACACACACACACACGCGCGTCTTTGTAGAGTATTAACAAGGGGCACTCATCAGGAATGTGACCTTCAGATTAATCCGGACCACGATACTAATCAGGGGTGGTTGCCCTGGTAAGGCAATCATCTATTTCATTGGATTTCTTTGACTAGTAGGGACCTCCTCTCATTCAAACCTGGAGTCAACGTTGCGTCTTTTGTTGAGGGTATGTTACGTCGCCCTGAAGAGAGAGAAACCTGGGCTGCCCTCAGATCCCCCGCTGAAAGCTTAACTCTTAGTGGCTTAAATGGAAACTACCACTAAACACTAAACAACTAAAAGGTTAAAAAGATGGCTGGGAGCCACCAAGAGACCACAAAGGGAAAACCCGGCCGTTTTTCCAGGTGCGACTTTGAGCCGCATGTCACCCGAAAGCTCACCCCCTCAGCCGGGCGGCATGTCCTCCAGAGCCGTCGGATCCAGCAAAGCCTCGAGGCCGAAGCGCCCAAAGATCTCCTAGGTCGAGGCAAGGTCGGCTGGTTCTCAGCGAATAATTCCCAGAAACTACCCCTTATGGCTTCAACTAGGTCCTCCAGTAGAGGTTAGAATAAGGGTACCAACTTTTTCTGTAGTCTATTTTAGTAGGGGAACCCTCCCCCAACAAGGAGGGAAAAGGGCACTACTCGGGGCCTAGTTTCCTTTAAGAAGAACCCTAGGTTCATTCCCAACATCCTGGGTCATTCCCTACTGCGCACCAGTTCCCTCAAACTCGCGAGAACCGGGGAATATAATATGACGCTGAGCAAATTCGGGCCCCCGATCGGGTGAGCAGTCCCGCAAGGCTGGCAGACGGGATTGGCACCGCAGCGCGTATCGTTGCGCAACCGTCTGCACACTTCCGTGGGGTCGACTCTCAACCCGGTGCTTCTGTTGTTGCTTTTTTACTTTCGTCGGGGGAGATGTAACGGAATGTAGAGGGAGAGAGAGAGAGAAAAAGACAGAAACAGAGAAAGAGACAGAGAAAGAGACAGAAAAAGAGAACGAGAAAAGATAGAGAGTGAGAGAAGTAGAGGCAAAAAGAAAGAAAGAGAGAGAAAGGCAAAGTGAAAGAGAAACAAAAAGAGAAAAAGAAAGATACAGAAAAGAAAGAGAAAAAGAAGGAGAAAAGATAGAGAGAGAACCTGAAAGAGACAGAGAAAGAGACAGAGAAAAAAGGAGAGACAGAGAAAGGAACAACGAGAAAGAGAAAGGTAAAGTCAAAGAAAAATATACAGGTAAACAACACACCTGAAAGAGACAGAACAAGAGACAGAGAAAGATAGAGAGAGAGAGAGAGAGAGAGAGAGAGACAGAGGAAGATAAAGAGAAAGAGAGCGCAAAAGAGAAGAATAAAAGATAGAGAGAGAGAGAGAGCGCAAGAGAAACGTTGCGAAAAAGATAACGAGAAAGATAAAGGAAAAGTGAAAGAGATAGACAAAGGGAAAAAGAAAGAAAGGAAAGAGAAAGAACGATAAAGAAACAAAAAACAAGGGAAGATCTCGTCTATGTTCCGAACCAAGTCGATTACACACCAACTCAGATCCATTCAAACCCTCCAGCAGTATAATATCTGATTGAGACCACTCCCAACATGAGCCCTTGGGATACTGAATGCATCTGACATCAGTGCTCCGAAAGTCTTGACGCGAGGCTAGAACAATGACATCCTGGCAATGGAATCCAAGCAGATCTCCACTCTGGAGGTTACGTCCCAATTTGCCTTCCGGAAGAATTCCTTTGCTCCAAACAAAACGGGAATCCCAAGCCTCGGTCACAACTTGTCAGTCCCCAAACCTCCCTTCCTTAGTGGATTGGCCACTGAAAGTCCGAACTTCTGATTTACCTCCGAAAACTTGGTCTTTCCAAAAAGCTTGTTGAACGTCCGCGAACTGAGAAGAACAAGGTCCAATGAACGATGAACCTGGAACAGGCCAGGTTAGCAGGAGAATCTGCTGGGAAACAAGTTTGGTGTCCGGTCGTTGGACCTGAAAAACAGACGCCGATTTGTTCCACACTTGGTAGACCTGGATCTGGACCTGAGGATATGATGGGACATGCTTGGTGTCACAGCATCGAAAGGGATCCAAGGTGGATCACGCGCCCAAAACCCATTCACGCTTGCCACAAGCATGGTCATAAAAGGTTTATATAGAGGTGTGTGTCTTTTGGGGGTATCCCCGGTTTGGCAGTTTTAAAGGTTTATATAGGTGGGGGTCTTTTTTGGGGTACTCTTTGTTGTTTTGTGGTTTTAAAGGAAACCAAAGAGGAAACAAACCTCAAAACGACAGACCCATACAGGCTTTAGTATAACTTTCGTCTGAGAACCCTGGCAGTAGGACCTACTATGGCCATGCAAAAGGGGGGTTTTGGGCTCTCTCGTCCAGACCGCTCCTGGACCTTTTGCATGACGCTCAGCAGTCGCCCCATCTCCTCAGGGTCCTGCGAAGCTGGCTGGAGAGAAGCCGACATCGCGGGGCCCATCCCCAAATCCACAAAGTTGATTCGTTTCGATAGCAAACAAGCAACCCTTCTTTTGAAGTTGGTTGGTTGTTCCAGATGATCCCTTTCCATATCTGCCATGAATAAACAAATGGGAGGAGCCTCATGGACTTCAAAAGTATGCTCATTTACTTATCTACCCTAAACAAAGAAAACAACAAACAATTGCACAATTGGAGCTTTGAGCCAGCCACATCTCCGGTTCTGAGTCTCCTCCCCCACCCCCACCCCCCTCACCCCTCACCTCTCCCCCCCCCTCCCCCCCTCCCCCCCCTCCCTCCCCCTCCTCCTCTCGCCTCACCCCCCCCCTCCGACCGCCTCCAGCAGCGCCTCGAGGCCCAAGCGCTTCAAGACCTCCTCCAGCCGCCCGTGGCGCTCCGCAAAGGCCTCGACCCGAGCGGAGTTCGTCGCAGCTTCGGGGCGGAGCGAAGCGAAGGGAGCGCTCGCTGCGTGTTTCTGGGTCGATTTTTGCGCCACCAAAAACCATGTGCGTGTTTTGGGTGTGGCGATTTTTTGGGAGGGCACACCATGCTTGGGGATTAAGGGACAACAACCAGGAAAACCACCATGACTCTGTGCGGCCAAGGACAAATTGACCCGGGGATTTGTAGGGAGTCGACCCTTTAGTTTACTCAAAGGGCTACCTTCTAAAAGGCGCATGCGCCGGATTCAACAAGGGTGGCTTCCCTGGCTGCCTGCCACACGTGGCCGTTGAAACCGGCAGCTTGGTGGTCACCGCACGTCGCAAATGAAGTGAATTCTAGTACCAGGTCCTCCAGATTTGAGAGGTTGGAATAAGGGTACCAACTTTTTTCTGTAGTCTATTTTAGTAGGGGACCCCTCCCTCCCAAAAAAAAAGTGGGTGAGAAAGGGCACTACCGAAGCACCTAGAGTAGTTGTGCGCTTAGAATCCAAAATATCACCCAAGAAATGAAATTGGCCACCGCCTTTCTCTTGGCCCCTAAAGGTCATACGCCAATCAGCTTTTCCCGTTTGGTTTTGCTCGGCTTCGGAAGCCGCGCCTCGATGTTGCTTAGGCTTCCCTTCAGGTACCAGGGCTTTTTGCTTAGGGTGCCCTGAGGGCCATCTGCCAACACTACTCTCAAAGATGCATGGCGGCCTTCAGGTACCAGGGATTTTTTCTCAATCCTACGGTTTTTCTGGGGGATTATGGTTTCTTGGTTGACGTTGGAAGGGGAGCAAAGATTTGAATTTTAGCAACTAAGTGGTTGGAGTGTACAAATGTTTCCCAGCACCGGAGGGCCATCTTACGGTTTTTCTAGGGGAGTCTGGTTTGGTCCCCTTCGGTTTCCTTGGGGTTTGGTGAGAATTCAAGCCAGACACATCCGGGCCTTTAGGGCTTCCGGGTCGTCCAGCAAGTGCTCCAGCTTGGCATCCCTGAAGATCTGGCGGATGCTGTCCAAGGCCTCTTGCAGCTCCTGTCGCAGATTCAGAGGTGAAAGAAGCAAGCAAGCAAGGAAGCAGACAGCAAGCCAAACCGAACCGAACCAAACCAACAAACCAACAAACAAAAAAGAAACAAGCAAACAAACCAGCAAAAACAAAAGAAAGGCAGAAAGAAGTAAAGAAGAAAACAAAGAAATAAAGCAACAAAGAACGAACATATCGAAATAAATGCAGGAAAAAAGAAAGCAACCAATAGTGCAACCAATAGAGAAATAAATAAATACATGAAGAAAGACATAAAGAACAATGCGATAGAAAGAAAGGAAGGAAGAAGGAAAGAAAGAACTGACAAAGTAGAAACAAACATAAGGATAGAACCAAAGAAAGACAGTAATAGAGAAAGAAATAACGAAGGAACGAAGGAACGAAGACATGAACAAAGTGAGTGAGCGAGCCAGCGAGTCAGTGAATGAGTGAATAAATGAATGAAGGATTGAATAAATGAATGAAGGATTGAATGAATGAATGAACACATGAATGAATGAATGAATGAATGAATGAATGAATGAATGAATGAATGAATGAATGAATGAATGAATGAATGAATGAATGAATGAATGAATGAATGAATGAATGAATGAATGAATGAATGAATGACTGACTGACTGACTGAATGAATGAATGAATGAATGCATGCATGCATGCATGAATGAATGAACGAACAAACAAACAAACCAACGAACAAACAAACGAAGGAATGAATGAATGAATGAACGAAGGAGGGAAGGAAGGAAGGAAGGAAGGAAGGAAGGAAGGAAGGAAGGAAGGAAGGAAGGAAGGAAGGAAGGAAGGAAGGAAGGAATGAACAAATGAACAAATGAATGAATGTATGAATGTAACAACAAATGAAATAAAGAAAACCAAAGAAATAAATAAAGAAAGACAGAACCAATCAATCAATCAAACAAACACACACACACACACAGCACAAATAGAGGCACAAACAAACGGACGGACAGACGTGTCAAAACATATATATATATATATACCAGCATCCGCTACTTGGATGACCCTCCCACTTTCCAAGCAGCCAATATTATCAAGGCTCAACACTCTTCCTCCACATACTTGGATGTTCCTACACTTACTAGGTCCCCCAGTAGAGAGGTTAGGGTTTAGGGTACCAACTTTTGTTCTGTAGTCTAGTTTAGTGGGGGACCCCTCACCCAAAAAGGGGTAAAAGGGCACTACTGGGGGACCTAGCTTAAGTTTCTCTTGTAAACAAAAGTGCATTCGAAAGCTGCCTTGGAATCTCTAAGCAAATCTGTGACCGTCACCTGCAGCGTGCAAAATGGATCAACTCACCGGAGGGTCTGCAAGACAGGCTCATCCATCACGAAAGCCGAGCTACAGCTGGTGCAAAAGCACTCTCTGCATATTGGTGCGTGTGTGCTTTTTAATATACCCGTACTTTTGGGGGGTGGTTGAAAGGACAACCAAAACAGAAACCACCTTTGTTGGGATCACATGTACCCATATTTCATCGGCCGACTCATGACGCACTCCTCGCACTTCTTATTTCGCTCATCCAGCAGTGTCGCAGCGTCTTGCAGCCTCAAAAAGCAACTGGCTGCAACCTAACATGGAACCTAAGAAAACCCACCCAGTTGTAGAGGAATCTCCTGTTTTTGGGGACCTTTTGCTTTTGGCTCCATGAGCTCCATGTCAATTTGTAGGGTAGGCCAACTGAGTATGTCAATGTCGGTAACAAGCGTTATAACCTAAGTCCCCAGAAATGGCCAAATTGGGGTAGTGCATCCTGACAAGGTACCAAGGGAACCTTCTCATCGGCAAGGGGCTGGCCCTTGTTCGTTGAAGGCAAACCTGCCCAACAAAAGCTCACTTTCCGAGTCTCGGGAGCCACAGAAAGGGAATACCGCCCAGACAAACCACTTGCAAGACGGAGTTTCCCGATAGGAAATCACTGACATCCGTTTTCCGCCTCTTGTTTGCCGTTGAATCACAAGGGCAACCCAGCAATGCAGTATCCCACCTCCACGTGGCCCCCATGCTGGATTTCCGGCTGACCGATGAACCTAAGAAAAACATTTGACGCCCAGAAAGGGGAATGGACATCTGCCGGGAATCGGCTACACGGCACTCAACAGGGGAAATGCCAATGGCCACTGGGAAGCTGGTGGATCTTCTTCAAATACTCTCCGATCCTTTCCGCCTGCGTCTCCTGATCGCTGATCTTTCGGACCGAATTCCCCCAAACCCTCTTGGAGGATGTGCTTCATGGGCCACAAAGGGCTCGCCTGATACATGCTCAAGGTACTAAGCCCCCGGGAAAAGCCGCAAATTCACAGGGCTCCAATGACTAGAACGAATCAGTTCACCAAATTGCAAGGTTCCAACAAACTGAAACTGTCGGTCCAAGTAAGCAGTTGGAATTGAGGGCCCTTGATTCAACCAGTGACCAAAAAAAAGGAGCCATGGTCCGAATATTCGCAGCAAGTCCCTTTGACTTGGAGTAGCCCCGAGCCCAAGGGCTCCATTGCTTCCTCGCTTATTCCTTTTCCCGCCTGGCTCCTTCCTTCACCCATCTCCAACTTCTGAACAAAAAAAAAACAAGGCGCGTCTGACCTTCCACCAGCCTAAAGTTACCCAACCTGGGCAAAGGGATCCTTCTTGGACTCCATTGCTTTAGGGTCAGTTCTACTCAGCCGTCTCCAAAAGAAGCACACCAACAACACTAGACTCCAAGGTAAACAGCTTCTCAATCGGCTGGTCTGCTAAAAAAAGGGGGCAGCCAAGTACAGCGCCCTGGAGCTAGCCCCCCCCCCCCCCCCGCTGGAACGGCACCCTCCTTAGCACTACTTGGAATCCCAAAGCTTTGGGCGGAGCCCGCCCCACTGCTCTTCCGCTGGCCGTGGGTCGAAAAGCGGTTTCATTGGCCTAAACGCCGCGAGACAACCCATAGTCCGTTCCGCCTTTAATGAGTCATTCGGTCGCCCCATGAACTCCCGAGTGATTCGGCGTATGTTCAAATGGCTGAGTCATTCGGCTTGTTCCATGGGCTCCCGAGTGATTCGGAGTGGCTGTGGGTCAAACAAAAGGATGCCTTGCCCATCAAGGACTCAAAGCTGTCCATTTCCAGGTGAGGTCTTGCCAGCTGGGCACGGAGCTCGCGCGGAGCCGGGGTCCCCATGTTGCCGGGGATGCCACTTGCCGGTGGAGTGGATTGGCCCAACAAGTGTCCGAACCTTGTGGTTTGCCACTAAAATGGCTGTGGCTCAGAACAATGGAGTGGACACTTGGGTGTTGGGCCAAGTTGCTAAGTTCTTGGCAGCTTTGGTGATAGCCCACTTACAAGCTCCTAAGTTGCTGTGGCTCAAACAAATGTACCAACATGGCACCTTGGAGAAAAAAAAAAACACTAAAACCTCTAGCTCTGAACAAAGTTGAGCCACACCCAAATGGTCTTCCCAAAAAGTTTGCAGTCCCATTCTCTGAAACCACCAGGCAGCATCTCTCAACCCGGCGAAGGATTCGCTCCTCCTCGTGCTGGTACAGGATATTCGCGGCTTTCCTTGGGCGATCAATAGGGTCATGGAAGCTCATGGGGCGTAGTGCTTTACCCCTTGGATGCTCCGCATGAAAACCATTCGAACCGGGCGTTGCTAGTGTCTGGTGGTGGGCTTCACCTGAGTTTCTCCGCAGATTCGTGGAAGCACCACCCAAACTCTGGGCGTGCACTCGAACATGAGAAAGAAACAAAGCAAACACTGACTCACACGCGCACGTGTTGGTTCCCAAAGAATCCAAGTGCATGTCCACCCCCACAGCCCCCCCACCCTTGTCTACCTCAGCAGCCTTCGAATAATTGTCATTTCAGAGGTCTCAATAAATGGGGCGAGAGCATGGTTTATGATTGCCTCACACTAGGGCTCCCCCGTTTAGGTGGCTCCTAATCAAGTGCTGCTCTGTAGGCGGTTCCGTACTTTGAGAAGTTCATGTGATTGAATTAGACAATTGGAGCAAGCTTAAGAAAACACTACAGGGAGAGTGAGGCGGTGATTCCTATTTAGCCAACAGCGGTACTTGGCTTTACGGCCGAGTGAGAGAGAGAGAGCCATTTAAGGAACCCCCCTCCGAGAAACAGACGCCAGCCCTAGGCAGCAGTTCTGTTTTTGTTCTACTTACCAAAATGGCCACTGATCCCCTGCCTGAAGTGGGGAGGGGGTTGGGGGGTCCGGGTACCACTTCCATTGGACCAGTCTTCCACAAAAAGGAAAGAAGCAATTTCCAACCAGAGATAGAATTATCTTCCCATGTATTGAGTAGGCAACTTGAGCTCCGTCCTTCCAAAGGGCAGCTGGGGAATTTTGGTTCCAGCCTGGTCACTGATCCCCCGAGTGGTCCGGGTCCCAATTCCATTTAAACAGTCATTCCAACAAACACTAGGTCCTGGAGTAAAGAGGTTAGAACAAGGGTACGTTGTTCTTCTTTTTTTTTGGTAGTCTATTTTAGTAGGGGGATCCTCCCAGCCAGAAAAGGATGAGAAAGGGCACTACTGGGGGGCCTAGAACATATAAGTCTTCCAACAAAAGCAAAGAGGCAATTTCCAACCAGAGATGGAATTATCTCCCCATTTACCTTCCAACACACATTTTGAGGAAAAACAAACTCCAACCAAAGATGTGGATCTCCCCCCAAAAAGGAAAGAAGCAATTTCCGACCAGAGATGGAATTCTCTTTCCATTTACCTTCCAACAAACATACAGAGGACAAAAACCCAACAAAAGATGGGGAATCCTTGCTATACACAACCCACGTAGGTGTCCTTTCTAGGTTAGTTTGGTGGAAAAACATACAGATGGGGATCTCCCGGCCAAATCCCTCCGCCACTTCCCTTCAGCATCTCCCGCCGAAATCTCCTTCGAGGCGCAGCTCATCCACCGAGGCCTCCTCTCCCCGCACGGTGTGGCGCCAAACCTTCAGCTTCCGGTCGCCGAAGGACGTGCTCCAAATGATCTTCGACCTGGAAAGGACCACTTTCTAGGAAATGGCACTGGGGGTCAGGGGCTTGCTCACATATATACATATATAATATATGGTTTGTTTGTTTGTTTGTTTGTTTGTTTGTTTGTTTGTTTGTTTTGTTTTGTTTGTTTGTTTGTTTGTTTGTTTGTTTGTTTGTTTGTTTGTTGGTTTAGTTATCTATTTATTGATACATTTATTTATGTACATATATATATACAAGTATATATATATATTGTTATATGACATGTGTCCGGACCATGGATGACCACCTTCGGCGACCAAAACCTGAAGGGGTCAGAACCAAACAAAACCGTGTGTTTGTTCGGGACACCTGCCTTGTTTCAGGTGTTTGGCTCATAGATGCACATGAAGGAACTGGCCCTCCCGTCCTTCTAGAACAATCGATGGCACTGGTAAATGATTGGAACCAAAGAGAAGGCAGTTATCTATTTTCCAACAAACTAGCCTGAAAAGGACACCTCCAGTAACTGGCTAAATCTGTCTATCTAACAAGTCCCCTACGTGGGTTGTGTATAGCAAGGATTCCCCGTCTCTTTGTTGGCTTCCTTTGGAAAAATGTATCTTTGACCTCAAATCTCAGATATGCAAATACTTCCTAAATTGACATGAAGCCCCAAATTCAAATGGTGGTACTGCAAACGGAGATTCCTGCAAAACATGATGGCGTTGGGATTCCATGTTGTTAAGTTGCGGGAGAGCACTGCGAAAATCAGATCCCATCCTTTTTAATTCTGGCAACATTGGAAATGCCCATCCGGCGAAGGGTTTCTAGCACAGTGGGGGAAATCACCCCTGTACCAAAGTTGTTTCCCGTGACGGCCTGGTCACTTTGGAGGGGCGGAAGCGGTCGGGAATCACCGGTGGCCCTCAAAACAAAGGGTCTGACGACAGGGCAATTGCAGGCAATCCCTGCCCATGTGTGAATGCCGCCGGATAGCTTGTTGGGGCTGCGGTCAACAAAGGCAGAACAAGTGGTGCCACTACGCGACTGGGTCGAGAGTGCTCGAGTTCGAGCAGCGCATCCAACCTACTAACACTACTACTGGTTGCTGTTGACCCGCCTGCAAAAAGTTTAAAGTCTCAAGATCCAACCCAATAGCAGTCAAGTACTACTGGTAGTATGTGTCATTTGATGAGGACGTCGGCCAGCCCAATTTGCCTAGCTTCCCACACAAAGCAGGGGGTCAATTCCACGTGCATAATTGGCCATCCCGGTAGCTAGTTGATCGATTCCCCACTGTACCCCTTAAGACTCCAAGCCCTGGGCAAGTTAATCTTTTACAGACATATAGCCCATGTTACCCCCAAAAAGTTGAACAGTTGTGTTTTTAAGAGGCAAGCAAAGCAAGCGCCACACGTTCTTGACAAGGTCTTCCCAAGTGACTCAAAGCTCCAGCTGGGCAGGGCGCGACCCATATCTCAGGGGCCCCTGCTCCACGCGATCTACGCCTATGAGGTTGGAGACGTAGGGCTTGTGCCCGTCCTGGCGAGGACTCGTTTTTGGTGAGAAGCCTCCATTTGCTTGAGTCCTCTGAAAAAAAATCCAGTAGTGATAGAATCCCTTTAAAACCAACAGGGGAAATTAAAAACATATTCTTAACCAAATGGAAGGAAATGACCCACGGTCCAAACACAAGGAAACCCAAGAATCCAGAATGTTATCTTTAGCTCAGTTGTTTAGTGGCCCTGGAAAAAAGGGAACCCTTTCTGGGGAAGACCATTTTTAGTGGGGCAGCCACCAAAACAAAGTAGAAAAATAATTGGGCCAGGAAAGAGGGAGCGTCCTATCCTCTGGCCTGGGGAAACGCTCTGCAAACATAACCAACTGCTTGCTAGAAAAATTATCGACAACCCAAAATGCCCCATGTCGGCTTGGGCCACCCTTTTGTTTCGCAGGTGAAACAACCGCAGTCAACCACAAAGTCCTGGAAATTGTGTTGTGGTTGGCACAAACGCCCATGCTCTTTACTTGGATGTGCCAAGCTGCAGCAAGTGTTTGGCCGCTTTTGTTGCTAACGCAATGACTTATCAGGGTGAACTCTGCTGAGCGCGGAGCATTCATATAGGTGAGTGACACCCTATGTTCGACCCTTATCCCCAAAATGTTGGATTCTACTTGGATTTTTCGGCCGAATTCAAGCCCCCTGAGTTCTGGGTGGACGCTACTCTCGGCCAGGCATAGACCTGCACGCAGTTCCGGCTTGTCAGGTAGAACATATAATCCAAAGAGCAAGACGGAGACCAAAGGGGGTCTGGCGCTTTCAATCGCATGTCCTCCGAATCCTCTGGATCCATTTCGGGCCCAGAACTCAAAGGTGAACACCTTTTGGGGCCAGAAGGAAAACGTGGAAAATTCAAAACACCAAAAGCTCAGATTGGGACGATTTCGCTTTGAGCAGAGGGATCTGTCCCCAAACAAAAAGACACGCCCGCCCGCTCGAAAACTTCCGAAAGCCGCGCGGATCCGCTCGACAACTTCCGCCGAATCCTCCGCGCCGGTGGGCGCCATGTCCCGCTGCGAGAAGACTTGGATGGCGGGGTGGTGCCCGCAGACCCACACGTCGTGGCCCAAGGGCAGCAGGGCGTAGATGCCTCGAGGCTCAAAACCGCCCAGGCCGAGGGAAAAAACAAGAAGCCAGAAGAATCCGGCAAGAGCAAAGAATGAAGCATCAAACCAGAACCACTGACGAATCTGTATATATATAATGAGGTTAAAAACACACTAACAAACCAAATAAACAAGCAAGAAAGTGAACGAAGAAACGAAAACAAACAAACAAACAAACAAACAAACAAGCAAACAATCAAAATAACACAAACCGTATACAAAACACACAGACACACCCAAAGCTACCAACGCAAAGCAAGCACGCAAGCAAGCAAGCAAGCAAGAAAGCAAGCAAGCAGGCACGCAGGCAGGCAGGCAGGCAGGCAGGCAGGCAGGCAAACATGCAAGCAACCAAAGAGGAAGCACACAACGTCAATCAAGCAAACACATCGCCGAAAAGTACACACACACAACCCATTGAACAAAGAAAGCAACACTTTGCCACACATATGTTACGAATAACTAAAAAAAAAACACAAGCCAACAAAACAAACAACACCCATAATGATCAGCCTTGATGAAACAATCAAACATTTGAGGCGTTTGTCCCACAATGAAACATAGTGAAGGCAAGCCGAGCACAACCTAAAGAAGGCCAACAGGAATCAATGTCGTGCGCTCCTTTTGACATACTTACCGCTGCAATTGTACGGTCCTTCTTGGAGAACCCCCATGGAACATCTGGTCAAAATGTAGACACGTCCTTAGGTTGCCTTGGGGTGGTTTCAAGACACCGGAGAAACCGAATCACGTTTTAGGTTCCCCTGGCTTGGGTGGTCGGCAAAGTTGGTAAGTTGCTAGTATCCTCTGGCTAAAGCCCACTGAAGAATAGGTAACCGATCCAAGTGGTGCTTTCACTGGGACACGAAAGCACAAAACCGTAGCCCGTTACATTTTTTGGGGGGGGTCTTGTAAAACAACAAGGTTTCTGATCTGCCAATCTTTGCCTAAATTTCTAGCATTCACGAAAAAACATCTTCCGTGGCACACAGGAAACAATGTTTTTTTTTTTTTTTCCGACGCTCTTCCACGATACGTGTAACAATTGAGAGATCCCGAAATTCGGAGCTTCCTTTTGGAAAAACACTGAGGATGGTACCCTTGGCCTCCAAGAAGAAGCCCATATGTGGTCTACCCAAACACATACCACGTCTTTTTGGAGGCCCCCAGCAGTGCCCTTCTCTACCCCTTTTTTGGTTGGGCGGGTTCCCCCACTAGAATGGACTACACAAAAAAAAATACCCAAACAACAAACAACGTCTTTTGGAGGAAAACTGCCCGCTTCATCATGCGCCGCTTGAAAACAAACACCGGTGGGCCTCCACTCTTCCATGTGATATGCTCCTCACAAAATATAAAATGGCCTCCACAGGACATATCTAAATATCAGAAACTCTCATCTTGCGGGTCCATTGCAATGTACTAGGTCCTCCAGTAGAGAAGTTAGAATAAGGGTACCAACCCTTTTTCCTTTCTTGTCTCCTTTAGTAGGGGAACCCTCCCAACCAAAAACAGGCTGAAGGGCACCTGGCTAGGGGTCCCCTAAGATGTTCATAGGGGACGCTCGCTTGAGCCCACCGCAGCGCAAGCGCAGCTTTCGCGTCGGCGCCTTTCTCGCTGCCCGGTGGGGCCGCCTGCCGCAGGCAGGTCTTCTCCCCCGTCATGGGCCACTCCTGGCGACGCGCTCAGCTGCCGAGCTGCGGAAACGGGAGGTTTGCGTCGGTGTCTCTTTTTGGGGGGGAAAAATAGGATGGATTTCCCTGGTAGATGATTGAACCACCAGGTAAACTAGGAATCGCCTTCTACCTTTTAAGGACACCCATAAGGCATGTGTTTTTTGTCGTCTCTGGTAGGGGAACTCACACTCTGGGAGCTTGCTGGCTTACAAGTTCATGAGTGCTTCCGCGGGCTTTCCGCGGACAAGTACTTCTGGGAATTGTGGAAGGTAGCTTCCAAGAGGGAATTCGTGTGCACGACTTTACTGGCAAACGCAGTGTCCTGCAAAAAGTATCTCAGACGAAATCAAACCGCTATGCGCTGCTGCGGCTCTACAAGTGTGGCTCTACGAGTGTGGCTCTACGAGTGCGGCTCCACAAATGCATGTGTTCCCGAGCTTGGGGTCTCCCTTCCGCGAACCTTCAGCGAAAAAAATATCCCGTAGAGTTTCGGAGAATCTGTGCTGCTTTTTCACCCCCAAACAGGATTTACTTGCACGATGAATCCGACCATAGCACCTAAAAGCGGTTCCCTAGGAGGTCATCTATTTGCTGCATGGAACGGGCAGCTCTTCGGGCTGTTTCATGGCCCTCAAAGCAAACGCGAGAGAACGAAACTTCAGCGGGGAAAACCGCCACGCTGAATTCGTGTCCTGTTGAACTCTAGGGAGTTCCATTTCCAAATTGAATGGCGAAACGCCAGCTCGGTCCAAACTGCAACCCCAAAAGGCCCCTCAGCGCCAAAGCGTTTCTTGCCGCCGGTACCTCGCGGGCCACTCGAAGCCAAAGGTTCCGGCGCTTGCGCTGCAGCACTGACACTAGTCAAATAAGTCGAAATCGATATCCCGCTCCGACTCCTCATTGGACTCATCAACCCAAGGAAAGTTGCAGCCGGCAAAGGCACCCTTGCCAATACGAGTCACGGAGTCAGGGATGGTCACACTCGCTAGCGAGCTGCAATTTTCAAAGGCACGCTGCCCGATCTCAGTGACAGAATTGGGAATGGTTATGCTTGGCAAAGAGCTGCAACCTCGGAAGGCACGCTTTCCAATCTCGGTCACCGTGTCGGGAATGCTCACGCTTGTAATTGAGCTACAATTTATGAAGACACCACCTCTAATCTTTGTCACTCCGTTGGGAATGCTCACGCTGGTCAATGAGCTACAATTGCCAAAGGCCTGAACCCCAATCGCAGTCACAGAGTTGGGAATGGTCACGCTTTCCAGTGAGCTGCATCCTTCGAAGGCCTGCACTTGAATCACCATCACGGACTCAGGGATCACCACGCTGGCCAAAAACCTGCAGTCGAAGAACGCACATGCTGAGACCTCTCCTACAGCTGGAATCTCCACGACGCGCAGATCTTCAAGCTCTCGGCCGGATGACCTGGCACGCGAGCACTTCACCGGCTTGATGAGGCTGAGGAAAGCCAACACTTCCGCGCCTGGAATTGCCTCCGACACCATCTCCTCATTGTTCAGGGCTGTGTCTCCGACCACCTCCACCGATATGTTGCGCTGCGCATCTCAGGGCAGCCGCCCGTGCAGCTCCATTTCGAAGGCTTCCTCTTTCCCGGACGCGCAGTGCACTGTAATCACTGCCATGGCCGACAGTTCGGCTAGGATTCAAGTACGGGTGTGCAAATAGAGTTTCTTTGGGGGTTTTCCTTTACCTGAAGGGTACCCAAACAAAGCACACACCCAGCCATGGGAAAGCTTTGAAGGCGCCCTTTTGTGCCGATGTGGTCGTCCACTTGATCCGTGAAAGGAAGGCGTTGGATCGCTGTTCTTCTCAACCGCCGTTCTTTTCAAACCCTTTCTACAAATGGTGGGGTCCCTTTGGGATTCCCTTGAAAAACCAACCAAACGGGGTTCACCATTTGGAGAAGCCCTCAAATACACAGGAAGTGCGTCAATGTAAAAAGTTAGCGGAACAAAAAATGTAAAAGTACTTTCTTCCCCACTCCCCCTCTCCCCTCCCCTACATATCGGCCTTCTTGGCCCGGTTTTTTCGAGTGCCACCCCTTCCCTGCAACATGGAAGCCCCAATGGGTGGTTGGCATCTTCTAGAAATGGTCTTATTCAAAAAGATGGGCTGCATGTACATCTGCAGGTGAGCATCGCTAGCATTCAACCAGCCCAAGGCTGTAACAAACAACGCATCCAATCACACGGATGGTACAGGGTTGGGGTCTCTGCCTAAGGTTGGGGTTGGGACTGACAAACTTCCCAGTCCCCTGGTTGAATTCAGGACGTTGCAAAGCCTAAACACAGCCTTTTCAAGAATCTCATCAACCCGGCAGATTAGCATGATTTGCATGAAAGTGAGGATCCCCTCTTGAATGGGGAAGGCGGGGAAGGTTCTGCCTCAATCAACCTTAGGCATCTGCGATGATTGCAGCTCGTACCCAAGCCAAACGTCCGCAAATACATCCCTTGATCAACTTGGAATTTGAGTTTTATGTTCTTTTGGAGGGGAGCACTCCCTGCCTTGAGGTTCTGCACATAGCATCTTGGTTGTGGCAAAAAGGAGAGGAACAATTGTATTCCTAGGGTTCAAATGGTCTGCCATTGTTTGTCCTCAGGCAAGATTACGATTTCTCTTCTGGACACTTCTTGCACGCCTTCCATTTGCTTAAGTCGCCGGGGAAAAATAACATATTTCCACCAGTGATAGATTCCCTTTAAAAACCAACAAGGGAAACTTAAAAACATATTCTTAAACAAATGGAAGACGCTATGGTCTTTGACTTCCAGGGTGTATTAGGGTAAACCAAAACAAAGTCTCCACACACTTTGGGCTTGATATGCCTCTCCTGGAGCCACAGGAGGCTGAGCACGACCAATGAAGTACACCCAAAACCAAGCAAAAGGGACAGAATATTAAAAAAGAAGACCTCTAGACTCTACAAAACTATGAAGGAGGACACGTCTAAACCTATCTTAGCTTAAAAGAGAACCTTAAGGTCCCCAACCTTTCTTGGGGCCGAAGGGCAAAGGCAAACCCCTTTGCCGCCCCCCCAAAAAAAACACACAAAAAACAACAACAACAAAAACCGACCAACACACCTCGCCCTATCGGCTCGCACGCAAAAACCGGAGCGGTCTCCTTGATCAGGCCATCCGAGCCCGCGGACCAAACGTAGGACTTCACCACCGCCAGCCTTCGCTTTGGGCGTGGCTCAAAATTAAACCTCCATTGCTCAGTTTCCAGTAGTGCCTGTGCCAGTCCTGGCGAGGACTCGTTTTTGGTGTAGAAGCCTCCATTTGCTTGAGTCCCCTGGAAAAAAGAAATATATTTCCAGTAGTGATAGATTCCTTTTAAAACCAACAGGGCGAAAATAAAAACATGTTCTTAACCAAATGGAAGGAAATGACCCACGGTCCAAACACAAGGAAACCAAACCCAAGAATCCAGAATGTTATCTTTAGCTAGTTCAGTTGTTCAGTGTCCCTGGAAAAAAAAGGAAACCCTTTTTGGGGCTTGGACCTTTTTTAGTGGGGCCACCAAAAAACAGTGCCACTGAACAACAGAGAAACAGGAGGGGCAAACCGCAGGCGGTCCATGTTTCCACTTGACAGGGCAAGACATTTTGGTACCCGTTTTTTGAGCCACAGCCATTTGGATCTGTGGAGTTTGCAGAGGGTACCTTGCTTTCTTGTGCGGTCTTTTCAAGGGAAACCATCAGGAAAACCCTGGCGACATTTTGTGTTTGTCTGCTTTCTGTTAAGGGAAAGCAACAGCCAAAAAACGTCAACCGCCATTTCGGGGCTCCGATTTGTTTATTGAAAGACCGTGGCCCATTTGGTTTTCATCACCGGGAAATCGTCTCTTCGGATTCCGGGGGAAAGTCAGAGATTTCTCCGCTGGAAGTTTGGTCGGGTTCCTCTGAGGTTTCTCGGGATTGATCCTGAAGGGAGCAATACCTCGTACCAAATCGGTGGGAATATTTTTTAGGGGGCTAAGGGGTACCCTCATAAAAGGACTGACCCAAATGACCCCTTTTGGGCCATACCAAAGGAGGCTCTTTTGGACACCTTCAAAGTGTTCAGGCTCCTAAAGTTCAAGGAAGGGCTTTGGTTTTGCAACACTTGTTTGTAAGGTGCTGCACCCCAAAACAGTTAGTTCTAAATTAACTTGTGTTGTATGGGGTACAGCTGCCGTTTAAGATACCCAACGAATATCATGAGACTTAGGCTTGTGGGTTGCAAAAGAGAGCTTGTAATTCGATCAGCAATCACAACTTGCACTTCGGAGTTTTTATCCTGATGTCTTGCAAGATAAACATGCAGGCTCTGCATGAATCAAGCAAAGGCAGATATAGATCTGCCTCAGAAGAGCAGCCTCGTACTTCCATTCGGACCTGCCTTGCAGCCTCGTTTCAGCGTCCAAAACACACCTGGGGAGTCAATAAGCCAAAGCCCCATATGCCATATGTCTCTGAACCCGTGCATCGAGTTGTTCACGTTTTGCTAGCTAGTGGCCCGTGCGGCGGCCCTTGCAAGTGGCAATGGGTTGTGAGAACTGCCCAGTGCTACCAATGGCAGAATGACTAATTATCCATTTAACGATTTCATTGATCTAATTTTCCGGAACAGTTGTTTTTTCTGCCCTGGCAATCACATAAATGTAAGCAACCCAGAGTACTTGTAGTTTTTGTGTTGCCGCCTCACACATGATGTACATGTGAGCGCTATTCCCGCACGTCGCATCTAATATACATATATATATATATACATTATGCAGGCTCATGCATTGCATACGAAGACTATGTGAACATATATCCTTGTTGTAGATACATGGATATCTACGCATTATACTTCGCAATCAGTATATATTAATACCATGACACTAGGAAGACACCACTTTGCGGCAAATCCGTCGCTGCTCAACTGGCAAGCAGCTTGTTCACAGAACCGGTGTGCGCGTCCTGGCGAAAGAGCTTTGGACCATGACGGTCCTCAGATCCCCTGCTCAAAGTGACGAACTTTTAGTGGGTTCAATGGAAACCCCCACACCCGAAAAGTCTAAAGAGCCATTGAACCGGATGGCGAGCTGCCAAGCTTGATCAAGTTGCTTCGAGGATTATCTTGGCCAGTTCTCTTGGGCACAGCGGTTATCTTGGGCACAGTGGCCAAGCTACTAGGTCCTCCAGTGAAGAGGTTAGAATAAGGGTACCCGTTTTTTCTGTAGTTGAGTTTTAGCAAGGGAACCCTCCCCAAAAAGCAAGGTGCAAGGGCACGACTGGGGGACCGAAGCCGAACCGAAGGAGACAGAACCAGGTCAGCGCCGCATGGGAAGCCCTAAAGGTTTTTTGGAACTTGGTGATGTACGTCGACCCCTCTTCTATGCATCCGTGGAAGGTACTTGGAAGGGTTTAGTGGGGGAGTGGTCCCCAAGTCCGGTCCCAACCCCAAGCTGAATGGATCTCAGTCCATTTGCCTGGGGTTTCACCCCCAAATTGCTTCTCCAAGGGGTTTACCACCCCACAGGGCTCCACCGATTCGGCTCCGGCTCTCCGATTGACAAATCCGTGTCCTCTATCACCTCCACACACTCACCGTCTATGCAGCGCCAAAGCCTCGACATTCCGACGAGGTATAAAAGCTGCGGAAAATTCTCCGCAAGCGGAGGGCTTGGCAAATGGTTTTTCGCCAAGGGGCTGGATCTTTCGAAGAGATGCATCTTTCTAGGGGTTGATTCCTTTTCCTGTCTATTCAACCACTGTTCTTTTCGAAAAGCAGCCGTTTTCTCTTGGTTTCCTGAGGTTTTCTATAGAAAGACTGGGGGTGGCTTTCCTTCAGCACCCCTTGGGGCAAGCCCTTTGAGGCAGGCCCAAACCATTTGGCCTAGGCAAGTAACATGATCAAACAGGTGGGTTGAAATGAGTCTACCTGCAACCATGCCATGAATGAACAGGGCCGCTCGTTTCACCATGCAACACTATACACGTACAGCAATGGCAAGTAAACAGAAGAGCCCCAAGCAACAAGACGAAGCCTTCATGATTCATCATGGTGGTCACGACTCACAACGCTGCTTGCGAGGTGGCTATCTCCGGAAGTAGTCCAAAGAACGTCTGTACTGTTTGCTAAGCTCTGGATGTGCTCGCTATCATTTCGGTGTGGTCAAACATAGGTACCCACAATGGAACCCTGGTAAGTGGACACATGGACTACAACCTGCGGTCCACATCCTGGCGGTTTAGTTTTGACCCAGAATGTTGACCCCATATTGATCAGCCCCAGTTTTATTAATAGGGGGTAGGGCCCCTCCAAAAGTGGTCTGATTTCCCACATTTCACCCAGAGGTAACCACCCCCCATTAATAAACTGGATGGTTGATTACTATGAAGTCAACATTAATTACCCATTTCCACGTTTATGCCCATGCCCAGAAACGATACCAATACAAATACGCCCCTATTAATACCCCTGCTAATATCGCATACCCCCCTCCAGCACCCTCCGACTACCGTCTAAATTTTATTTTCGGAACTACCGGGTATTTGGCAGTAGTTCCGAAAATAAAAGAAACGACGGTAGATCCGCGATCTACGGTCGTTTCATGTCGCCCCAAACAGTGAAAAACAAGACCACGGGGTGACACAGTGACACGGGGTGACACACAGGCGACACGGGGTGACACGCAGGCGACACGGGGTGACATGGGGTGACACGGGGGCGACACGGGACGACACGGGGGCGACACGGGGGCGACACGGGGTGACACGCTCAAACGACAGTAGTTCGAAGCGATCTACTGTCGTTCTGGGGGGGGCGACACGGGGGCGACACGGGGTGACACAGGGGCGACTCGGGGGCGACACGGGGTGACACGCAGGTGACACGCAGGTGACACGGGGTGACAGGGGTGACACGCTGTGAGGCGCTTGCTGCACTTGCTGCCACCCCTTGATTGCTACCACCCCCGCTATGGCATCTCCCCTCTGTAAACAGTAGCTAGCAGTACTTAGACTATGGGCATCCCGCAAATAAAATAATTGACAGTAGCTTTTCTAACTACGGTCGTTTTTGGGAAAATTCTATCTACTGCCCTTTGGGCAGTAGTCGGAGGGTGCTGGCTATTACCCAATTTAGTTCTGACCCATCCCTATTAATACCCCATACCCCGTATTCATACCCCGACCCATCCCCATTTCCCCACACAAAAAACACAAAAAACTCCGAGCCGACGAGTGCCGCGAGCCTGATGGTGCCGTCATCGCTGCCGGACCAAAGGATGGGCCCGAGCTTCAGCAAGGTCTTCAGCCCGTTCTTGTGCCCGTGCATATGAAGCCCTCAGGCCACTGTGTCCGTTTTCGGATCCCCAAAAATCACGAAACCAACTAACAACCCAAAATCCTAAGGGGATGGTGGGGAACCAACCAGGAGTGAGGGAGAAAGCGCTGGCCTCAACTTGTTATGCTAAGTTCGGCAAGTGGAAGGTTGAAGGGAAACAAGTCGTGAGAATCTGTAAAACACATGTTCAAAGTCACCCATGTGGTAAGTTGAAAGGAGAACTCCCCAGTTTCCGACTTTGACAACCCAAAACGTCAGTCAAACTGGGTCTAGAAGCGTGCAAACTCCACCCGCGAATCTGGGCGACCAAAACAAGGTCAACATATTGCGAAGGCAACTACGTCATGGCTGCAAGAGTCCAATGTTCCAAATCACAAGTCGTGAGAACATGACAAGCCTGAGTCCAAGAAACCTCCAACATACCTCCTGAGCATAGCCCGGACCTTATGGAATCTTCTCTCACCTTGCCGTGGCTACCTCTCAAAGGCACCAGTATAACAATCCCAATCTTCATGGGAGGGGTGGTAGTATCCATTCCCCGAACTTAAGGGGGAGGGGGGTAGGGCTCCCCCAATTCCATCTATCTAGTACTCCCCCTTTAAAGCAACGTGGAACCAAAAATTGAATTTCAGTCGTCACCCCCCCTCCCCCAGTTCCATTTGTTTAGCCCCCAATTCCATTTATCTAGTATTCCCCCTTTAAAGCAATAAATGGAGGGAGTGGGGATGGGAATGCTCATGTACTCCATGGCGGCTTTTTTCCTTCCCTGCCGAGCTGCCTTTTAAAACGCCCACCTTCCACCGGCCCAGTTCCAAGGTGACCGCTTCCTTGTCCTCCTTCACTGCGGCGGGTGTCGCTGTCTTTGAGCGCCAGGTGTGGATGAACCATTCGCCTTAGGGCCACACGGAGAGGTTAGAGGATGTGAAGGAAAAAAATATATGTCCCAACCAACGTGGGTCTCCTCAGCCACCAAGAAGCTTGAACTCAGTTCCCCTTGCCGGACCATCTTGAAGTCGAACCCGAGGAAAGAGTTTGCAAGAGTCCAGGTCACTCTAGGGGTACCGTCCATTTCCATTCTTTCCAGGGATCCGAATCTTTCTAGAAAACCTCCGCACACCGAAGAAAAATGGCCAGTTATTGAAAAGAACGACGGCCTAGAATATTCCCCAACGGACATGGGGTCTGTCAATTTGTAGGGGACCCTCCCCCAAAACAAAAACCCTTGTTTCCCGTTGTTGGTGCCTCAAAAAGAGGACACCGAGCGAAGAGAAGGGAAAGGGATGGCATCTCCCCTATCTATCTCCTCACCGTCGATGATAGGAATCTTCAGGAACAGTAATTAAAAGGGAAAAATATATGTCAAGGATTTTACAGATAACCGTCTATAACCAAGAATTATTGACCATTGACTGCCAAGGAAGAATTCATCCAAGAAGCATTCTATCTCTCATGGACACTCCCGAACGAAGAGAGGGGGAGGACATGAATGGGTCGCTTCTTTCATGATTCCTTACCCAACAGCGACCCAACATGAGATGGAGATGGGAAATGAAGGGACCCATCTATCCCAGCCGACCCACATGTAGCAGTGGATGATCTGGCTGGCAAATCCCCAATTGAAAGCTCAAGGCTTCATGGACCTGGAAGATCCAAAGATCAGATCGCACACCCAAGGCCGACGACCACACCGCCTCTCCCAAACGGATTTTGATCACTTGGGTTTGTCCTTGAAAACCCTTGGAATGGGTTTTCCAAAACTTTGTCGCACGGACAATGAATAGAACCAACAACCTAAAAACCCCAAAAACAAAACATGCCAACAACAACAGTGAAGTTGTACAGAACCTAAAGATATCAAGTAGGGAACGAGGGACACCCTCTCATTTGCCACATTGCTTCCCGGGGAAGGCTCACTCGCAATTGTCCGGGAACCCGCAACACTTACAACAGTTCACCAACCTTCAAGGACTCCCCAGGAATGGGACCGTCGCTGGGCCCGGAAGCGCTGGCTTCCCAGATGGCTAAGCTCAGGTTTCAAGCAGAAGCCTCGCAAGGGACGTACGCTGCTACCTGGCCCCTCTTTGGCGCTGAAAGTACCGAGGAAGCTCGGTACATCGGGCTCAGTAAGATTCGGGTTTTCTCAGAAGCCCAGGGGCCATGGACAAAAAGGATGGGCATCCTCTTTTGGTTCGTTGAGGTTTAAGGGACACCCTTCCCAAGGAAAAGGAAAAGGGGAAGGAAAGCCGAAAGCAGCGAAGCGACGGACGGTGAAGTCATTGCTGCCGCTCCAGGCTTTCCGCATCGGGAACTCCTCGATTCGGGCGTGACAAATTCATCCAACCGCTTGGGCCCCCAGAAATCTAGGGGTAGCTTCCATTTCCATTCTGAACCCAGGCATCCGAATCTTTCTGAAAAACCTCAAAATAAACTCAGGGAAACGGATCCGGTTTTTGAAACGAATGGTTGGGTCCCAGGCCTAACAGCTCTTACCAGTGCTTAAGGCCAGTCTATCAGTGGATCATAGAACTTTTGGTTTGGAGGGTTGACCTTTGAGCGGGGGCCTTGGACAACGGAATCAAGTGCCCCTGTTCAGGGAAACCATTGGCTCGGTTCCAGCTTTCTCTGGGGAAAACCAGCGCTTCCTCACCGCAAGGTTGCATGGTGGTCCCGGCATATGGTATCAAGACAACTCCCAAACTGCGGGGGCAAACTCTTCCGCGAGCAAATCAGCCTCAAAAACGAAAGATAGTTTTAGCGGCGGAACAATGGGACACCAATATGAAATCAGAAAGGGTGGACAGCTTGTGGGGTGGCAGACTAGCATCTGAAAACGGCCTCCTGCCCACTTCCATTGCCGGACATGTAACGCAACCAAAGGACTTGGAAGTCAGGCTCAACCTTCTCCGACCTCAATTGAAGGTTCTATACACAAATGGGTGGCTCATCTTTGTTGAGGTTGGTTTTAAGAGGGAAGCCAGAAGGAAAACCAGCATTTCGGGGGAGGGGTGCCCTAAAACACACACACACACATCCAAATCTTACAATCACTCCAAGACCCAAAAACAAAAAAAGGGACCCGGTGAGCTCGGTTTTTGTTTTTGCTTCCGCGTCGGTGAAATCGCTCGCCGCTATGTTTAGGAAACAAACACCCACACACACAAAATGGGTTTACGGTTGCCCGGCCCGCCTCGGCATCATTGTCCCCCATGCTGTCGTCGCAGGCAAGGCAGGTGACGCCGCCCGTGTGACCCCCGGCCAGGACGCCCTTTTTCTCCTTCCTTAGTGCGACAGTCACCTGAGTCCTGCAACATGGATTCTCATCTAGGTCCTCCAGTAGAGAGCTTAGAATAAGGGCAACTCTTTTTCATCTGTAGTTTATTTTAGTAGGGGACCCCTCCCCCAAAACAGGGGAGAGAAGGGCACTACTGGGGGACCTAGTCATTGCCCCTCCCCAAACTGTCGACGCCGTGACTCAGATTAGGACCCACTCCTTGGAGTGACCTCACTGGCGAACTATCTGATTCACTACAATCCATGTAATTAACTAGATCACTACAGTTGGCATCACATCCTCCCTGCCCCTACGCTGAATGTACGAAATCCATGTCGCACCGCCCAAGAAACTTTGGGGCATGATGATACCTCTGAAAATACCAACAAACCATGGCTTCCCGTTGGTTTCAAAACTGTGCGAAATGAATGTCGCAACCATCCACAGTATTTTTACCACAAGGGCCCAGTGACCCAGTTAATATCTCAAATTCCATGGCTCAAAGGCATGGGGTGATGTTCAGGCTGGTGCTTTGTGAGACATACTGTGGATGGACGAAATCCTGCACCAGCTAAGACACCCTGGAATGATGTTTCCCCTGCAAACACCAGCAAACAATGGTTTCCCATGGTTTCAAAGTGGTGCAGGATTTCGTCCATCCACAGTATTTACTGGTCGTGAGATTTTGAAAAGTCCAAAAACGGTGTCGTGCAACTCCCGCAAGGATGCAAGGATGCAAGGATGATTAGTCAGTCCTGGAAGTGCATGGATGGGTGTCTTGAGTTCCTTCCGCTCATCTGCTGGATTGTTTGTCCCTTGCAAGTCAACAGCGGTCAGGTCAATGAAACAAATATCTCCCCGCCAAGAGGAGACTCATGTCACCTTGCCAAACAGGTGACCACATGCTTTCGATCCTCGTGCAAAGGCATAGGTAAGGATCCTGACTCAACACCAATCCGCGTTTTCGCCGCCTGGCAAAATAATAATATGTTCAGTAGTGAAATCGATTCCCGTTAAAACCAACAAGGGAACATGCAAAATATATTAATTTCAGCGATGTGGAATCAAAGCCATCTAAACCAGTGCTATCTATTTGCTACACCCCCTTTGAAAGAGTATTCCAAGGGGGGTACCATCTATTTTTAACCAAGCTAACCGATGAAACTGACACCTATAATGTTGACCCCGTAGTAATCAACCCCAGTCGAATAATTAATAGGGGGCTGCTTCTCCTGTGAGACGTGGGGAAGCCCTGACCACTTTTGGCACGGACCCCCTCCACCCCGTGAGTCGACCCCTTGCGGCCGCAGCATCTTTTTGGTGTCGAAGAGCGAGATGCCCTGGGCTTCCTGGCCCATCCACATGAGCCCCGGCTTCATGTGCAGCATGCTCCACACGAACCTGGCAAAAAGGCCGCCGGCTGTTTTTCACACCTAAGGTGGATGGGGAAGGCCTCCGATTCTTGTGGCAGTTGACTTGAAAGGGCTTTCGGCGCTCCAAAACAAGTAGCAGGCAGGAACCGCCCCCAAAGACTTCTGGTTCTTTGCCCGGGGATTTGTTGTTTGAGGGCACCCGTTTTTGAAGGTGGTAAAAGGACATTGCAACAAACAGCAAGCCCCCATTTTGGATATTTTGGGAAGTGACCCGCTTGGGTCATACCACTGCCTTCCAAGGACTCAATTCACCCGTTCAAGGATTGTTCCCTAGGATGGCAGTGGGGAAACCCCAACTTTCCAGCGGCCGATGTCGATCCTTTCATTCTTGCGGGTCAGGTGCAATCAGAAATGGCTGAAGAGCCCTATCTGGGGAGTGAACAAATTCAAACAGGGCTACCCTGCAGCCCAGAGCTCAAGGGGCCCTTGTGAGGATGTACGACAGGCTTCTTCACTCACGATCATACAATCGAAGGTAGACACTGGTTCCGAGGAGGTGACCCCTTTCGGTCCCGCACAAAGGACCACCGGACCCTGTGGGTAGGATGCTCTGGATCTGACCCCCTGACATTAGCTACGAGTAAGCGAGCAAGCAAGTACAAAGAGGGACACAGGGACCAGGTGGAGTCCACAAGCGCATCCAGAAGATCATGACCCCTCTGCAAACACGCATGCCCTCCAACGGAGAACCCTACCCGGGTGGGCAATTGAAAAAAACGACGACACGACCCCAAAACCCGGGGCTCTGGTGGCAAACAGCTTTCCAGAGTGATTTCTCCGAGTTTGATACCAGGAATCCGCCGCTTAGCGGGCAAAGCGGAAATAGGATTACCCTGCCTTGCAAGGTAGAAGCAAGGCCTGGGTACGTGGAGGTTGTTTTGGCAAACTTGGTGTTCTGTCGAGATGCTAAGTTAGTAACCTAGGTTATAAGCAACTTCTAAGTCCCCAAGTAGAACTTGCCCTGGTGGCTTGTCACTTACACACTTGACCGCACATCCAAGTAGTAAGTGACGTTTAGAGCTCAAAGCCCACCTGATGTGGTATGATGCTTCGATTGGCTTGGGTTGCAGATAACAAACATCTAGCTCCGACCAATGCAAATCGGCTCGAAAGCAAATCTGACAATACACGGCTAAGACCGCCACACAAGCGACTTGTCTTGATCTGACATACATGTCAAAACAATTCTCTTTAAACCCGAAACATGTTCTTCCACCTTCCGCTTCAACCCGTTGCTATTGTTCAACCACTCTCCATTTGCTTCTTTAGAAAACCTGGTTTCAACCAATTCTGCCCCCCTGAAATCCAACCACAGACCTTTTCAAGGCGAACTGCGAGTTTGGGTTTGGAAAATCCCCATCTGGTTGAACCAGTTCTTTCACCGGGCTCCCTATATTTCCCCTTCAACCCCACCAAACTGAGCTTGTGGTTTACCACTAAAACGGGCTTCCCCAAAACAGCTTAAAGCCCTGTGAACTCAGGAAGCGAAGAATTGACCCCTTCACCTTTCCCCTTCTAACATCACCCTCACCCCCCAAAATAAAGAAGAAAAACAAACAACTCACCTTGGGCGAAAAAAGGTGATGGTGTTTTCACCACGAAAAGGGACTATCTAGGACTTGACCCCTGAAATCTACCCCCCACCCCCTGACATCCAACAGATCAGCGCCATCGATGTCATTCGGGGCCTGTCGGTTGGGATGGAGCCCTTGACCTTCGAGGCGTCGTCCCGGTCGCGCACCGTGACCACCCCGTGCCAATCCGCCGTCCACACCTCCTCCCCGATGCAAATGGCCTCGGCGGGTTGATCGAACCAACCTGGGGCAGAGGCACCAAAAGGCCAAAAAACAAGCGCGCAAGTCGCCCTCAAGCCGGGCAGCGGCGGCACCGAAGACATGAAAAAATGGCCCTCAAGCTGGGAGAAGTTTGCGATGTTTCCCAAGTCCCTTGTACTGAACGACCCCATCTTGGTCCTTTAAACTACACTCAGAGTGTTGGATCAGCGACACCGGACTTGAACCAAGGCGGTAGTTGAGTTCAAAGAACATGAAAATCACCTTGAGGTTTGAGTACTTGCGTCCAAAAACCCCCAAAAATACCCGACCAAACGAGGAAACATCGAGGAAACCACCGCTTGCGCGCGAGCCGCATTGCGGATAGGCTTGCCAAACTCCAGGGTCTTGTCGCACTTCACGCCGGCGCCGCCGGCTCCGGCCTTGGCCTTCTTGCCCTTCTTGCCGGCGCCTGGGCTTTCGGATTTCGGGCCCCGAGAGAGCCCCACCATGCGTGGGGCGTCGTTTTCCGGAAGCCCCTCTTTGGTGGTTGGCAAGTTTTTGGGTTTGGCCAAAATACTTGTGCGGCCGGCTGATCCCTACGTTCGTCTGGGTATTATAGGTGGGCTGCACTCTTTCGGGGTCAAAAAGGCGTCAGGTGTTTTTCTGAGCGGCGGGCTCCCGGCTTTGCAGAGGGGCGGAACATGATCCAGGTAGGACTCGATACACCAGCGCGCTGGTGTGCTAGGCATAGCCATGTCAGTTTGTGTGGGAGGGTGTGTCTCCCTCTACGGGTTTTGGGATTGCGCCCATGGGAATTCCGCCAAACAACGAAACAAAACCCCGTTGTCAATTTGGTTTATCCGGGATTTTGGGCAACGTTCCTCGGGTGGAACCCAGGGTGTGGAAAGCGCTTAGACTTGCCGAATCCACGCGGTCCCGACCGGCCCGGCAGCTCGCCATAAAGGACTTACTACAACGCTTGGCCGACTTGAACATCGGGAAATCCCTCCAATCCTTGGGCCAAGTCTGGGGTAAAAACTCAAATTCCCCGCGGCCATGAAAAAAGGGGCCTCCTTTTTTGGTCGGTTGAGTTTAAAGGGCCACCCTTCCCCAAAAAAAAGGCCGGGCGGCTGGGTAAAAAACCGATTCTCGCCGAACTCTCTTACATAGCCACATCGTCAACCCGATTGTTTATGTTTTTTTCGTCCCAGCTTGAGGCAGAATCCTGGAAGCTGAGGCCCCAGGCTTCCTACCCCCAAGAAAAGAAGGGCCGTGTTTTTACCCATGACAAATTTTAGGCATGGAATGGTGGTGAAATACGAAGCCCACAGTTTTAAGGGTGGTAACTGAATTCATGAACCCCGCCTTGAGGGTGTTTTGGACGAATTGCTTCGCCTGTGCCCGAAGGCTCCCAAAGGCGTGGCCTGGATACCGCGCGTGTGAAACCCAAAATGGACTTGCGCCGGTAAAAATGGGTGGCCGACGGGCCCTTTTTTTCTGACCCAGAAGTGGGACTTCCCATGACGAGCTTGTTCTTCGAAGGTCCTTTTGAAAGTGGAAGCCTGCGATTCTTCCCACCCCGAACAGACTTTCCGGCCTGTCTCGGCCTTCTCCTCTTTCTCCTCTTTCTCCTCCTCGGACTCGCTCTGCAGGCGCTCGTACCTGGCAACAAGGCTCACTGAAAATGCGGAAATTACATGCGCATCCTGGCAAAGAAGAGGTGGTCCTGGCGTCTGCTGCTGACCCTTTAAACATGGGGGGGATCGCCCTTTTATTTTGGCTAATGACCAAATTGTTTGAGGGAATTGAAGGCACATGCCATGTGAAGGGCCTGCCACAAGGATAACATGGCTCCCGGCAAACGGCCTGCACCCTGGTTCATCGCGGCCAAAGGGAACCAGATGAATTTTCCGAATTTTCTACACTCCCTCACGCTTCCATGGAAGCTTCTCCGACTGGCCTCTGCAAATGGAACCAAGTCTTCCCAAACGGCCCTAGCTTCCATAAAAATCCTCTGGGAGACCTATGGACCCAACAGCCTGCCGCTTTGAGGAACCTCCTGGGGCCCCGAGCCCATGCCGTTCGCCCCTTGTTCGCTGATGGCTCCGGTCTGGCGACCCACCGGCGGACCGGCGCACGCGCTCCGGAAGTTCCGGGACACCGTGGAATCCAAGTCCGCGGGGCCTTCGACGAGACCCAAAGCGCCAAAGAGACCTCGTGTGTCTCGGAACATATATATATATATGTACATATATATATATATATAGATATATATATATATATGTACATATATATATATATGTACATATTTGTATGTGTATATATATATATATACATAACGTACACCCACTTGCCTCGGAACATGTACATATATACAACCTCCTTTTTCAGGGACCTACCTTTTTGATGCCTCGCCAGTGCCTCTCTCAGTTCTGAGTAGTTAGTTTTGTTGTTTTTTCTCAGTGTTCCGCTAACTTGTTCCTCACTATTCCTGTCTAGTTGTCCCGTGTTCCCCTAGTACTAGTACTCCCTTAGTAGTCACATTCGCTAGTATTCCCTTGACCTTTCTGTAGTATTCCCCGAATTCCCCTACTCCTTCACTGGGGGACCTGGCCTAGAAAACCCCGTTCGCCGGCCTCCGAGCCAATCCACGAAGCTCTCGTACTGCACGCGGCCGGCGCCCTCCTTGTCCATGCTGGTCAGCAACGAGTCCACCGCCTCATCCTCAAAGGCGCGGGTATGCGGTTGCGAAATCTGCGCCCCTGCCAAAAGTTTTTAACTCTTAGTGGTTTAGTCCGGAAAACCCATTCGTTGGCAAAAAGTTAAAGTCCTAACATCCAAGCAACATGCGCCAAAGGTACGGTACGTGCTGTGATTTTTGTTGAGGCTACCCTTTGTAAGGCTGGCATGGGCTACTTTCATGGGACATCTAAATGGAGAACCACCCATTTTGGGGTCCTCGTTTAAAATCAGCCCCACAAAGGCCCCCCTCAAGCAACACAAAACTATACGCGCGTCTCACTTGAAGAGAAACTGGTTTCAGAATGGGGAACTTGACATCTTTTAAGAAGCCCTGTTAAAGGGGAACTCTTCCCCAGAAAAAGGAAAAAAGGGCAGAATCCACTGGGCAAGTGGGGCTAGTGATGCTGCGGCTTCTCCATCAGTCGCTCCAAAGGACGCACCTTGGGGTTCAGTGACCACTATTAAAAGAATGGGATTTATACAAACATTATTATGATTTGGCTGTGGCTCAAAGATATGTACAACAATGGCACCTTGATAAATGGAAACTAAGACTAAAACCCGCGTAACCCCAGCTCTGAAAAAATTGAGCCACACTCATTTACCTCAGGATTTTCATCCAAATTGGGTCCCCAGGCCATTCTTTTCATGGGACCAAGGACCCCCCCAAAGTGCTGTGCCGTGTGCCTATGTGACCTTGGGCCGGCGCACCGGGGAAAAACCTAGGTCCTCCAGATTTGAGAATAAGGGTACCAACTTTTTTTTCAAAGAAGGGTGAGAAAGGGCACCTGGCTGGGGGGCCTGGAAAATATAAAGTCTGTCCAGTACTGAAATCGATTTCCTTCAAAACCCAGGCCAATTGAATTCCGTCACCAAGACTTGTGGAGCAGACATGATTCTGACCTAAAAAAAAGGCCTCGCTCACATAACAATGTTGCTCTCTTCGCGGCATGTATGCCTCATCAAATGAATTGCGCGGCCAGAAGCGACTACGACAGTAGCCTCGTTCAACTGTATCAGCTTCCTTACCAGGGTTTTGGAGTTGATCTATCTCCAAATGCTGGCACGAAGCTGGCTTCATGGTAGCGCTGCCATGCAGGTCGCGTGTTGGGTGGCCATGCAGGTCTCGTGTTGGGTGGGGGCCCGCCTTGTACCGACGACTAAACAAACCACGAAATCTCAAAAAAATATTTTCCTTAGGACCCTTTCGTACCCTCAGGTGAAAGTTTTCAGCCAGGTGGGATCACTCGAAAAGGACGAAACGTCCCCACTGCGATGCGAAGCCCTTCGTCGGGGGTGACGGGTTCGCCTCGAAGCCTTTCCGTGGATTGCTCCAGTGACCTGCCCACAAAGGCTGGCTACCAGGCAACTGAAACATGACACATGGAACCCCTCCTGCGTGCGTCGTTTTTAGAGTACCCTTTGTGGGGGTTGAATGAGAAACCTACAGCGCCTTGGCTTGTGGGCGTGTCAAAATTCTGGCCCATGTTTACTGAAAGCCCTCTGCTTTTAATATCAACCGCGATTCCAACCGAAGCCAACCCCCGATTTCGCCATGTTGGGTGCTCCACTCCACGGCCCGATGGCCAAGGCTCGGTCCAGAGGTCTGGGTCTAAACTCTGCAAGGCAGTGGTGAGCTCGTCTTTGTCCACCACCTCAGCCGTCAGCACTGGCGCGAGTCCCGAGTCCAGGTCTTGGAAATGACGAGTCCGGGTGTTGGGAATGACGACTCTAAAAAATCCCGACAAAAAAAAGAAACTGTACGGAACTAGGTCCTCCAGTAGGGAGGTTAGAATAAGGGTACCCATTTTTCTGTAGTCTATTTTTGTAGGGGAACCCTCCTCCAAAAAAAGGGAGAGAAAGGGCACTACTGGGGGACCTAGAAAAAAAATGTCTGTAAGGCTCATTCCAATTTCTCATTCTCAGCTGAGAACCAGCAAGGCCGCCAAAAATGCGATCGACCCTTGTGACGACGTTATTCTAGAAAACGACGGTTTGGATGCGGCGAATATGTGGATCCACCCCTGCGGGATAACGAAAGTGCGCTAAACAATTGCTACAAAAGAAGCAACAGGGGCAAAAACCTGTGGAATCCACAAAAAGGCGCATCCAAACCGTTTTCTAGAGTTATAAAAAAGGCAAGTTCTTGACAACCTCCAATGGAAAGTCTGTTGGTGAAGTTGGTACCAACTTTTTTCTGTAGTCTATTGTAGTAAGGGAACCCTCCCAACCAAAAAAGGGGCTGGGGGACCCAGTTTCTAGTAACTAAGAACCAGCAGAGTCGCCCCTGCCCCTGTCCCCTGAAGAAGACAGAAACATGGGTGCGGGCGGGTGAATGCTGGCCTACAAACCCACGATAGGTGGCCTTTTGGAAGATGGTGGTAAATGGGCAATAAACCAGGGCCCTCCTTTTTTTCAAGCAAACCTATGCCTACGCCCGTGGACATGGAGCCCCGGCATCCCACAAACACAAGCTGCAGGTAGATGTGCCCTGAAAACCATGGGTAAATGTCTGTGAAAACCGGACTCGTCTTTGCTTCCCAAAGCAGAAACAGTAGCAACCAGTGCACTGTGAAGGACCAAGGGCCCAACTTGCTTTGTCAGACCTTGGCATTGAACCATTGCGGAACAAACACCAACTAGCAAAACAGCAAAACAGCTTGGGCAGGAAAAACATGAGTGCCCAAGTACTCAGTATTTACGTTTCGGGTTTACTGACCCTCTGATTAATGAGACCAAAGAAAAAACATGGGAAATCAGGCAGTCAAAAAGGTTGGGCCTTTTGTGGCATGGTCTTCAAGGGGTCGAAAGATTTGGCTCCAGTTTTGACGGGATTCCTTATCCCCTTTCAACATCAACCCACCAAGAGGAAGCTCATGTTCACATGGCCCATGCAAGGCATGAGTCCACCCCAAACCTCCCCCATCCCCCTCCCCAAAACCTCCTCGCCCCAAACAAAGCCCAACCCCGCGATTTGACTTTACTAAGATCCTGTGCTAAACGTTTAACATGTGGGTTAAATGGAAACCCAACCACTAAACCAACTAGACGCCAAAAACAACAACAACTAAAAACCGAAAAAAAGAAGAAGAAAAAAACAAAAACAAAAAACTAAACACCCAAAAACCACAAACGAAAAAAATAAGGAACCGGACGATTCGCTGGTTGAACCGCCTTCTTGACAAATTTAAGCCAAGCCGCGCCGTCGCCATTCAGGTCAAACTGACGAAACACGCGTTTGACCTGCTCCAACTCTTCGCTCCCCATCTTCGACGGGCCGAAGGCGGAGGCCAAGAAGCGAAAACAGCACTTTGGCCGTCAAATCGCTGCGAGGCGCCAAGCAAAATCGGTGATGTGGAACTCATATGCGTTCAGCAATGGTTGGACATGTTGATACTGCGACTAGAGCAAGCCCCTTTGCAACTATTGTGTTTGGTTTCCTTTCCTTTTGCAAAGGCATGAACAACAAAGGGACCAGCGTGTGAGTGGTGTGATTCTCATGGAACCTGTTTGCTGGCGCTCACGCTTCAGCCAAATACCAGAAAACCGGATGCACTGACGAACGGTACCCCAAAACGGCATAGGCCCTGTTATGCTGGTTTTCTTCCAGATTCCGGACTAAAGATTCCCATTGCATTCCACTAAGTCACTAAATGTCACTACGAAAATATATCCACTGAATCCCTGCAAACAAGATCTGTCTGAAAATTGTAAAACCAACTCCCTTCTGAACGGTTTTCAGAGCACGTCAAGGAATCCGGAAAGTTGTGAAGGTCCACCCCGATTCAAATGTTCACGATCAAAAACATGCTATGGAGATAACCGCATGTGCATATTTTCCTCAAGACGGCAGGGGGTCAAGATCCAACACGGGTACTGTTACACTCGGGGCAACAACCTGACGATTTGCTTGGAATCTCCTTTTGACACGAGCTGGTCATGCTCCGTGTGTAGCTCTAAGGAGCTACAATCCCAGCCTTGAAAGGATGAAAAATCAAAAGGAGACTCCAGGTCAGGAGTTGCTCAATAATTTGTGATTTGCTCAACATGAATGTTGGAAACAAGTGGAGAAACGGTCAACAGCCCACCACACTGGACGAACCCTAAAGGGTCCAAGTACCCTCCGAGGTATCTTGCGGGGAAAAACACTTACAACTTCTTGGCCTCTACCTGGAAAGAACTTGGATCCTCTGGAATCTATTGAAAACACTCAAACACCCAAACATCAATTGGGAGATAATCAAAACCCGGTATTAAAATGGTCTACCCAGAAGCAAGTCAAAAATTAAGAAGGCGGCCGCAGCTATTTACGGCTGGGATTGTCCCTTACTAACCTTCGTCTACCCGGCTTGTTAATTGTGGCTCAATTGGGCAAATCAAGCACCTGCTCCTTTGAGGGAACTGGTTAGTCGCTGTCAACTCAAACACCCGTAAGCACGACGTCACGATGTGCTTGACGGGGAAATTTGCAAGTTTGTTGCCGTTGGCTAAACACATTGCATTGCAGCGCCGCATGCAGTAACCAGGTGCTTTCGCGAAACCAGTATTTTCTATGCCACACTCCATCCGTGGAAGCCCGAAGAATCTGTAGATCAGTACTGGAGGGGGGCATCATCTTGTGTAACACATTGTTTTAAATGGCTATGACGTTTTTGGAGGTTGCCCGCTCTTCAGGCAGGAAAGCCGTGGCAAAAAACAAAGGTTCAGGAGAAGCCTTGAAGTACACAAAAAAGCAAATAATGCTTCACGTTGGACATTTGAAAAGGCCGAGCCGCACTTTTCGCTCGCCCTCTGTGGTCCTGTGGTCCTGCATAGCCAATGTTTTGCCTGCAGATGCACTCTTCCCCTGAAGCCCCGGGGGGGTGTTCCACATGGGCCAATGGTCCCATGGTTACCTGAAGGAGAGGGGCCCCAGACTTTGAATCCCAAACCCATCACGGCAGAAGGCTCTTGCGCTTGTAGCTGGTAAATTTGGGGCTGGCTTTTGGTCAATTTGGGGCTTGGCCAGACACTTTTCCTCAGCCTCGGGAAAAGCAACCCGAACGCCAGGTTGAAAGGAGGGCACGGGTTTTGACATTTTGTCTGGGACAGAGTTGGCGTGTTATTTTCTCAGACAAAATGAGTATACTGCCAATGCTGAAAGTCCACAGCGAAGAAGCCCTGAGTTCACAAAGTCAACGCCACCTAGCAACACTTCTCACAAGAAGGGCCCTCGCAAAGCCTCTACTGTCCTCCTCTCATGGCAGCCCTCGCTACATGGCTATGGGTGAGACCCACGCGGCGCTCACTCTACAGGGCCCTTCCCGCCGACTGGCTGTGTGTGAACCTTGCTAACTTGTGAGGATGTAACGACCCGCATTCTCAGAAGGTACCAAGGGAGCCTGTGGGTATATGACGTGACGCAAAAGGTATAGGTGCAAAAGACGCCCCTTGCATGGTCTTAGCAAACCGTAAGGATGCAAATAACCCCCAATCCCCAGACCTCTATCACGACAGCAGGGCGCCTTGTTTGTCCTCCAAGAGAAAAGCTTAAGAAACTGCCTTACTGGAGGTCCGGGTTTGATGGGTGTTGCAAGTTGGGACTTGCTACGTCTGCCCCCGTACAGAATCCGTTGGACAAGTCAAAGGGCCCGATTGTTTGTGCCCCCCCCAATGTTGCCTACGGTACTCACCTGCTCAAGGACCTGGAAATTGAAATGCTAACCTTTTTGGGATCTTTGAAACCTACAAAGGCCGACTTTGGACAAACTGAGGTAGTCCGTGTTGCTTTTGCACCCAGTTTGTCGTACCAGTACCATGCGCGAGGTCCATTAATCTGTAGTAACGCCCTCCGGGAATTCACGACCCGGTCAAAGTAGAGCAGTCCCTTTCTCGGGCAAGGACCCACAGTCGAGGACCCCAACCCTTTTCGGGAAAGGACCCCTGGTTCCGTGCTCGGTGCCTTGGCTCACCGCTTGGTCAGAACAGCTCGGCGAAAGGTCACCAAAAGTGCTGTGACCTGGGCGCGAACGATCGTCAATCCTCCAAAATCCGCTTCCCTCGAAATTGGTGGTTTACAGCCCGGTGCTTTGGCGGCTTCCCTCTGGTATCCAAACCAATTAGAGGGTACTTGTAACCTGACAAATCCTCCCTGCAGAGAAAAAGACTCCACGCCCGTTATAACTCACTAGCCGAGTTCACCGCAAAAAGGCTGCCCCGAAAACCCCACAAGGAAAGTTGATTGCTAGGGGAAACTCGAACCGCTACCAATGGTCTACAACTGTGGTTCGATGTGGTCTTGACACTGGCTGAGTTCTTTACATGTAAGCTTCCAAGACAGGGCCAGGAACTACGCGGGACCGGACTCCTTTCGTTGCCTTGTTTGTACCATCGCTAGCCGCCCAAGCGATGCGTCTGACCTGGCAAGACCACCCCCGAGTATCTTATCTCACATACCCACTTAGGCACAACTGTCTCAACCAGGACTACCAACCGCTTCCCATTTAAAAAAGAAGAAGAAACAAACATGGAGAAGTGCATAGGCCCTTCTTAAGAAAAAAAAAAAAACTGCTCCTCTGTTCCAGGGGCTTGTGGACTGAAAGGTGTCTGAGTCACTGAGGCGCAGGCATTGTCCCGAGACCGCCTCTCATGTATGGCCTCGTGCACAATGTCCCTGACTGCTCTCTCCGGATCCTCACAGACGTCTTCTCAAAGGTTGGGCATCGAAGATACAAGCGATACCTTCCCTCCAACTAACATGGCACCTAAAACTTCAGGAGCAACTTGATCTTCCAGATACCAGGGTGCTATATTAGTGGGAGAGAGGGTACCCAATTAGCGCATGGAGAGGGGTAGTGGTTTGGGTCTCCTCTTGGTACCTCGTGAGGATGTCGAGTCTTTTTGCTTGAGTACATCCTCTAGGAGGCCCCTTCCTCGTTTTGGGGTTGCTCACGTGTTCTCAAACCAGTTCTCGGGTCTTCCCTGGGCTACGGGCCAGAAACGCAGTGGCGGCTCCACATGTGTGCCTCTGTTCGGATGTTCGGCTTCCACCAGCAGGGTTGACTTCAAAAAGTTCGCACCCTTCCACAGGCACGCAAAGTTGTACCGTGGAAGCTGATACGGCGGGGATGTGTTCTTATCATGCGCAGGTCTGCTTTCTTCAACTGCGGCTAGCATGTGGTCGCTTAAGCACCGGAACCAGAGTTTCATACCCATGACCTACATGAACTGCACCCATTCAGCTGAAGCACATCTTCTAACCTTTTGGTCTTGTGGTCCACGCCTACGCAAGCCTCCCAAGGTTGTCCATTTCTTTGCGCAGGTTTGAAGCGGGATGGTTGGGGGGTCCGGGTGTGCCACCATGCGCCTCTGAAGGTCCCCAAGGGACGCTCCCGACAACCACGTGGGTTTATCTCCAAATAGTAGATATGTGGAAAACACGGAAAATGGGTGCTTTCAAATTTGGTGTCCATGCCAAAACAACCCGAAACGGGGACCCTGACTGGATCGGGTCTCCCCAAACAAAATGTTCCAGGAATCAAAAGGTGAGAACCTCCACATTCGAGTGTGTCTTTGGGTACCCTTTGTGGGGTGGTTTTTTTACACCCCAACCAAGAGGAACCGCCGATTCTAAAGGCCTCCCTATTTTCAGACAAGCCCACATTTATTTCTCTCCTGCTCGTTCGCCGGCATCGCTGCGAGTCGGCTGTGCAAGAAATCCACCGCCTCTTGGCCTGATGAACCCAGGAGTAAACCTGTCAGGGGTCACTGGATTCCCCCCTTCAAAAGTTGCAATTTACTGGTGGCGTCCATTGAAACTGCCACTTTTGGAAGTTCCCAAAAAGGGAAACGGAGGAAACCCTGGATGAATCCAGGAGTAAACTTGGTCTGTCTTTTTAAATGGCTCCACCCAAAAAGAGGGCACCCTAAAGAAATATATGTATATATAAATATATATATATATATACACCCACTTGTAGACCTGCTTTTGGACCCCTAAAAGGAGGAGTCATGCCCTTGATTCGTGACAAGGTCTTCCATTGTGCCTCACTTCTGACACCGCCGAATCATCCACCACGTTGACACACCATAAGTGCGACCGGACCTTTGGGGGGATGGACGCCCTGTGCTTGGCGCGTTGATCTGGAAGGGAAACCCACCAAACAAAAGAAGTAAACAAACAGGCACCACTGGGGGGCTGGGTATTTTGGGCGTTCTTTTTTAGGGCTGAGGATACATCCCTGGCCCCCAAAACGGATTCACTTGCCCGCGCCCAATGCTCACTTGCCCAAGAGGACACAACGGGCTCCGCTCCGAGCTGGTATAGTGCACAGGCACCCCGTGTAAGCCCATCGCCCATGCTTTTGTGGGGAAACCGACTAAGGTGGACATGGCTCAAAAGAATGTACCCAAAATGGTACCTTGGTACATGGAAACAGAGACTATAACCTGCGTAGACGTAGGTCTTGAGTCTTGAGCTACACCCAAGTCGATCAAGGGATAAACGGTCGAAAGGTGAATTGCCACGAACTAAAGGCCAGGCGCTGCCCCCAGGAACGGGAAGCCGTTGAATGGGTTCTAACCAAACGGGCTCCGGATCCATTTGGTGCAAGCCGTCGGAGCCCGTCTCCGGGTCGACAGCCAACTTGGTGCCCCATCAAGTCTTTGATGAAAGAACGCCCGCTAAGGTTTTTTGACCCCGACTCTCTTCCAACAAAGGGGCGACTGATGGGGGAGACGCAGGAACATGTGCGCAAAGGATCCCAAAACTACAAGTTCGAAAGCTCGAACTTGAAGGATCGAACCAGGTGACCCCAAAAATTCCCCATTCAAACATCACACCATCTCAACAACTGTTAAAAAGGAGCCGGAGATGACAAGCAAGCAAAAGGTGATGCTCCCTTGCCCCCACATCAGTAGGCGCCGGAGATACGTGGCGCTCATTCATGCCTGTACCTGTCTGCTCATTCATGACCAAAACTGACTCATTGCCAATGAGCCATATTCTTGCTCATCGGCCCCCCAAAAACATGGGGCGAATCCGCCGAGGTCAAGCAGTACCTGCTCCAAATGGCCCCTTGTCTACCTGGAACAACTGCGCTAAAATACTTCCAGCGGTGAAATCGATTCCCTTTAGAACCAAGAAGGGAAAATAAGCAATGTTCTTAAGCAAATGGCCTGAACATGATCTCGATCGGACCCCCAGACTTCCCTTGCCTATGCACCAAGATGGCCCGACCGCTCTGGGCTTCGGGGCAGCTGAAGACCGCGAAGAGGCCGTCGCAGGCCATAAAGAGGAACTCGTCCTGTTAAAAAACGGAGTGAATACGTGCGTGGGATATGTGGGCATCTTGGTTTATTTAGGGTCCCTTTTGGCTGTGGCTCAAAAAAAGGAATCCCAACATGGCACCTGGGTAAATGGAAACAGAGGCTAAAACCTGCGAAGCCCTCACTCTTTCATTTTGAGCCACACCCTTTTGGTGGACGTCATTGAAAGGATGGCTTTTTTTCCACCCACCATTCTTGAGGTGGTTTCTTTTTAAACGGCACAGCCATCGGAGGTCTGTTGGCATCCCCAGAGGCTTCATGGCAACGGTCCCAACTACCCAAACCTCTGGCGTGGCCATAGGCTTTATGGGGGGAGGGGTTAGCAGACCGTAGTTCGGTGTCTCTCCAACAACAAAAAAGAAGACGGGTGCAGAGGTTCTGGCTTCTCTTTCAACCGCACCAAAACAGGGTACTCAGCCTCAAACCAAACATCCTCGCTTGGTCATGAAGCGTCATGCTCGCAACACACAATCATGTTGGCACACAAATCCATGGACGTAGCTACCCATAGAAACAACGTTCCGAGCCGCGCGCCAAGGTGAACCACTTGCATTTGCTTTAGAACATGGTGTCCTGAAACCGTGTACGCCTAAAGGGGAAAAAAACAGGACAAGTGTTTGGAGGTGGCCTACCTTATTTCAAAAGACAAAGCCTCAGGATACTATAGCTGTTTGGTCCCCTATGTTGACCATAGCCCGTTGCAACCAAGTAGGAAACAGGTTCAACGAACTTTGTGGGTCCCACTTGGCACCAGTAGACGGCTTAACGAATCATAGTGATTCATCCATCCCAATTCTGTCCATCCACATACAAACTATTTGCTGTCATCAGTAGACATCGGGATGACATGGGACACACTCACCCAAAATAAACTCACCAAAAATATCATGTCAGTCGGGGGCACCGAAAAGTTTGACCTTGGCTCGCACAGGTTTGTGCGAAAAAATAGGACCTGCAAGCATAGGACCGGCTTTCCTCTAGGTTCCCTTTCGGGCCACTCAAAAAACCCCCAGCCACCTAGGGGTTGTCAAACCTTTCTCGCCTTTTATACGGTACCCCTTTGAACAGGTGATCAAAGGTCCCATATGGGGGTGGATCAAAGGTCCCATGAGCATAGGATGACAACAATGGTCGGAAAACCACACAGATTCGATATGTCAACCACACAGATTCGATTGGTCGGAAAATTTGGCACACGCCTCGTGGGGGCCGAAGGGAATATTCGGCAAGTGTCACTGTAATTCCAAAAGCTGGATCCCCAAGGAAAAGGACCTTTATCATGGCTTTCGCTCGTTACGCCCCAGCTCAGCAGTGGAACCGCTCGGTCTCAAGCCTCAACAACTGATTTTCCCCATGTCCAAAGTCCCCTTGTAAACAAAAAGCAGTTGGGACCCGGGTGGTGGTGGTCATGTGGGGGCCCTAAATGGAATATGGATCAACCCGCATTTGGCTATGGGTCAAAACTAAATAGGTAGGACCAAAACGAACGGTCCATATCCTGGTGGCTTAATTTTCACCCATACCTAGGTCCTCCGGTAGAGAGGCTGGAATAAGGATACCAACTTTTTCCGGTAGACTATTTTAGTAGGGGAACCCTCCCAACCCAAACACGCGTGAGAAAGGGCACCTAGCTGGCAGGCCTGGCATACCCATTTAGCTGTAGGTCAAACATAGGTATCTAATGGAACTAAAACCTGCGGTCCCCCGGTGGTTTCATTTTGACCCATACCCATTTCTCAAAGCCCCGTTTCAACCGCGCGAATCGCTTCGAATTCGACCTCGGGAGTGAGCTGCTCTACACGAATCTCGGGCTCGGCGATAACCAAGGGCCTCGGACGTGCCCCGCGTCTTTCGGTTTGGACGAGCTGAAATGGCTGCGCTCTAGAGCTTAATTGGGGGGGGGGGGGTCTGGAAAAACGGGAAAACAAAAATCCCCTTTGAAAGCTTTCCCTTCTGGCCAATGTGTCAGTTACCCTTTGAACCAAAAGGGGTTCCCTTTTGGGATTGGCAACAAAGTCAAACTTACCAAACCCAAAAACTTTGGGTTCCGTTTCTTTCATTTGCTTACGCCCCCTGGACAAAACTATTTCCAATAGTGATAGATTCCCTTTAAAACCAACAAGGCGAATATAAACAACATCATTTCAGCATTGGAATTTACGGTCAACATGTCAAGGGGGAATCAAGCTTTGGACAAATTATCTGCATTTCATTTCCCCTACAAGTATCCGCGTATTGGAAGGGTTTTCCGCATTCCCTACAAAAGGCATACCACCTCGAATGACTCTTGCATTTACCTTGCAGGGGCACTACCGGCCGAGAGTTGTTGTTGTCATAGCATCTGCATGTTTAACTGGGCTGCCCTCAGATCCCCCGCTAAAGGTTTAGCTTTCAGTGGGTTACATGGAAACTAGCACTAAACACTTAAAAGGCTAAAACGCTAAGGGGATGGCCTTAACACTACTTCCAAAATCTGAAGTACGGGATCCTCAAGGGCACCCGCCGCAACCCCCTGCTTGGATGACCAACTCACTCAATAAGTGATTGATATCCCCAGTCAACAAGTGCCCTAAGTGGGAATTCCCCTACTTGTACAAGGTCCTCCACGAGAGCGGATAGAATATGGGGTACTCTTTTTTTTTTTTCTGTAGTCTATTTTAGAAGGGGAACCCTCCCCAAGAAAAGGGTAAAACTTAGTATAACTCACCCCCAAAACCAGAAACTCAATCATAACATGAAACACCAAGGGCACGTGTCTTCATGGACTGTACAGAAGCTTTCATTCACTCCTTCGCAGCACCGCCCGAAAAATGGGCGCTTCAACCACCAGCCGCAAATGGCAACAGATCCAATAAGCCATGGTCAACATTCATTGTATCCCCAACTGACATTGGAATTCGGTGGGTAACCCAGCTCATAATTCTAATTTGGTAAAATTGACACGTGTCATCTCCTTACTAAGTGGAGTGTTCATCCATGTGCGGAATGTGAGGAATGGGACGTGGTGTTGGACAGGGCCCGGCTCATTTTGGCTGTCAATGAACACGGATCCCTTTGCAAGGCAGGCGCAACAACACCAAAAGCCCACGACTGCCTAGCAAACGGCAGCAGCAAGGGTTCCAAAAGCAAAACTCGGGCTCCGGGCTGCGAGACGTCAGATCTGGTTACCCCAACCTGAGAAAAAGAAAAAAATAATCCCAGGGTTGATGCCCCCAAGAATGTTCAGTCAGATGGAATACTGAATGGTGCCAACACACATATGTGTTGCCTTGGTGCACTATCGTGGCGTGCACCTAGCAAACAACATATACAACATGGTAATGGCGCCTTTCCCCACTTGCCCCACGAGTGATACCCTCAAAATCGTAAACCAAGGGAAACTAGCCCCTTACACAAATCAACACCCCCACCTCCCATCAAATGTGAAGCCTCCCTTCATGCTACCAAAACTCGGGAGGACTTGGGGATTTGGGGATTTGGCGACCCTACATTCATGCAATGGACACAAGCTCATGCATATCAGGCCGGTCCCCGGAGAAGAAGACATTTTGACACGGGCATGTTGAGACTCGACAAAAAACCCTTCCTTGGTTATGGATTTTTTCAGGAAAAGACAATCAGAGCCCTTTTGCCATTGAGAATATTTCAGAGCGGCCTCGTCACCTCGTTGCTCAATCAAGTCTGTTAGCACCCTGATTGTCGGCTGCCTCGGCTGCCTCTGCAACAATGTGAGTCTGGGGAGGTAAGGAAAAGTCGCAGTTCTAACCAACCTTCTCGGCTGCTTGGGGGGGGGGGGGGGCATTTCACGGACTCCAACAATAACTAACTGTTCACCCCCCCCAAAAAAAAAAAAAAACAGAAAAGAGAAAAAGTTGGTTTGCACGCTAGGGAATCCAAGCACAGCTTGTGATTCCTTGACTAGCTTTGGGAATGGCATCAATTCGCTTTGCTGCCCCCTTCACTTTTGCCAGCGGCGAGGGCCCTTTAAAACTTGTCTGGGCCCGAAAAGCTTTCTTGTTGGCCAAAGGCCTAAATATATTTGACCCCAAAAGACCTCAAATACGGCTTTTGGGCACCCCTTAAAAAGCATATACATACATATATATATATATATATACATTTGACCCCACAAGACCTCGAATACGGTTTTTAGCACCACTTCACTTAACCCGGGAAACCCCCCGGAAAAACCCTGTGGCACGTGGGGATTTGCGCCTTGTACTCCGCGTCCCCAAAGGCGCGGGACACCGCGAGCCGGCCCAACCTCAGCGGAACAAAACGGGACGCCCAGCAAAAAGATCTGGGATCTAGGTCCATCAGTAGACCCAACCATGCTAGGGTACCGCCATTCTCCTTGAAACCCTGTGAAGATCATGAACTCTGTCATTTAGAGGACCATACAAATGGGTACCAGTCCAGCAAGTGGAAGTGAATCCAACTGCTCTCAAAGACCTGCAGATTCTGACCCTCTAGTGCCAAGAAGTTGAAGGTTGGTCCAAGCAAAGAGTCAGTAGACCCCTCCATTTGCTGAACATTTAACCCCCCTGCAAGAAAGAACAAGCAACATCCGATAGTGATAGACTCAATTTAATCAACAGGGGAACACAAAACATGTCTAGGTCCTCCAGTGGAGAGGTTAGGGTTTACCTTACCAACTTTTTTCTGTAGTCTATTTTAGTGGAACCCTCCCAACCCAACCAACAAAGGGGAGGGAAGGGCACTACTGGGGGACCTAGTCGGGGACGTGTCGGGGAGATATGGGATCTTTCCCAGCTCGGTATCCATCTGGGATGGTTGAATAAATAGTTTGTTGAGGGTTCCCATTTTTTGGGATGGTGCAAAGCATGTTGTGTTTGCCTTTTGCCTGAGGTACCCATTCCAGCACCCGGGTCCCAACTTGAAACTGCTTTCCCGTTAGCAGTAGTCGGGGGGTGCCGGTTTGGGATGGTTCAATGCGTGTTGTGTTTGTCTTTTGTCTGAGGCTCGGCATCCAAATGTGGTATGGTTCGAAATGAAAACCAGGGGGAAATAGCGTTGCCAAAAACACCAGGGAACAGCTGGGAAAACCCATAGTTGTCGTCAAACCACACGACACCCTGCCAACAAACTGGGCTGTTCAAAGGCAATCCTTATAATCCTTAGCTTCCAAAATTTGGGCCCCCTACACTTCCCCTAAGGGTCCCTTGGTGCCTTGTGATGCGCAAAGAGCCTTGTAGAACAGGGACAGCGTACATGCCGGGCCCCTCCCCCGCGGTTGGAGGCATCCTGACCACGGATCAAGGAGGTGTTGGAATGCAGCTTTGGAAGTCAACGGTTGCCGAAACTGAGGTTTTGTACACTTGGGTGTGGGTCCAAATCCAGATACCCTGCCATGTTAAAAGGGAGTCTTGGGGGGTAGGGTACAGGGGTTTTGACCCACAGCCAATACCCTGTTTTGGGGTAACCTTGCCTTTGGGGCCATGTTAAAACGGAATCTGGGGTAGGGTACCAGGGGTTTGCCCACAGCCACTTGCTTGCGTGGCTTTCTCGCAAAGAAGCAGCACAGCAGCAGCACCCAACTACTGCTTTTTGGACAGTACCGAGGAAATATGGAACATGGGAAAAGCAGTTGGGGGAGGGGGAATGTGAGCACATATATATATATATATATATATATGTATATATATATATATATATATATGTATATGTATAAAACAAAAATACTATATATTGGGGGAGGGAGGGGCACATATATATATATATATATGTGTTGATGTATATATAATATATATATATATATATACATATATATATATATATCTATAGATAGATACAACTGTATCTATCACTGGACAGCTGGCCGGTGCGGCTTCGGCCTAAGACTCCCACACCCGGTGGAAGGAGACGAAGCCGCCGGCCTGGCGCGGAGTTCCGAAGTTCCGAGTCCCCGTGGGCCGTTTCGGCGAGACAAAAAATCCGCCCGGAGGGGCTGAAAACCAAAACGAGGACCAAGCCCTCTGGGTTCCTTTTTGGCAAAATAATAATAAAAACAAAAAAACACGGAGACAACATTTTGGGGGCCGGACAATTTTGGTTTTCGGAAGAAAAAAACAATAGATGGAACTTTGGACTTCCTTCCACGTGGAAGTTGAGAACTACGAAATTGACAAATCGACGCATCTTTCCCCTGTGGCAAGGGAAACACCTACAAATACAAACACATTCTGAGGTGTTCTGTACCTATTCCAAGAGCGGCACCTTGCGCCTTGTGACAATCCGATTGGCCAGAAGCCATGCACTTTCTTGGGACGCGGTCCGGCTGTACCAAACCAAACCACTCTTCGAGGAAATAGGCGGGTCTTCGAGGAAATAATTAGGCGGGTCGCCACACCCGAAAGAACTCTTTCTGTTTTGATCACAAACAATGGGAACAAAACAGTGCCCTTAAACCCGGATATTGACCAAAACGTGCTAGTGAGTATGGTGGCATTGGTCGCATGCTCCGATCAGTGCAAAACCCGAAGCAGGAAATTACCAAGTCTTGCCCAGGTGCTCACCAACATGGAAGCGGTCAAGGGGCCTGTTGAGATTCAAGAGGATTGTAGTCTTCGAAACCATCCTACCCGTGTAAACCATCCCCTGTTGTTGCCTTTAAGGGAAACTCAAAACGGTTCATTCCCTCATTCCCTACTTATCGCAGCAGCAAGCGCCAACAAGCCAGTCATCCACAGCCAACAAGAAAGGCGCTCCTACAATTAAGCACCTCCTTATATCAGCTAGTGCCTGCAAAACGCGCCCCGAATTCCAATTAGATCCGAATGTCTTAAAATGATCTGAGCCCCTTAGAAACGTTCAAACTCATACCTCGGGACGCTCAAACCACCCATAAACAGGGAATTCACCGATTTTTCGGGGGGGCAACAATAACCCGTGTCCAGGTAGTGGGAAAGCAGGCCCATTGTTCAAGAGGTTAAAACGTCAGTCGGGTCGTACCAAAATCTCTTTCAATTCCAAGCCCTCCAACCCCCCCCACGCCCGTGCCCCTGGTTGTAGAGAAACAAAGCAGAAACTAGAGAGGAGGACCTCAGCTGGAACCAACAAACATATATTATTTAGATTATTGTTCATCTGAGTCACAATCAAAGCCCGGTACTAAAACGGTCTACCCGGAACCATGTAAGCAATTAAGACGATGGCCGAAGCTATTTATGGCTGGGATTGTCCCTAACCAACCTTCATCTACCCGGGTGTTGAGCACGTGGCTCATCTGGGCCATGGGGGTGTCTGAAAATCGGACGCTCCCAAAATGGTGAGCGCCCCCTTTGAGTTTCCTTCAAAGCTCCGAAACGGGTCCCTCGAAAATGCTTCTATTTGAAACCAATGCATATAGATATCCCAGTGGAGGGGGTTGGGATCACTTCCAAGACGACATGGACAAATTGGGTGGACCCCCCTTCTGCAACCCAGAAATATTGCCAGTTGCTCATAAATGGACACAATACAGCACCAGTTGGCCAGTGTTTTATCCCAGCATTCATTCTTCATCCATCCCAACTGGTGCAATTGTTCGTCCAGCTACAGCCCAAAGGATACCTTGACAATACCTCCTCAGGATGTATACTTAAAGCCTAAAGTACATATCACAAGGTATTAAAGGAGGGCAACAATGTCGCACAACCAGCCAAAGCAACTCATGTTCAGTCCGGGTTCCCTTTGTGCCCTCTTTCTAGGTCCTCCAGTAGAGAGGTTAGAATAAGGGTACCCTTTTTCAGCAGTCTACTTTAGTAAGGGGACCCTCCCTCAAAAATGGTAAAAGGGCATTACTGGGGGACCTAGTAAGTGGATTTGCAGGGGTCACCACACTCCCCAATCCCATCTCTGAAGTGCGGATCCAAAATCAAAGCCCGTCTGGGCTCCATGGAGATGGATTGCTGGACACTCACAAGCCCTTCTCGAAACCCTCGCTGACTATAGGTCATGAGTCGCCAAGGGGAGCCAACTGAGGGGGGGGGCTATGACCCTACAAACCCTTCAGGCTCTACTGCGGGACCTCGTCTTGGGTATCCAAGAAACGCTGCGGCGCCCGGGATGGGATCCCCGGGAGATTTTTCCCTCGGGCCTCCTCGATGCGCTTGGCCTCGTCGGCGCGGCTGGGCTTGTGGTCCAAGGACAGCTGCAGGGCCCGGCCTTTGGGTGTGGAAGCCGGTGGAAGCCGTGACGAAACCAAGCGACCAACCAACCACACCAAGCAAGCAAGCAAGCAAGCAAGGCAAGCAAAGCAAGCAAGGCAAGGCAAGGCAAACAAGGCAAGGCAAGGCAAGGCAAGGCAAGGCAAGGCAAGGCAAGGCAAGGCAAGGCAAGGCAAGCATGGCTGATCAAAAGAGGTTCATATGAGACTCGACCCTTGTCGGAACTCCACCAGGCTCCCCTGCTTGAGAAGCGCTGCCGGGAGCTAGCAAAAAAGAGAAGAAGCTGCAGGCCGGGTTTGCCTAGGTCCTCTAGTAGAGAGGCTAGAATAAGGGTACCTTTTGTTTCTTCTGTAGTCTATTCTAGTAGGGGAACCCTCCCCCCAAAAAACGGGTGAGAAAGGGCACCTAGCTGGGGGACCTAGTTGCCTATTGGCTTGCAGCTGGCCAAGAAGCGCCACAAAAACTTTTGGGGTGACAAACAGCTTACTCACACACAAGGTAAACATGGCCATGGGTCAAAAGCCAAATCGCACTCCCAGTGAATAGTTTAATCCCCATTAAAATAGGTTCTAAAATGGGTGGTGCACCTAATTACCCCAAAATGGGATCCCATTGGTTTTGACCCACACCCACATGACCAACAAAATCGAAGGTCCCAACAAAGATACTCGCAAAAAGCCTAGTGTTCTTCCGAGCGGCCGTTTCGGCAGAGCAGCGCGCGGCTGTCACCCACATTGGCGCACCAAACCCATCCGCCCACCTCAGCATTTTCAGCTTGAAGGCGTTGGGCCGGATGTGGGATTTGCGCCATTTGGACTCGAAAGAAGGGCAATGGCTTCTCTCGGGATCCATCCCCATTCTACTTTCCCAGTTTCATCCTTTGGTGCGGAGCTAGGACCATGCTTTAAGTCCTTTGTGGGGGAAACCGCCAAACGACAAGGAAAAATAAGGTTGCCACTGAAAAAAGAGATGTTGCTTTTGGTTGAACAAAAGACAAGTGGTGCCGAGTTGGGTTTTCGCTGCGTGGTTTCACTGGTGAGTGGTGAGTGGGTGACGGGACACATGCGGTTTCGCAGGGTTCCGTCATGTCCTATTCAATTCAAAAAACCCGCCAGGAACAACAAGGACAACGTTGATAAACACATGCGGGCCGCGCCCATGGTGCTATTGGCCATCCCTATTGTGGACCATGGGCCCCCAATCATTATTATATATATATATATACTATGTATGTATGTATGTATGTGTGTGTGTATGTATGTATGTATGTATGTATGTATGTATGTATGTATGTATGTATGTATGTATGTATGTATGTATGTATGTATGTATGTATGTATGTATGTATGTGTGTGTGTGTGTATGTATGTATGTATGTATGTATGTATGTATGTATGTATGTATGTATGTATGTATGTATGTATGTATGTATGTATGTATGTATGTATGTATGTATGTATGTATGTATGTATGTATGTATGTATGTATGTATGTATGTATGTATGTATGTATGTATGTATGTATGTATGTATGTATGTATGTATGTATGTATGTATGTATGTATGTATGTATGTATGTATGTATGTATGTATGTATGTATGTATGTATGTATGTATGTATGTATGTATGTATGTATGTATGTATGTATGTATGTATGTATGTATGTATGCATGTATGTATGTATGCATGCATGTATGTATGTATGTATGTCTGTATGCATGTATGTATGTATGTATGTATGTATGTATGTATGTATGTATGTATGTATGTATGTATGTATGTATGTATGTATGTATGTATGATATGATATGTGATATGTGTTGTGTTGTTTTGTTTTGTTTTGTTTTGTTTTGTTGTGTTATGTATGTATGTGTATATATATATATACTTGTCGACATGTATACATATGTATATTGACCCTTTCCCTATTGTCATGTCTCTTGGGCCACAGCTCGGGTGCTCCAACAATCATATGTGCATGTTATGGTTCATATGTAGTCTACCCTGAAAAAATGTTCTTTATGTTCCGAGCAAACCCCAGAGTGGGCTCTGAAAGCATTGACAGCCTGGCTCGCCTTTTTTTAGGGGACGCCCAAAATGGATTTCGGTGTTCCTGTTGGTTTCCATTCAAAACCACCCAAAAAAGGGTTCCCTCAAAAAAGACACCGCCATCTGTGCGGCTCGTCAAGGCCGTTCAATCCATGGGAAAACCCGTTGCAGCAAGGTGATAAAGGTACCTTCTGTTCAAGGTCCATTCTGGCCATGGAAGGTACCCCCAAACCTCCAAACCACCAATCCAAAGCACCAATTGGAGAGAAGCTGGTTTGAAGGGAAACTCGATAGATTTGCTTAAGCATGGTTGTTGGGAAACATTGGAAGCATTTTTGCTTATTGTGGGTTTAGTGGCGGAAATCAAAACACTGAACTGCCAAAATTTGAGAATTTGTACTCCCCTTCCAACGTCAACCAAGCTTCGGTGGCCAGTCGTTTCAGTGGGGTTTTCCCGTTAAGGCGTCAAACCAACAAAGCAGGCATGGTTTTCCATGGATTCCACCAGGGTTTCTTGTTGTCCTTCTACAAGAACCAGGGGTTCAAACCCCCATGTCCCAACAATCGCCTGGTTCAAAGGCCCCCAAAGGAGGGCACGCACCCTCAGAAAAGTTTGGATTGGGACCAACCTGAAATAAGGTGCTCGGAGGGATGTTCCCCACATAAAACACCATTTCGGGTGAATTCGGTCGTGTGTCGTTATAATTCACCCAGACCCAACAACGACACACAATCAGCAAATATGCAAAACCAATGTTTCCAACAACAACAACCATGGAATGACAACTTGTCCGGGTGTTGGGTGAGAACGAGTCCAAGTGGAAATGCACCGGTTCTGGGGATTTCCGATTAATCGAAACGACTGGCCAAGCCGCGACGCAGGCCACCACGGCCGTGGATCCGGAGCCGTTCTCCATTCCCTCGAGCGTTCCGCGGGTCTCGAGTCGTTGGAACCGGGGGGTAACGCCCTCCCCGGTTTTTTGGTTGGGAAACCACTCGACTAGTTGGTTGGGGGTACTTGCGTTTTGTTCTTTTTTTTCTTACCTCCCACCCCTTTTGCGTCTTTGTTTGGGGTACCCCCCTTCTCCTTCCCCCTTTTTCGTCTTTCTTTGGGGAAAAGGTTGGGTGTGCGTGTGTTGTTTAAAACCAAGTTGGAAACCATCCATGAGGGCTCCATACCCCAATTTTGAGGCCATCCTAGGCCTATCTTGTTCTTTTGAGGTACCCCGTTTCTTGGTGGCTTCTATAAATTCATGTTTGGGTGTCCCCAAAACAGAGACACCCAAGCTGCCGTCTTTTTCAAAGTCAAGCCGCTCTCCAGCAGGCGGTTGCAGAATTTACTTCAGGTAAGCCGGTTGAAGCCCGTCTTGCTGTTCCACAAATCGAATGAACCCATCCAATTTGAGTACTATGTCTTATATGAGGTGAGGGGTCCCATGTCCCCTTTAAACAGCACATCGCTAACCAAACGCGCAAAAAGGGACGACTCATCGAATCCAGCAAAAAGGACACACATGAAGACCCCGCAAGGTGGGTCCCAATGTAGTACCTTGCTGAATGCGCGGTCGAGTGGACCTGTTCAATGCATGGCGCCTGCATCAAACCAATTGCAGAATCAATCACCACGCCACCAGGCATTGAAAGCAAATCCAAGTCAAGCAAACCTTCAGGAGAGTCATAGGCCAGCCGATTGATCCCCCGAGTTGTGATCCAAGCTGAGCGATTCTTGCCGCAGCTCATTTTGGGAAGGTGACTGTCCCCTATTGACCATCCCGTTTGGTGTCGGCTGCGATTCACACCCTTCCATTCCCCGTCAACAGCCAAACATCGATCACCAGGATGGACTTTTACTGCAAAATCATGCAACTTGCTTGATATCACCGCTCTGTACTTGGCTGCTCTGTGGTTTTACCTTCAACATTGAAACCTCTCGATCACAATAAGGCGTACCAAGGAGTCACTCCTGACCTGGGTGCATTGACAAACCAGCTTGTGGGCCGAGTATGCGCGTTTCAAGGTTGGCGCGTGCAGTTGTGGTTGCGGGTACGGAGAAGTGTGTGCGGGCGGATGTATACCTGGAGTCTCCATGACCCTTTACCAATCTCGGTTGCTTTCTGCTCCCCTGCTAAAAGTTTGACTTTTAGTGGTTTAACGGAAAACCCACTAGTCGGCAAGAAGTTTTAAATGCTTAACATCCCTTGGCAAGGGACCAACCGAAGGGTTCAGATACCACCATTAAAACACTGGCTTCTTTTAACCTCTGAATACCTGAGGGTTGTCATCCAAATTGGGTCCCAAGGCCATTCTTTTTATGGTGCACATGGAAACCCGGTGCTTCAAGCGGTTGCGCCGTTGCCGCCTGGGTGAGCCCCAGGAACTGCTGGTCCGTCTTCAGGAAGCCATGCATCAAGCTGTCGTGCATGTCGTGGTGAACCTGTGACGCTCGTTCCGGCAAAGTCGGACATGCTCCTTGTTTTGGGCTGCCCATTTTCAAATGCCCCGCGAAAAGTGACTCCCTTTCAGTAGGTTACATGGAAACTGCCACTAAACACCAAAAGGCTAAAAAGCCAAGGGGATGGCTGTGAGCCACCAAGTGTTGGTTGTTTCCCTGCAACCGTTCTTGAGGGCCGACTAACCCGGAATGGAAAATGCATGCATTTTCCGAAAAGCTGCCTCCCTCCCACTTGGAACCCGTCAGAAGGTCCCAAGATTTCGTGTTTGTGGGTTGGGTGAAGCAAAGCGGCTAGTCACCTGGTGGCCCACTTACAACGCAAGCGCCCTCAAGTGAAGACCCTGTTGTGAACCAAGCGGCTAACGAACTTGGCTGAACCTCTAATCTAATTGGGGTAAAGTATATTTTGGTCGTGGAGCAACAGTTTGTTCCTACCAAGCATGCATGTTCCGTGCATTTCTTGAAAGGCACCAACAGGCTTTGTCCTTACCCTAAAAGTAGACGGGATTTTTGTTTGGTTGTTTCCGTCTGTCAGTTCTTAGAGTATCGTACGTGAGGCCATGTTGGGTGATGTGTGAAGCCAGGTCCCTATGAGACGTTATGGCACCCTTGCGCGCTATTCGCCCCTAGGATAACCTACTTAACCCGGCCTGGCTGGATTTGTCCAGTCCACCCCTGGCATGCAGGGCCGCAATGATGTTGATGTGCAGCCGACGACGCCTCGGTCATGGAAACTCCTCCCTTGATTACGTGGCGCTTAGAGAAAACTGGAACAAGGGTACAACAACGGCTCCTGAAACGCAAGCTCCAATTTCTACCTTTGAGGTTTGGGGCATCTGTCAAAGGCTCGGAGCAACCCACCCAAACCACGCATTAGGTCCGTTTGCCGTTTGGGAACCCATACGTGCCAACCCCGACCCAAACGGCTTTTCGGGATGACTTAACCCACCAATGACTGCGGCAGACCAAATGAGCTACACATACAGCAAAGTTCAAGAAGCGCATGAGTGACAGTCAATTTTATTCTGCTGCTACCCTAAATGATTGGGATCAATTTGTATGTCCCTGGAGTACCCCACGTCCCTAAATAGAGAATAGACTACTAGATGACCGAACCTCACATGCTGGCGGCAGCAAATATACACATGTCTGGCGCTCAAAAGGTTTCCATCCCCAGCAAGAGCCACAGGCCCGTTTCCTCCTTCGAGGTTACCTAGCTGGGTATGGGTCAAAATTAAACCACCAGGGGACCGCAGGTTTTAATCCTTGGTTCCATTTACCAGGGTTCCATTTTGCGCACCTATTTTTGACCCACAGCCACCGTACTAAGCACGTGGCCTGATGGATTCTAGGGCCCAACGTACGCCCTTTGAGCATTGGAAGTGTCCATATCTTTACACCCTTGGTATGTTTATTGCTGCTCCCTACTCAAAATGAACTGAACCAAGCAAAAAACCCAAACACCGAAAAGACACGATCTAACAAAAATGAAGATATGAAGGTCCTGGTGGTCCATGACCCTTCACTTGACTTGGCACCAACTGGAAGCTGGCAACCAGCAAGCAATGTTTTGAGCCACCTGAGGCTCGGAAACCTCTTGGGGTAAATAGAAAACTGGGAACCGAAGCCCGGTTGAGGGGGGCGGGGTCCCCTGGAGACAAACCCCTTACATGCCACGCTGTGGTTCCTGATCATCGTTCCATGGAGAGGAACATTCGTCTTGTCCAAACTCTCCGGTGCTGATACTCATCCCTACCAACCTTGGGAAGGGTGTTGACCAAGGCAGTGCCGAAGCCGCTTTCTGGCTGCATGGTAAGGCAAGCGCCAGGAGGAAATTGTTCACCAGCCATTGAGCCGGACTCGGGAGCGCTTTGGCTCCACCTGGAGCCTGTAAAAATGGGGTCATTACCCAAAATAAAGGGGTCATGGACCCATTTTTAACTCACTGGCTGAGTGGATGGTCGAAAAAAAGCTCAACCTTTATATTTATAACATGGTCCAAACCCAAAAAGTTTAAAGTTCATGAACTCAGGAAGTGAGTTAAAGCGTCAGGAGACTCCGGGCAGAATCATCCTGAGCGCCGGGCACGAAGTTCACGCAGTCCCGTCCCCCGTGGCCGTCGTAGATGCCGAAGTAGGAGCACTGCCTGCGGGCGCGCAGGAAAATCAGGTGCAAGCTTTCATTTGGTTAAGACCCCTGGAAAAAATGAGAAATATTTCCAGTAGTGATAGATTCCCTTTAAAACCAACAGGGGAAAATAAAAAATATCCTTAAGCAAATGGAAGCAAGGGCCTAAGCTGGGCTGCTGCCACGAATTCTCTCCAAAAAGTGAAGAGCTTGTTGTGGGGCCAATTCAGAAAATCCGAGCTGTTGCCCAAAGAGCTGAGAATGGGCTCGCAGACCTCAAAGCCGACATGTGAACTTGGTCAAACAGAAGTCAGAGGGAACCTTGTAATAGCCATGTAAGAATCCTTCTAACGGGCTTGATGACCATCCCTACTTTAAGACAGTGAACACTCAGACCAGCCAACACTTGGATAATTTAATCTACGCTCGTGCCATTCCATCCATGGCCCGGCGTAGGTCCGCAAGGGCGCAGCTGTGCAGAAAAGCATGTCTGTTAGTAGTCGCTTTGCCACTCAAGAGGGTGCGTGTGTGTGGTCGCTCTGGTCCAAATTCCATCATTTGTTTGTCACGCAAACTCCCCGGCAGGGCTTCCCATATCCAAAGGAGGGAACAGGTCTTCTTGCGCTATTATGTCGATTTGTTGAAAATAGGGCATTTTTTTTTGGATAGCTGGAACAGAGACAAGGAAATCAACCATCTGGGAGTTCGATGTTCTGAGCAACATACGTTTCGGGCTGGGAATGTCCCATACCAACCTTCAATTGCCTGGTTGTTGGCTTCAGTTTATTTGGCCCCACATGGGATTACGGTTCATCTAGGCCTACTTGTGCTTGTTGCTGTTTAGGATGCCAAGACCATCCCCTGCAACTGCCACCAAGACAGGAAACACACATTCAAACGTTGTTGACCCATCAAACTTCACGTTGAACCCATACTACTCAACCCCTGTGTACTCATAGCGGGGTTCCCCTCCAAAAGTGGTCTGATTCCCCACCAATTTCAGGGACACCCCCCCCATGAATAAACTGGGGTTGATTCATATGGAGCCAAACTTAATGCTTCAAATGCCTGGATGTGGAGGAACAAGAAAGGAATCCCTCAGCTTGACCAGCATGTCGAGTTCGCATCCTATCCGGGCCTCCAATTGGAGGTGGCTAGGTCTTGCACGAGGATGTCCTCGTCCTGAAGGCGTAGCCAAAGGTACCAAGGGACCCTTGGGCTACATATAAAGTAAGAAACCATCGGACACCTGTAAGTGTGGGTTGGCTTGGGTGCTTCCCTGACAACGAAACAAGTTTGACTGGGAATTCACTTCGTGATAGCTGCTGATTTAACTCATTTCGGTGTAGATTCGTAGTTAGGGGGCCGACCGGACCCATCCCAAACAGACGCCCCCCCAACAAATATTGGCAGTTGTTCAGAGCCCAGAGCTGAACCCGTTCCAGTTTTTAAGCGTCCCAATCCACATTGGACCCTCTTGGCTTTATGACATTTACAGGTTCACGTCCTAAAATTTGGGGATCCGTTTAAGGACAAGAAGGGATCCCCTTACTTTCAGTGCTCCCTTCATGTCGAAGTCTTGGGTCATGTGGGTCACTGCGGCACATCATTACCATCCGGATCGAAGCCCGAAAGCTGAAAACTGGGGAAATTTGGAGCAGCTCCTGCTGCTTGGGTCAGCTCGTTTACCAGAGCTCCACGCGGATTGACCAGATTTGCTTTTCTTCTTTGTTTGGGGAGGGTACCACGTTTTTGCGGGTTGGGTGAAAGGAACACCTGAAGCTTGATCCAAAAGCCTAGTTGACACATACCCATTTCAATACCCCAAGTCTCAAACCACATCCAAACTAGGTCCTCTAGTAGAGAGGTTAGAACTTTCGGGTACCAACTTTTCTGGACGTCTATTTCAGCAGGGGAACCGAATCTCCCAACCAAAAAAGGGGTGAGAAAGGGCACGACTGGCTGGGGGGACCTAGCCACAAGGAACCCCACCCTTTTGCGGATCCGAAACCCCAAGTTGACTCGCAAAGCCCTCGCCTCCATGGTCGCCCGAAAGCCCTGCTCTGAGTAGGAGGCCGCGTTGAAACGAAGGACCTGCGCGTAAGTTGGCACATGCCTTGCTTGACGTTGGGTTTGGGGAGCCAAAAATTAAAAATGTCAGCAGTTAAGTGGTTGAATTTCAACCACTAAACCACAATAGGCAAAAATGAGAAAAAATATGTCCCACCACCAACCATGGGTGAGTCAAACCATCACTCACTTGCCTTTCGAACGCCGGTCACCCTGCGTCGTGCATCAGCAGAGAAACCTTCGCGTCAGACCCGGAGCTTCGCATCGGCACTCACCCCAGGGCTGTCGCTCGGTTTCTGGGGGGCGTTCAGTGGTGGGGCGTTCAGGGTGGGGGTGGGTTACGAGGAAGTTCACCTGGACCATCCACGCACGACATGCAGCTTCCAAGGCTAGTATCATACCTGTTGTGGCCTTGAAGGCAACGAGCGGAGGATCTGGGGCAGAAAGCGGGCCTAAACTACACTCCCCCTAGCCCACAAAGCGGTTTGGCCACCCGTGAAGGGTGCATGACGGCTACTGATTTGGGCCTGGTGAATCCCGCCCCCTTCGGCAACCATAAACCACCCAACAAACCAAGACTGAAAAAGGGGGCCATAGTGCGATAAACCCATATCAAACCCTTCACAAGGTCTTATCAGGACCTTATGCGTGGCCTAATTCGGCTCTCTGAAGTCCATTCGGCGCCTGAAACTCCAAGGTACCAATGGAGAAGAGGTCCTGGCAGAGAGGGTCCCTTACCGCCGGACCAAACACAGATCACGGAGGACCCAAAAGGGAGTTGATTTGGGAAACCGCAGCAACCGCGAGGGATTCCTGCAGAGAAACTCTCAAAAAACCTATTTGGAAAGGAGGGAGGCGGCTCTCAGATGCTGCCCAGACCGCCGAAGTGGTTTTGGTCCCTTCATTTTTGCGCCTTTGAAATCTACCAACCCACCTTGCGACAGGGCGCTTGGATAGTCTGACAAGAAGCATTTGGGATCTTGAACAGCAACCAAGGTGCCAGCGCACATCAGGTTGGTCAAAAACAGCCCGAGACTTGCTTGTCCACAGCCGACCTCTTGATCTGTTGGTTTCCCGGTTTGGCGCATAAGTCAAAGTTTCCAGAAGCCACCTTTGATTTCCGAGTCCTTTGCGCGAGCGAGTCTATGCTGGGAAGATTCGATAAAGGACTCCATCGGCAACTTTGACGCATGCCATGCTGGATCGTTTGGGGATTGAAAAGAAAGCTGACCAGGCGATATTCTGTTGAAATCATCATATTGAACTGGCATGTCGGCTTGAGGTGTGAGCACTGATTCTGGCCGCGGACTTCTATTTTCGCTCCGCAAACATCTTCCGAGGGTCATAGTTCCGCTATTTGAGGCGAGGCCAACTCCCGAAGCCAAAGAGCAAAAAGGGTGCGTAATCTAGGTCCCCCCAGCCAGTCGTGCCCTTTCTAACCCCTTTTTTGGTTGGGAGGGGTCCCCTACTAAGATAGACAAAACCGAACAAAAATTGGTAGCCTTATTCTAACCTCTCTATTGGAGGACCTAGCAATTTGCAACTGTCCTTGCCTCAACCTATTCGAGCTCTCGGCCTCCCAAAACCCAAAACCCTTGGGCGCTCTAGTACCCTCCCACCAATCATCATGGAACCTGACAGGGGAGTTCTGGAAGACGATCTTCCTTTTGCAGGGACTCCCATGTTAATTGGTGGGAGGGAAAATTGAAGCAGCTGCAAGCGGACACGCATATCCTCGCTCGCTTTCTGCTTCCATGCTAAAACTTTAATTCTTAGTGGTTTAATGGGGAAAACCCCTTAGTTGGCAAAAAAGCAAAAAGTCCTAACATCCCTTGGCAACATGCGCCAAAGTACACCATTCGGAGGTCTCGGCCCTTGGGGCCTATGCTTCGGTCCCCCCGCCCCCATCCGCCAATTTCGGTCCTGCGGCATCAGCCAATGACTCTGGTCGGGTCTCAGGCGCACCCAACCTTTCGCGCTCGCGGATAGCGAAAAGACGCGGAAGACACAGCTTCCACTTGGGGAATCCGCGGCTGGATTGATGCATAGGGAAGTATAATTTTCCGGTGGTTGGGGGATTGATGCTCAAGGGGAAATTAGTCCAAAAACACCCTCGCGCATAGCTTCCAGTCAAATGCAATTTATCAACTACCTCCAGTAGAGAGGTTAGAATTTTCGGTTACCAACTTTTTTCTGTCGTCTATTTTAGTAGGGGAATCCTCCCCAGAAAAAGGTGAGAAAGGGCACGACTGGGGGACCTAAGTTAGCCGCTCACAGGACCCCATGTGCCGTTTCAAATGTTGTTTGGAGGAAATAAGAGGTTCGGAGCAGCGCTGCCGGGTGAATAGTGATGCCAAATCCGCAAACAAATCTATCTCCCCGTTTCGTAAGGCTGACAAATGCATTGAGCAAATAGGCTATGAATATTCATGAATGATCTATGCAGGAGACCCCATTCTTTATGGCTGGTTTTCGTGTCGGTCATTAAGGATGTATGTGTCAAAAGGGAGACCCCGTTTTCTGGGTGGTTTTCCTTTTGATTTCCCTAAGCAGGGATCCTTACATGAAAAACACCTGAACATTGCCACTTGTAAAATTTGTGGTTTGCAACTTTATTTTGGTGGGGGGGAAAAACATGTTTCAAATGGTTGCACAATTTGCATTTTTTTTACGGAGCCCTGCTAAGGACCCTTTTGGCAAAGTCCCCGCTTCGCGGAGTTCGAGGCCCAGGCCCTTCTGCTCCGACTCCGCCGAGCGCTCGCCTCGGGGAGCTTTGGATCGGGATGCCCGCGCCTTGAATCGAAGGTGTTTCTACGCCGGAGCCCAAAGGCCCTTGGTCCTCTACCCCTTCCCGTGCATTGCGTCGAACGGACAGGCTCCTACAAGCATGAGCCAAACCATCTCCTTCCTCCAGACTGGAGAGGCAAATAGAATAATTTGGGTACCAATTATCCACGTTTCTCTCTTTTTGTCTATGTTAGTATGGGAACCGAATCTCCCCCCCAAAAAAGGGGTGAGAGAAAGGGCACGATCCTGGAAAACCTAGAGGCCCAAACATGCAGATCTGAATTTGGATGTTTCTGTCAGAGACTTGATCTAAACGACTGGGAGCGCTTGGAAGTTTGGAGCCCTTAGTGTTGACCCGTGCCATGCCTGCTCGCCTGCTCGCCTGCTCGCCTGCTCGCCTGCTCGCTGGCTCAGGTGCTTGCTATGTCTTACTTTGCTTGCGGCCTGCCTTTCGATTGCTCCTGCTGCTTCTTGCGTTGTTGTAGGATGTCATCCCACTCTGGCAAAGCGTCTTGGCAGCTGTTGAAAAAGTCCTTCCACTCGTTTAGGACAGCTCACTCAAAGCAGCACATCTTTCCTTGACACCTGCTTGGATGTGCGGCCAAGGAAGAAATGCTTTGCCATCTGGGGGACTTCAACTTTCTTACTTGGCCCCACACCCAAGTGCTCTTTCACAGATCTTGCCTCTTAGCTTTCCTGAAGCCAGCTTGACCAGCGCACCAACACGAAATTTGGACTACTGTCCCCTGGGCTGCCCTCAGATTTCCCACCAAAAGTTTTAACTTTTAGTGAATGGAAACTGCCACTAAGCATTAAAAAGCTAAAAGGCTAAGGGGATGGGAGCCACCAAGTCCCCAATCAGCTCTAACTTCTTGCTCGCTGAAAACCGATTTTGAGGCACAAAAAGGCCCCAGGTCCTTCCACCGGAGCTTAGCTTCTGTTGACCCCCCTGCAAAAAGTTTAACGTTTTGGGGGTTTAGTGAAAAAGACCTTTACTTCCCAAAAAGTTAAAGATAGCAGTTAAGGGATCAGCCCAGTGTGGCCATGTGGCTATGGGTCAAAACCCTGGTTACCCCCCAGTGAACATCCCAATCCCCGCTAAAATAGGTTCTAAAATGGGTGGTGCACCGAAAACCCCAAAATGGGATCCCATTGGTTTTCACCCACAGCCATGTGGAGGGTTCCGCTTCGTGACTCAACCGAGTTCCGCACTGAAGTGCACATAGTACCTTCCGAAGGAATAGCCTGGGCCGCGCATGGCTTGACTCCGGCAAGAGGACACAGCAAGCTCCCCCAACGGTCGAAGGCTCACCCTCCCTCCCATGCCATGGAACCCGCTGGAGAATTGGACCGAGGAAAATGGTCCAAGCCCATGTCGCGCGCCCTGTGAGGTTCCTGTTAGGTTTGTGGGATGTCAACCCGTTTCTTCTGCGATAGAAAAGATGTCCATGTTCGTGGATGGGAGTCATCCCGAGGGCCAGAGCCGGGAAGCGTCGCTGTATGTAATGGCTAGATACTTAGGATAATACCCAGCAGTGATTGAGTTAAATCCAATTAGGCTGACTTCTAGGTGGTTTGTAACCTACTTAGGTTATCAATATTGGCCTGGCCGAACACACAGGTAGGGAAAAAGTGGGAGTGAAGTGCAAGTGTATGAATTTGAATTTGAATTAGGCACTTCAAAGGTGGTTCCCTATTAACGTTTATTGCCAAATCGGTTGTGTGGGTCCCAGAGGGAACCCAAGCAAACCTCAGCCTCCAGTTGGTCAAGGATCTGCGGCTCCACACGCACTTCGTTGGGCCACGCCTTGTTTAAACCTGGTCTACTTTAACCATTGTTCAATCAACCTCATTTGGGTAGGGGCTAGTGTCTGGTTTAAACCCAGATTTACCTTTTGATGCCTTGTCGAACGCATTGAGGGTCCACCTTTAAAAAGCCGCAAAAGGTCCAAGCTGGATAACGATTCACTACTCAAATCACCGCCGCCTGTCCTGTTAAAGCACAGCTTTCGGAAGCTAGCTTGGGTGTTCGGCCAAATGCGCTTGTTAACCCAGGCCTAGGCTATTAGCGTTCCCCCAAGAGGGTCAAAACCCAAGTCGTACCCCCCAGTGAACATCCGATTCAATCCCGATTCAATCCCCACTAAAGTAAGTTCTAAAATGGGTGGTGCACCGAAAACCCCAAAATGGGATCCCATTGGTTTTGACCCACGGCCATATCAAGCCAGTGCAAACTTCCCCCAGCGAACGCGCCCAGCTAGCGCCACTGCAATTTGCGTGAGTCTAGGTGGGGGCCCGCCTCCTGAAAAAGAAAGGCACCAGGCGCAACACCAATGAGGAACATGCTGCGCATGCTGTATATGGCTGTGGGTCAAAAAACGGCTGGGTTGCCCTGGTAAACTTAACCAATGGCTCAAACTTGCGGTCCCCTGGTCGTTTAATTTGGACCCATGCTCATATAGCTCCTGAGCCGGCCTTTCTTGAACCGCAAGCACTTACTAGCACTAACTTGGCCAAACATCCGAGTAGCGTCATCCGCTACAAACACCAGTGACAGAAAGCAGCCTGGGCATTTGCACAATGGAGGACCCGTAACTTTTTCTCTAGGCGCAACATCGCAGAGGCACAGCGAACGCGCCCTTTGATTTGCCCAATTTCCATACGACAGCAGACAAAAAAGCACCCTGTTCAGGATTGACTGCTTCTAGTGCGAAACCAACCCCTGGAGTTGAAATTACCATTGAAACAATGGAGGTTAATATAACCAGGATTATTTGGCTGTGGGTCAAAAATAGGTACCCAAAATGGAACTCTGGTGGCTGGTGTCATGGACAACCTGCGTTTTTCTGGTGGTTTAATTTTGACCCATACCCATTTACCTACGGAGTTGAAGCCCAGGGCAACCGAAAGGGAAAACGAAGTGCCGCTAAACGCAGTGTTTGCCTGGGGGGCCGGGCCGATTCTGAGCTGCTCCGGACGGATCCAGCCAGCGATTTGCGCCTGAACTCGCAGAGTCGATACCACAGACATGCTGCACCTACGCCGCTCCTCATGCCGAGCAGATCGCGGTACTACAGAGGACATCAGAGGACCAGCTTGCGGGGCCCATTGTGGAGAGGCGTTTCCACGTCCGAGAATGGGTCTGTGAAGAAAGCCATTTGGCCAATTTACTTTTGTTTGGTGCTGGGGCTGCTCGGGCCGTTTGTTCTTGTTGCCGTGAACTTGTCCCTAGGGTTCCTTGACCCCATTAAAAGAATGGTTGACCGGCTTTGGATGATGACAATCCTTAGGTAAATAATGGTGGTTATATGAACCCAACTGTTTTAATGGTGGATTGAACCCCAGGGTTATGCTTCCACCCTATCTAACCTGAGCACCAACAAACTTGAACAAAGCCAACTCATACTTCTTGCTTCACTTTTCAGAAACCTCGAAAAAAGAAGAAGAAAAAACATGACGTGTTGGAAAGTGCGACGGCACTGGCTGCATGCATCGTAGCGTCTTCTCCTCGATTCACTTTACAATGGCTGTCGCAAAGGACTCAATTGACTGGCTGTACACTGGCACCGACATATGCGAGCCCAACAATTGGTGAACTCCTGCAAATGCCATTTGTCGAACCATGTTGAAAAGCAACCTGAACCGTTCCACTGAAAACGATCACCTCGGCCCATGAGGACCCCCATGACCTCCATGACCGCCATGTGGACCGCCATGTGGACCACTATGTGGGCCATGGCGCCATGCTCCATGAGGTGGTGGGAATGGCAACCATCCGCCTGACCAGCCGCCTGACCCGCCGTATGATCCTCCACTGCCATGTCCCCAGGCTGGTGGAAGCTCAGTTTGGGTTGCGAGGTGCATCAGATTGGCTTGTGATGTTGGCAAGGCATCAATCAGAAGGCTCAGATTGGGTTGCTCTTTCAGATTGGCTTGTGGGAGGGATCAAATGAGGACCGTGACCATGGCCACACGGACCCCCATGGCCACCCCATCTTCCTGGGCCCTCCATGCCCACCCCGCAAAGATTTCAGCTTCTTTGACAGAACTGTAGCACTAGCTGCACCTGTTGTGGCAGCATCAGCTGTGCTGGCTTGCTCCTTCACTATCTTCACCCACTTCATTCCCGGGCTCGCGTTTTCTGGTTTCCTCAGTGGAGTCGGCTTTGGCGGCCGTGAAGGAGTCTTTCTCCACAACACCTGGACTCACGGGAGTCTCTGGTGGAGTTTCTTGCTTCTGGTCTTGGCTGCTTGTCTGACATCTCTGAAGTCCGGGGCTTGTGTTCCCGGATCCAGCTGTGCCACCGGCTGTGAGGCTCCGTCATTGCCTTGCACTGGTCCGAGACATATGAATGCCAAGGCAAAGCGCGCCAGAAACTGCCTCATCGTTTTCCACAAAAGCAGAAAGCCTCAACCTGGAAAGCAAATGCTTGAACCAAAATGAGACATTCGGTCTGTTCATGGTTTGCTCGCCAAAGCAGTAGAGGCACAACCACAACCACAACCACAAGAAGAAGTAGAAGAAGAAGAAAAAGAAGCAAGCAAATTCATCCGTGGATTGACCAAAAGACGTAGGTGGCCATTGTCTTCAAAAAGGGAGCCTGTTTGCTAGCGAGGAACCAGCCCAGTGTCCAGTAGAAACCGCTGGCTTCAAAAACAAGTCGAAGTTGATCTGATGCATAGTTGTGCATCCACTCTTGAAATTTGAATTCCATCATTCCCCTCAGCTTGTCTACATCACATTAACCAACAAAACGGCTTCAAAGTGTAAAAAGGAATGCCCCGATTGATTCAGGCGTCACAACAACTGGCATGCTTACAAGACGGTGACCATCCATAACTATGTTCCTTTAGAGTCAGGGAAACAAATCACCAGCAATTGGAAGGTTCGGGTTCCATTTAACACTAGGCTTGCAAACAAACGGAACATGCATGACAAACATGTTACATGGGCGTGTCTTCCCAACCCAAACACGGGCCACCTCAACAACAAACACACACACACACACAAGCCCAGACGACCCTGATGGAACAAATCCTACAAAGAGCAAGCGCCAACACACGACCAATTCCCGTCCATGTTGAGTTGCCCGCCTGGCCAACCGGAGCGTCCTGGTGAACGATTCCAAGTCGAATCCGGCGAACTCAATCTTGTCCCTCCAACAAACAACTCCGGCGCACTGTTGGATGTTCCGCCAAGTAGGCAAGGAGTTATTATCCTAGGTGATAGCCCAAAGGTCCTGGCGGAGTTGACAGTCTTATTTGTGGGTTACATCCAAGTACAAGAACAAGGGAGGTTAATTCGTACCGCAACCAAGTGCAGAACCTGAACATCCAAGTACAAAAGAAAAAGGGAGTAACATCTGTGCAAAGATCTGGCTCGCAGGGGTGAGCTCACCAAAAGATACTTTTCTGGCGGATCCTTCAATTCCAGTTGGGAGTTGCAGTTGCTTCTTTGGTGGTAGACTTTATAGAAGCCTCCTCCAAAGATCTGGTGCTCTCTTTCCTCAAGGACATGGAAACGTCCGGGCTTTGGGTTCTTTGGCTTTTGCGGGAGCCCATGGCCAGAAAGTTCCTGCGGAATCCGCATGAGGTGCCCAGCCGTAACCTAACCTGGTGACCTGGGCCGACCCCCGAAGTTTCAACCAGTGAAGCAAGCCTGAGTCATGAAAACCGATCGGTACAAGAATGGTGAACCCAGAGCCATGCTTCAAGAATTAGAAAGGCGGAAATTTCCGCAGCTCTTTATGGTTGGGATCGTCCTTTACTAACCTTCATCTAGCTCTTGTGGCTCTGGTGGCTTCGCGTGCCAAAAACCCACTCACGAGCGCGAGCGCGCGAGGGCGCGAGAGCTCCGCGCGTATTTTTCAGCCGCCGGCCTGTTTGTGGCGTTCCCTCGGCTTGCGGCAGGCTGCCAATGGTACATAATGGTACTGGCGCAAGCTGCGGCTCTTGATCCCAGGCACAAGCCCAGTGAAGTGCAAATCAAAAGGTGCAAGCCACCGTGTAGGAATAGGAAAAAAAAAGAAAACTGCGCTTGCCCCTGAAAATCGCCTTTCGAGCCTGGAGACGAATCGGACTTCGCGACTCGGGACCAATGTGAGACTTCGGGACCCGGCTGCAAAGCGAAAGCGATGCTGAAGCTGAAAAAAGAAAGGATAAGTAGGGAGCCATGCTTGGCTGTTGGCTTGGGTAACCCACTACCTGCCAATATCAGACAAGAAGTAGGTGATAACCCAGGTTGCCAACAACTGAACTTGAAGCCAAACCTTGGCCCACACCTGGCACAGAAAACACGATTGCCAGATTCAGTGTCCCTTTTCGGTCTACCTGTAGTCTCATCCCTTAGAAAATGGTGGTGCCCCAACATCCAACCTAGCTTTGAAGGACAACTAGGTCCTCCAGATTTGAGAGGTTAGAATAAGGGTACCAGTGTTTTTTTTGTTTTTCTTCTGTAGTCTATTTTAGTAGGGAAACCCTAAAAGGGTGAGAAAGGGCACTACCGGGCACTACTGGGGGGCCTAGACAAGTAGCATCGCCGGGCTTTCAGCTCATCGCCAGAGAGCCTGCGAAAGCCAAAATTCGAGAGAGCGAATTCGGACTTCGGAGTTGGCATCTGGCGGGTAGGGTGCTAGCAAGACTGATTTCCCGGGTGGTGGATATGGAAAAGGTTTGTCTCAGTTGGTTGGTGCACAAGAGGCACGCGGACTTAAAAGGCCCGAAATGTTGGTGTCCGCGATTCTTGATGACACAAATTGGACATGTAAAACTCCTGGTGCTGGACAACGGAAACCAGTTGACACCAAGCGGTCTCGGCTCCAATCACCCCAATCTGCTCTGAAGTTTTGCACTTTGCGCGAATTGCATCGATGCCAGGCGCCCCCCCCCCATTCTATTGGATGAAAGTAGATGTACAAATTGGAGTTACATTGCAGTCTCCTGTTCCCCAATTCAAATGCGCTCAAAAAGCTTAGGCGTTGCCGTGCCCTCTTTGAGGCCAGCATGAGCGTCCCTGGCTCCAAATCAGGAATTCTTGCTCACAGGAGTGCGCCTGAGGCCTGGATTGACCTCGCCCTAGATCCATCTGGGGGCGAATTTTGGGGGAAATTTTTGGTGGACATCACTTAGCTGGGGATTCATGTCCACCAACCACTTTTGAGGTGGTTCCCCATTGAAATTCTATAGCCATCTGAAGCCATTCGCAGCTTGCTGGAAATTGCGGCAAGGCTGCGGCCAGTGTCTGTCAAACCAACACTGCTGTCAAAGCCATCACAAGGTACCCCTTCGAAGAAAGTTTGTCAGGCAGTAAATTGCTCAGTGGGGCCGTGACCCTTCCATTTTCTTAAGCCCCCCTGGAAAAAAATCAAACACTGGTAGATTCTCTTCAAATTCACCAAGGGAACATAGAACATCTTCTTAAGCAAATGGACGAACCCATTTAAAATCGACAGAATGTGTCTTGCCTTGGAACCGTGGACGTTCAGTTTGGATGCACCAGCACAAGACTGGTTCAGGCAAAGACAAGAGTAGCCTCACGGGGAGTGCAAGTTGCAAGGGTCTCCACTGTGGTAGTTGAGTTCTGGCACCCAGATCACTGGGAGATTGGGCCACTACCCGCGTGTCCAAAAAGAAAGCTGACGTGGAACATGCCACTTGTGCTGCGGAATCCATTTTGGCCTCTTCGGCTTCAGCCGATAAAACTAGGTTCCCATCCTGGGCTTGACTTGAGCACAGCCCTGAAAAACGAGTTCCCTGCTGATCACATATAGAGTTATCTCCAAATAGGGAGCCTCCGATGTAAGACTTCCTACCCCAAAAAAACTACCTCAAATACCACCAAAAAAACAAACACCCCCAACCCCAGAAACTGGTTCGTTTTGCTTGTTGGCTTCTCCAGTGAGCAATCCCCAGAAAATGCCCAAATGGTCCAAGTGATTTTGCGAGGATGAATCCAGCCTCTTAATTTCAATCACATCAACAGGTACTTCAAGGGACCCCACCCCTGGCGCCACGTGCCCTCACGCGCCCTCAAACGGCCTGCGCCGGCGGCGACATATGCGGCGCAAGCTGCGGCGCAAAAGTCGGCGCGGGTCCCGGCAAACCGCGGCTCGGACCGCCAAAGGTGGCCCTTCCCTCAGAGCCGGTCGCCCCCGAACACCCCCTTGCCCTGTGAATCCTGTAACAAAACGGGTCGTGTTTCCTCACTCTTCAGGTGCGCCAAGGACCGACTGTTTGACAACAGGTGCAAATTTCCACTTGCGTCAACGAACCTGTGCCAAACAAGGTCCTATCTTTGAATCAGAAGATTGTGGGACTAGCATGGAGACGCAGCTCAGGGTTTGATGCCTCGCTTCAGTTGCATTTTGGGGGGCAACCAAACTTAAGATCTGTAAATCGTAAGGTAGTAGGAAACATCTGATTGGCTCACGCCGGGCAATCTCGGAATCTCCTCCAGTGTGGATTCAGCCATACACAGCACGTGAAAAAGCAGTGTGTGGCGTGATGTCCCAATGCATGTATGTATGTATGTATGCATGCATGCATGCATGCATGCAAGTGTATGTATATGTATATATATATATATATTATTTGTATAAGTCCAAACTAAAATGGCCATCCCCAAAAAGTGACTAAAGTCCGAAACAGAACTCAGGAAGCGAGCGCCCCATTGTGAGCCACCATTCGAAGGCAAACTGCCTCTTGGCCCCCTGGCCAGGCCCGCTGCTTGCGGCCGGAGGTGGGGACTGGGCGCGGGTCCTGGCCCTGGCGACCAGGTCGTCCTGGCTGGAAGGTCTCATGCCTTCCTACGTTGGATGGACAAAAATCCTGCACCACCCAAAAAACCCTGGAATGATGATTCCGCTGTAAATACCAACAAACGATGGTTTCCCATTGTTTCAAACTGGAGCAGGATTTCGTCCATCCACAGTAGGCCCTCCATGTTTTTTCTTATTGTCTATTTTAGTGGGGGAACCCTCCCAACCAAAAAAGGGTGAGAAAGGGCACTACTGGGGGACCTTGAAATCAACTAAGTGGCTGTGGTTGTCAAAAATAGGCCCAACCCCAAAATGGCTTGCCCTGGCAAATGGCTAAACATGGGTTCTAAAACCTGCGGTCCATATCCTGTTGGTTTCATTTTGACCCATACCCAAGTGAAAGACACTTGGTGGGAGCTAATCTTTGCCCAGAGAGCGGAATTGCCCGGAGACCCGCAAAAGCTGGGATCTCCATGGGAATTGGTCTTGGCCCATACTGTTCGGCTCCTTTGGACCGTCCCTCTGGCGAACTGCGCGGGAGGAGGTGCCCTGGCGCCGGCGCCGCCGAAAGGGGCGGCGGCCGTGAGGGGCTCAAACTGCACCGCCTGGCGGGAGCCGTTTGTAGCCCGTTGTACCCCGTTGAGGGGGGGGCTTTAGAAGCAAACCCACTTTGGTTTCAGAGGGAAACCAAAAGGAACACACCTTTTTTTCGGGTGGTTTTGAGGGAAAATCACCCTTGGGAGGGTTTGAAGCCAAGCGGAACATATGTGTTGTTTTGGGGGGTGGAGACAAAGAAACAAAAGGGAAGCAACCTTGTTTTAAGGTTTTGAAGGCACGCCTGCTTGATGAGTTCCCCCATTTTTAGACGCACCAACATGTTTCCCAGCGGATTGGCAGAACCAGTGGTTGCAAGTTGCAGTCAGGAAGAACCTTAAGGTTACTGAATGACTGAATGACAATAAGTGTACTGAACAGGGTCAGTTGTTGATCAACTCACTGATAGCTTCCGATGAAAATGTCACTTGCCTCCAGAGGGAAACAGTGCGCAAATTGAATGACAATACCGAGAACAAATGGTTGGGAAATGTCAGGAGATGGACCTTACTTGAGCAAGCTGGAAAATATGATTTCCGCCAGCGTCAGTGGCAGTGGATTTCTCATTAAAAAAGGAGCAACTCACGAAATTCGCTGAGCTTCCGAAGGGGAAACTGTCAAAGTCCTGGGTCAGACACCAGGTCAAAGAGTTGAAAGAAACCTCAGTGTGGCAATGTGTGGCAACGGGTGTCCACCAGTTTCAACCACCAATGTTCGTTCTGGTTGGTTCATTACTTTAGGGAACAATCCTGGCTTTGAACTTCTCAAAGGGCACAAAGCCCCTTGAAAAGGCCCCATTTCACGTGCAACTGATTATTGGTCAACGGGCCGCCTGGGCTCTTCTGCACAAAATGATCCAAAACAACGTTTTGTCGGCAACCAGAAGTTTGGGCGCCAATATGAAAAAAGTACGGGACAGCAGCCCCAAATCCCTGTCACTCCCCGTTCAAATGGCTTCTTTGCCTTGAAACCACCAAGGACCCAACCATACCACACAGTACAGTACCGGAGAGCTGCATGCTTTGTTTCTCAGAACGGACCCTTCTGGTTTCCCCTTGAAATCATCCAAAAGCGGGACCCCTATTTTCAGAAACATGTCAAAGCTGAGTTGGGTGTTTGACCTACCTAACATATCTAGGTCCTCCAGTAGAGAGGTTAGAATAAGGGTACCAATTTTTTCGGTAGTCTGTTGTAGTAGGGAAACCCTCCCAACCACAAAAGGGTGAGAAAGGGCACTACTGGGGGACCTAGAGACTCTTCCGCATCCCGATCAATACATAAGCTTGTCTTCCCAACCTGGGTAGCTAGGCGAACACCTTTGTTCTTTGCAGGCCTCGTCAACACAGTTTGAAACATGTCAAGAACGATCAGGGTATGTTGGGAACCAAATGGCAAAGCTTACTCTCATGACTACATATATATATATATAACATATGTATATATATATATATATGTATAACATTGTATTGTATTTCTATGTATGTATAGGTGATGTGCATATGATGATTTAATCCACTATGAGTGATCTATTTGTCAAATGGAGTCATGCTCAATTGCCTAAAGTGCGTGGTAACACAAGGTTGTTCTTTGGAACCTTGCCTCCCCCGCTTACCACAAGCGGCTTCGCGTGCCAAACATGGGTGAGCATCAATGCACAGGCCTGGGATGATCCCTGGAAGGATTGAAACATCTGCAACTCCTCCCCGACTCATACCTGGAGTCTCCATGACCCTTAGAAAATTGGTGTTGTTTGCCAAAATCAAGGGGTCATGACCCCATCTTTAAAGGGTCAGAAGGAGACTCCAGTACTCGTTTTTTCACCGCCTTTGGGTGCTGCATGGGTATGGGCGCGGGCGCCGCCCGTGCGGCAAACCTGAGGATCGAAAAATTGGCGGCTCAGCGAGCGAGAGCCTCGTAGCTTGAACCTTCAAAGCGGCTTTCCCTTTGGCTGCCCCTGGAACCACCCCGCAAACTAAGAGGTACCCTCAAAACAAACCCCAGGCGCAGTCCCAAACGCCCCCGTGTAGCTTCTGAACAACATCCTGTTGTGCTCGGAGCTGGGGGACTCAATCTCCTAGTGGGCTTGCCCCCGACAGCAGGGCAACCACGGATTCGCAAGGGGATCCACCAAATCAGCTGGCCCACATGTCAGATCGCAAATCTTGGCTCCGTTGCTTGCCCCGAAAGATGTGGTGTAACGCCCGACGTCCCCAAAGGGGGAAGCACAGGTTCGAATCAAAGAAGTGGGCAGGAGGCTTTTGGAAGACGGACATCCCCTTTAAACGCCCCAGAACAGGGAAGCCGCACTTGCACGTTCGTAGCACAAATGCGCGGTGCGGTCGCGAAAAACGGCATAGCCCCGCAAAATGCCCCTGTGAGCATAAGACCAAACCATGTTCGGGTACCGCCCTTCTCAGAAACCCTATGGAGATCATGAACTCTGTCCTTTGGAGGACCATACAAATGGGTACCAGTCCAGCAAGTGGAAGTGAATCCAACTGTTCTCAAAGACCTGCAGATTCTGACCCTCTAGTGCCAAGAAGTTGAAGGTTGGTCCAAGCAAAGAGTCAGTAGAACCCTCCAGTTGCTTAAGCCCCCCGCAAGAAAAACAAAAAACATCCGATAGTGATGGACTCAGTTGAATCAACAGGGGAACATAAAAGCAAATGGAAACAACCCTGACAACTGGCGGTGGGTCAAAAAACGGTACCCAAAATGGAACCCTGGTAAATGGAAACATGGACTAAAACTTGCGGTCCATATCCTGTTGGTTTAATGTTAACCCATACCCAACTCATCTTCCACCTGCTCCGTCGGATCCGAAACCGAAGCCAAGCTCAGTGTCAAGCTGCTCGCGCACACCCGGCATGCCTGGCGGCTTGGATGTGAAGTTTCGTGTGCTCATCTGGGGACTTCAGCCAAAAATGGGTGAACATCTCTAAAACTCCTTTCCAAAATCCGGAAAGTGGCTTACCCAAAGTGGTCGTCCGAAACCCTCCTGCCACATTCCGGCGTGAACCGCCGACTCGCAAAACACAGGTTTACCCTTTGGTGTCCCTGTAAAACAACCCAAAAAACATCCTCGGAAAAGAACTTGAACGAGAGCCCAATTGCAAAAAAACTGGAAAAAACAGCTTCAACGGTCCACTACCAAAAACCAGCAGCTTTCCATCCCTGGGGTTCCCTTTTCCCATCAACACATCACCCCAGGAAAAAAGTCACCTGGCCAACAAAGTGATGTCGAAAACCATCGAAAACCGCCACACAGGGAATTGTAGGCTAGGTCCTCCAGTAGAGAGGTTAGAATAAGGGTACCAACTTTTCTCTGAGAAAGGGCACCTAGCTGGGCGACCAGAAGGAACCCTGCTCCCCAGTGCCTGGGAATGGCGACGCGGCGCGCGCATTCAGCGGCGACGCCGCCCGCTGCGGCGACGCCCCGCGCGGCAGAGGCGCGCCCTGCGGCAGAGGCCCGCCGGGCATGCCGGGCACGCCGGGCATGCCGGGCAGCGGCGAACGGCTTGGGGTGACCGGCAGGTACAGCATGCGACCTGCCAAGGAAAACAAGGGCAGCATAGTTGGGTGCTCGGGCAGTAAGTTGTTGGTAAACGAGGATATAAGTCACTCGTAAGCACCCCGAACGTCCACTTAACCCTGATGCCAGTGGCTGCTATAGTTGGTTGTAGCTCAAGCGAGGCCGACCGAAGTACAACAGGCAGGTTGTCAGGTTCATCCAGGCACCTGCTGGCCAAACTCAAAACAGGTCCGAGACCTTCTGCTTCCTCCCACTATAGGTCTTCGACAACGTAACCATGTTGCAGCGGGCCCTTGCCGGAAGTGAAGAGAACCGAACAAACACAACGGGCTGTGAACCCAAAAAATCAACCTGGGACCCTTAGAAAATGGGGGCATTAGCCAAAATACAGGGGTCATCACCCCATTTTTAAAAAGGTCAGTAGGAGACTCCAGGAACACATGTGCCAAAGAGGGCGGAGTGACAATTAGGCTAAATCCCGAAAAGGAAGAATCCGGACGAGAAGCACATCCAACATCCAACAAAAACAGAGACTCCGTGGCGAACTGGGAAGTTTACAAATCAGGATAGCCAACGTATAGGGGGTCAACTGTGACTCCTGCCCCGGAAACTTGCCGTTGACGCCTCTTGCAACATGCTGTGAATGAAATCCAGGGCTTCATACACCCGCCCTAAGGCCGTAAGCGAGGAGGCCACCAGGCCGAGAGTGAGGGCCAGCGGCGGAGGGATGGGGATGGGCCCTGCATGTGGCGATCGCATGCGCCTCTGGGCACGGGCGATGTCATCGGACCGAAGGTCGCACCTTGAGACGCTGAAGGTTCTTTCGCTTTTTTTTTCGGCAACAACGCTTTTTGACGGAGCTCTAGGGATCACAGTTGTTACCCAGCTTTGGTCAGCCTGGGAATCCGAGTCTCCATGGCGGTTCGAAGGTGCCCTTCAAGTATTGGGCGCTTGGAAATTTGGAGACACTCTGACGAGGAGTGGGGGGGTCCTGGGATCCACTGGCATGTTGGTACAGCTTCATGTTGGCCGCCCCCCCTAGCCAAAAACAAAAGGAAGCCCGATTCTGCTTGAACTAGGAAGGTAATTCTGTCCTGTTCACTCGTGCTTTACCTACCAGAAGAAAAGTCTGAGTTCCAGGGTTTTAATGCACATACAAGTATTGCTTCATTTGTTTCAGAAACTACCCACCGTGCCAGAAACGCAAGGAAACAAACTAGAGCAACTGTATGCCTTAAACACAAGTAGGAATACGTCGCAACATACCAACAACCCAAGACCACGCCACACACACCGTACAAACACCAATACAAAAAAAAAGAAAGTGTAGACAGGCTAAGAGCCGGTACCCCAACCCTTCGGCCAAGGTGCGGCAGGGCGAGAGGCTGCGCATCTCAAGACCTGCCATCGGTCGCATCTCGTGTCACGCATACCTTGTGGTGTGACACATCCCCACTGATGTTTACACCTAGCACCCCAAGACCCTTGATACAAGAGGCTTCTTGACCCCCAAACACCACGAAACAGAAAATGGCGGGTCACCGAACACGGAGAGTTGCCGACCGAAAACTCGTGTGCTTGACTTTTGTTTGTTAGGATGGGAACTTAGCGCATGTTCTGTAGATTAACTTGTGGCTTTGGACATAGCGGTTTCCGCCAACCGCACTTCCACAGGCGCTCCTTATAAGTTGGATAACATTTGTTAGTTTGCTTGAGCTCAGCCATACAGTTGGTCATGAGGCAACTACCCACCGTTACCTCAATTGTAAGCCTTGCAAGCGCATGGTGTGAAAACATGGGCCCATGCCTACACCAAAGCGATTGCTTCCCTCTCACCATGACCTTTCTATCAAGAGGGTCCCCCTGGCCGGCGCCGCGAGCAGCCCAAAAAGCTCTGAACGCCGGAGAGTCTTTCTTCACCAACCCAAAACCACGAGTAGAAAAGGGGTCAAGCCATAGGTGCCCTTTTTGGGAAAATAGATGGACTTTCCTGGTCTTTTATTGAACCACCGGGTAAACCAGGAATCGCCCAACCTATTATTCAACCAAACCAACCAAAAAGGACACCTACGGCAAACCTCTTAATAAGAGACTCTTAACAGGACACCCATCGGGCCTTTCCGGCGCCGCCACCCGCCACCCGACTCCCGACTCCCCACGTCTGCCACCCACTCGGCGCGCGCAAGCCTGGCCCTGGGCCGACTCCACCGGGCCGGCGGATGGGCAAGCCGCAGTTCTGGCAGAAGTTGGCGCGCTGCGAGCAGACCTCGCCTCGGAGCCCCGAGCCCGAGCAGCCCGAGAGGCCATGCGCAAAGGCAATCAGCTGAGGAGTGGAGTGGCCAAGAGAAGTCCAAACGTTTTGTGTGCCGAACTTGGAGTTGTTTCTCTTTTGTGTGTCCTAACAAGTTGTTGGAGTCCGCGAGCTCAGGAAGTGAGCTCTTTTCCACCTGCAGGGACAATCTTCGTCAGTTTCAGAACATGACACCCGTGTGCATCAGCTGGTGAACCCACGGCTCGTGTCAGCATCTGGAACAACTGGTTCACCCGCAATAAACTTCACCTACCCCTCTCCAGCACTTGGCATGTTCAACTGTGTTCTTTGTAGTCTGTACAACACCTAACAACAACTAGCAAACACGAAAGAACAGTGAAGCCCAATTTACCCCCAAACCAGGCCTATGTGGCAAAGTGGAGGTAACCACAAGGTAGTAATTGTCTGTATGTTTGTTTTCCACCAGGGGAACCCTGGTTCAAGGTCCAAAGCATTTTGCTTGCTGTAGCCGAGCTCCAGCAGATGCGCTACCATTGTGCCACAGCCCCCCTGCACTGGAAGGACAGGAGCAACGCATCACATCTGAGGGAGGGCTTTTGAGGCGCGTCTGTGGACCCAAATGCAGCCAGGCAGCCGCACACACAGGCGCTGAATGCGTCTTTCGCCTTAGCGGGACTGGACTCACTGGCCCGTCTGCGCAACTGAAAACGTAAACTCTTTGGTTGATTCTGATTGGAGGTGTCGCATTTAGGGAAACAACCCCGGACGAGCGTGCCTTCCAAGGAAGGTTTGCAACCTCGCTCTACGCGTTGCTTTCCAGGGATCCGTTTTCAAGAACGCAAAACACAACAAAGAAAGCGAAGCAGTTGCCAGAAAGGATGGGCGAACATATTGAGGGGTCGAGTGTTAGAAGCTTCTCCCCCAAAGAAGTCCTGTTGGATAAGCATTTTGCCTGCGGGGTACAACTCACAATCCCAAAATCCGCCGACCCCATGCCTGGTCCAGAATGGACCATGCTTTCGGCATGGGGGCGGTGTGTTCTGTGTTGCTTTTGTTGATATGCTTTCTATAAGTTTAATGTGAATATGATTATGTAGATATATATATATATATATATATAACCTATATGTCCCTTGGGGCGGCCCTTGGGGCTGGTTTCTACGTCGGCTGGATTTCTGGATTTCTGGATTTCTCGATTTCTGGATTTTTGGATCTCTGGATTTCTGGATCTCTGGATTTCTGGAATTCTGGATTCCCCCCCCCCCCCCTCCCCCCCCCCCCCCCCCCTCCCCCCCCCCCCTCCCCCCCTCCCCCCCCCCCCTCCCCCTCTCCCCCCCCCCTCCTCCCCCTTTCCCCTCCCCCCGGCTTCTTCCCGTAGTCTTCCGTAGTCCGTAATCTTTCGGCTTCTTCCCGTAGTCTTCCGTAGTCTTCCGTAGTCTTCCGGCTTCTTCCCGTAGTCTTCCGTGGTCTTCCGCCTTCTTCCCGTAATCTTCCGTAATCTTTCGGCTTCTTCCAGTAGTCTTTCGTAGTCTTCCGGCTTCTTCCCGTAGTCTTCCGTAGTCTTCCGTAGTCTTCCGTAGTCTTCCGTAGTCTTCCGTTCTTCCCGTAGTCTTCCGAAATCTTTCAAGCTTCTTCCCGTAAATTTCCGCAATCTTTCGGCTTCTTCCCGTAGTCTTCCGTAATCTTCCGGCTTCTTCTCCTAGTCTTCCGATACTGTTTCGGGACCAAACAACGCGCGTGTCCTGTGCTTTCGGGCTTCTTCCCTAGGCTTCGGGTAGTCTTCCCCCACCCCTCCGCCCCCCCCTGTGTCTGTCTATGTCTGTCTACGTATCTGCATCTGTCTTCGTGTCCGCGAAGACCCCCCCTGCCCCTGCGTGTCTGTCTGTGTCTCTTTGTGTCTGTCTGGGTCTGTCTGCGTCTGTCTTCGTGTCCGCGAAGACCCCTTGCGTGTCTGTCTCTGTCTCTTTGTGTCTGTCTGTGTCTGTCTGTGTCTGTCTACGTATCTGCGTCTTTCTTCGTGTCCCCCCCCCGCGTGTCTGTCTGTGTATTTGTGTCTGTCTGGCTCTGTCTGCGTCTGCCTGCGCATCTGCGTCTGTCTTCGTGTCCGCGAAGACCCTCCCCCCCCGCTGCGTGTCTGTCTGCGTGTCTTTGTGTCTGTGTGTGTGTCTGTCTACATATCGCGTGCTTTCTCTCGTCCCGGGCCGAAATTCTAAGGTGTGTGGGGGCGGCGGAACCAGGCCGCAGGCCATTAAATAAGGACGGGGAAAGCAAGTTTTACCGTCAGCCAGAAGCATGTGTGAGACGGTCAAGTTTTGCTTTAGCCTCTATAAACACGCGTAAATCCAGTGTCATCACCTATGTCTAATTGAACATCTGCTTTCTTTCCCCATGTCCCGAACCCCAAATATTAATGGAAACTGCCACTAAACACTAAAAAGCTAAAAGGCTAAAGAACCGGATGGCTGGGAGCCACCAAGACAACATAGGGCATTCACAGCCAAAGCTCGCGCCAAATGATCCATCCGAGACGCCGGTGTTTTCATCTCCTTTGCCTGAGCGCGCAACCAGTTGACCCCAGGTGACATAAACCCAACTGCCCAGTAATCTGGGTGAGTTATAATACTTCACCAACCTGAAAAAAGGTGGTTGGGGGGCTATTCCCCCACATAAACTACCATTTGGGGTGAGGTCATGTGAGGTCGTTGCCAACAAGGCAGAGTGGGTTATAGCCAAGGTTTACCAACAACCTGCTGGCTTGGCCGAAGACCCAAGTGAGTCATACTCAACACCCGGCATGAAAATGGTCGTAATCCCAGAACCATGCTTCAAGTGAAGAAGGCGGATATCCGAAGCTATTCATGGTTGGGATTGTCCCTTACTAACCTTCATCTACCAGAGTTTTGAGCCAAGGGTGTTGCCCCTACATGACGAGCTTCGCTGACACAAAAATACTACTGTTCAAATTTCGGGCAGCATTGAGAGAAATCCCAGGATTCAATGTTTGATGAAAACACCAACCTCTGCCGCCCTGTAGAATATTGACAGGGAACCAGACTCTGGCGGCCTCTGTTGTTGCGAAGCACATTCACTACAGACCAACCGGACTAGGGCACAACTACACGCATTCTATCCGTATATCACTCGCCATTTAGGGCCTTGGGGTATTGTGTTGTGAGCCTACTCTTTTCACCAATATTTAATGGGGAAACCCAAAGAAAAAACATGTTTGGACTCTCCCAACTTTGGCTGATCTTCATTTAAAGATTCACTGTCCACTGTTGATTGGGAAACGGCTCCGGTCACATTTACAGAAGCTTTAAGCTGACTCGAGCTCAAGTTCGTCACGCCAGAAATGGCCACTAACCCCCAAAGGACGCTGCATCTACAGATTACTATATCCAGCTAGTTTCAGACAAGGATGCGCCTAGTAAAAAGACGTTTAGCTTCGCTGAGCTTCGTTTATCTCAGTTCTCGGGAAAGTAGGATTAGATAGGATTAGGGAAACAACCACCGTCCCATTTTTTCAGGGGATTGCTCTGAAAACCGTCACCAAAGGGGTCTTAGCAGGGTTGTGAGAACCTTCAATCGACCGGCCTGGACATCGATCTGGACAGCTGTCTTTGGCTTTCCAGCTTCCTAGCATCAGGCCGGAATAGACATGTGAGTGACAATCAAAACCTGGCATAAAAGTGGTCGACCCAGAACCATGTAAGGGATAAAGAAGGCGGTCGCAGCTATTTATGGTTGGGATCGTCCCTTACTAGCCTTCATCTACCCGAGTTTTGATTGTGGCTCATGTTTAGCTAGGCGCCCTGCGCTTGAAATCTGCCGGCAAGCGTGTGCACAGCACAAGCAGCGGAAGCAGCATCGACAAGGATAAAGAAGCCATCTAGACAATTAAAGTGTTTACACGCTAAAATGGCCTTCCTTGAAGTATAAAGTCTCATATGCCCAGTGGGTTTCCATGAGAAAAATAGAATTGGCACCCTTTCTTGGTTGACTTAGGAATCGGAACCCTTCTTCAAAAAAGGTTGAAAAAAGGGCACTGGCACCACTGGGCAACGGAGAAGTCTACTTGGACCTTCGGCCAAGTGGTTGGCCGTCTGGCTCAGAACCAACCAGATGAAGTCCACTTAGGGTCCTACATCTTAGTATACCCTCCACTTCTTCTGCGAAACCACTTCAACTCCAGACATTTCTTTGCCTGAGCTGTCTGTTTTGATGATCCCTACGAACAAAGTTGTTGACTTTGAGTGGGCTAACTTCGGAACCTACCGCCAAACACCACCTCAAACCATCTAACTGCCTGAGCACCCGGCCGGCTGAGACTCGACAAACCCGACGCGCGACCGCAAACACCCGGCGGCACCTCCATTAGATGCGGCGCGGCAGGAAGAGCCGCCTGAAGTGACGAGCCAAGGGCAAGAGGTCGCCGGGAGTCGGCCAGGCCCACTTTGTGACAGAAATGTGACCAGAACCCTTCGCGATTGACTGGTTTTTCACACCACTGCTGGATTGGAGGTGGGCCGCAAAAAGAAGCGCAAAAAAAAAAAGGCGTGCGGCTCACCAAACAATTGCTGGTTTTTCCAGAGGGGTGCTCCCAAGACCCTCAACCCCTGGCCCAATACCGAGTGTGTTTACCAAACGGGAGTTCCGGAGATCCGCTGATCAGTGGTGTTGCCCAAAGATTGTCTTAACGTTGAGACCAACGACCTGCAGAACAAGTTTTTAAGTGACCCCCGGGTACGGCCATACAACAAAGCTGCCTCAGTTTCGGAGACGTTTTTGAAACAGCAAGGATTAATATTCGCCGTCACTGTAACAAAGGGGATGCCATGGCCGAGCAAATGACAACTGAATCAAGTTCAATGTCATGGAGGGTTGTTTCTTCTCCCCGATGGATCTGAGTGGACTGGCCAAAAAAGTAACCACACTTTGCATTTACTACTAAAATGGTCTTCCCAAAAAGTGACTCAAGTCCGAAAATGGAACTCAGTCTAGGTCCTCCAGTAGAGAGGCTAGAATAACAGTACCCTTTTTCTGTAGTCTATTTTAGTAGGGGAACCCGCCCAACCAAAAAAGGGTGAGAGTCAACACCCAGGGGTTTCCCCTGGCGAACATCAAAATAGGTGGCAAATGGATGTTCATCCACCCCAAAATGGCTCGCCATTGGATATGCCCCATGGCCAAATCATTTTCAGAAGAGGGTTTTGGAGTCTGGGTTTCATTTGTACCCCATGAATGCAAGTCTGCAAGGCAGTGAAAACGCTGATACCGGTAGGCTGGAAATGGCACTTCAAGCTCCAAACCAACCTAAAAAGCAGGTAACTCCAAGCCGCCCCAGCAAAAAAACCTCCCCTCAACTCTCTTTAGACTTTTTTCTTTGTCCCCGAGGCCTCGGTGGCTTGCAGCTTCTTCTGAGACCTGCGGGCCGTGAAAGGAAGCCTCTTGGTGGTCGGTGTGTAGGGGCTTCTTCGTCAGTCAAATTCAAATTTCGGCGAGGCACTGTAAAGCTTTCGCGTGTTTTGGCAGAACTGTACCGGTTCAAATACGACGAACCCATGCATGCCCCCCCCCCCGTTGCGAGAAGCTCATCCTAGGCTTTGATTTTCGAAATACCAGCCCATGCATGGAAGGCCCCCCCGTTGCGAGACGCCCATCCTTGGCTTTTCAAATGGCTAACAACTCAACAGGCCGTTGGGGTCTTGTGATCTCACTTGGTCTGGAACTGCGATCCAACTCAAAAAATCCCCCCCCCACCGCAAAAAAATATTCCTCTAAACGTGCTGGATTTGGGGATCTATTGCAGGAGAGTGGTCAAACGAAGAGCAACCAAGCCCATGAGTCCGTTGGGGGCTCTCCTGAGTTGACCAGCTCAAACAAGGCTTCACAGAACTGCTCCTGCAGCAACCCTCCAACTACACCATTCATACTTCAGCCTTTCCCAAAAGCTTCCAGTTTTTCTCGGGGCGGGCCAGCACCAGAGCCAAAAAATCCATACCGAACCACACGACTTTCGCCCCTGAGCGAGACAGTCGTTTGCTTCACTGAGCAACAAACTACGTCCTTGGCCCCTGCAAAAGGTTGCCGTGGAAGAGGGACAATGAAGGAAACCAAAAAGGGCAAAGGAGCAAAAAGGTCAAGTCTGGCAACAAAACCATCCCACACGCCCACCGAGTTTTACTTGCCACACAAATGTTCAGTAGCCCGAAACGATTGGTCGCACAAGCGATGGGCTGACTCGGAGGGCACTCTTCGGAAAGAGATTCCATCGTGATCCATCATGGGGCCTGAGAACAAACTAAAAGGCACTTGGCGCCTTTTTTTGGGGGGCCTCACTGAAACGGACGGGGTCCTCGCGGTTTCCCTTTAAAACAGAAAAACAGGGTATTCGCAAAAAACAAACACGCAAAACGACCCACCCACTTGGAGCTTTGGTCACCCGCGCCTCGAGAGCGATGAGTGGGATATGTCCAATCGCCCCTGCGAGTCAGACCGGGGGAAAAACGGCGAGAGCTGCCGTTGGATGGCTGGCCGGGAGCCCCCAAAACAAATGTTCAGGGGTGACCAACCATTGTTAAAGGGTCAGACTCGGAGACTCCACGTGGTTCTATTTTGGCCTCGAATTGGCCGCTGGACCTGTCACGAGGGCAGTTCTTTTTAATTGTTGCGGGCTTCGAGAAGGAATTCCAACAAGACCCGCTTTTGCTTGAAACCAAAACGAAGCCGTTGTCTTTTAAAATTGACCCATCCCTATTTTGAGAAACCCCTCATTTCTGGTTGTAAGTCAAAAGGTGTACCAGTGCTGTCATTTTAACACTTCTCCGGAAGCGGCATACCTCCAAATGGGTATCTGTTTTTCGAGGGTACACTTCTGGTGGTTTTGAAGGGACGCCAAAGTGAAACCAAACATTTCGGGGCACCCCTATTCTGACACACCCAAGAAAACTCCACTCGGTTGTTTCCCACTTGACTTCCTCAGATCGATGAAAGGAGCTTCTGGGGCCGGCCCGCGACCCACCCAGCCTCATCATGGCCCGACCTCGCGGTTTCGCGGCGCCCCAAACCCGCCGCCTAACCGCACCACTGCAACGGAAACCACGACACTCGGAAGCCCAGGATCAAGGCTTGATGTGGACCGTTTCAAAGGCAAATGTTGCGATCAAAGTCCGAAACATTCGTCACGGCGATTGGCAAATCATATCGCCGCTGCACCAAAGGTTCTACAATACACTCTACACACCCAAAAACCCACATGGAACCTGAGAGCCAGCCACCCATCCTTCAACAAAATTTCCTTGGCATGCCCCCTTCTGGAGTTTCACCCCCCGATGACATGTTTACACCACATCGAAAACGGAACACTTGTTGGTTTTGAGGCGAATGACAAAGATAGTAAGATGCTACTTTCCTAGGGTTTAATAACCTACTTATGCGCCCACCTATGTCTGAAGTGGAGCTGGTCCTGTTCAGGTTTTCATGAGCCCGTCTAAGTCTCAGGAGTCAACCCCGTTCTTGCTTTCTCACGCAGGCTAGCCATTCAACTTTGGCAACGAACGTCAACATAGACTGCTGGGCATGTTGGGCAAACGGTCCCCTCTCCCCCTTCACCAGCGTTCCCTGTCCAACCTATAAACATCAACCCCTACCAAGGGAAACTCCTGGGACAAAAGGCGAGGATTTGACACCCCCAAACATTGGACCATACAGAGAGTCCTGTAAAACTGGGAACACGTTTAAAATTGGTTTCCTCTTGGTTTCCTTTGGTTTCCTTTGGTTTCCTTTGGTCTCCTTCCGGATTGAAGCACCAACCGAAAGGGAGGCCAACCTTTTGATTACCAGAAGACATGTATTTTTAAGTTTCATGAAGGAAGCTTATTGCCCCTCGACTTCTTTGAGGTTTACCTGTTCAAGGGCAGTTATGCCACTTTCCCAACCACGTGCGCTCAGGAAAGTGTTTCTCGGGAGCGGTTTTTCTTCGGGTGTTGGGCACTCCCTCAATGCTTGCTCACTTTTGTCCTGCGCGCAGGCTCAAAGGCAGGCTCAAGGGATCCGCATTTTCCTTGCCGCATTCTGGTGATGAGAACCACTTCCAGTTTCTTCAGCCCCCCCGAATAAAAACATATTTCCAGCAGTGACATTGATTCCCTTTACAGCCAAGGGAAGATACAAAACAAATTCTTAAGCAAATTGAAGACAAAGTGGCCAAGGCTTACTTGCGTTCCTGGTGCTTTGCACTGCAAGCGCATCCGGTTTTGCATTGCGTTTGGACCCGGTGGAGCAGCCGGACGACGGAACGACGCATCGAATGTCATGTTGCTTCCTCCACACAAAACCTACCGACTGAGCCCAGAGCAGAAAGCCAGGCGAGATTGGTACCCTTCTCATTTTGCGGTGAGAACCCGAAGAAGCAACACGGGGAAAAAAGGCGTGACACGGGCTGACAGGGATACATGGAGCCGGGAAAGAACCAAAACCAGCTTTTGTGGTATTTGAGAGAGAGAGAGAGAGATATATATACATATATATATATATATATATATATGTATATACATATATATATATATATATATGTATGTATGGACAACAGCCGTCTTTTACTCCTGCGGGCTTGGGCACCCCAAAACCGAGAGAAACGCTTTATGACATTCGACCGTAGGGAGGACTGGTGTCATTTTTGGACTGTTTCTGGGGGTTGCCAAAGTCAGAGAATGGAACCGATTGTTTCCCTTTAACCCACCACCCAAAAAAGTGCCTTTGACGGATATATTTTTGTTAGGATCCTAAAAGCCGCCGGCATCCTAGCAGCACCCTGCCACAGCTGCTTCTTGGACAGCACTTTTGGGGGTCCAACACATCACCCCTCATCACCTTCAACTCTTCATTCTTGTGGTGCTTTCTATCGCCCCCAGGCCTCAATGAGCTTTACACGGCGCGCGCTGGTACGCTCAAAGTCCGCCAAACAGGAAAACAGGTATCATCCGTCACTCACTGATCAGTCACACCCGTTCCTGAGCACCGGCAGGGCGCAAGCTGCCGGAAAATTTCCTCAGACCCAGGGCCCCGGGCGGAGCCGGCGGCTGCCTCGCCTCGCAAAGCAGCTTGGCCCACCAGGTCAGCGGCGAGGCATCCGCCTCCGGCCTCGGAAATCCATCGGAAGCCGTGGATCTGTGGCGAGAACCCCGGCGATGCCCCGGTCTTCCGGGGGGGGGGGGGGGGGTCGGGGGGGTGGGGGGCGGGAAAAAGGCGGGAACAACCCTGCAAATACGGTTGTTGGTGTACGGATACTTTTCGGAACGCCTGGCTTTTTTCCAGGGTGGGATGGATACTGTTAAATTGGAACACCTGGAATTTTCCCGGGTGAATATATTTCCCTTTTGCAGGGCATTTGTGTGGAAAACCACGGGCGGTCCAGGGATACCCCCCCGCTCCATATAGCCTCTTGTTTAAGGGTATTCATTTGGAACACCTGGTTTTCCAGGGCAAGTACCTCCTTGTTTCGCAAAGGGCTACCCTGAAAACAACAAAATATTGTGTGCAGTGGGCAATCTTACCCTCGGAGTCTCCTGGAGGACCATAAGCAGGCGTGGTTCCTTTTGGTGGAGGAATGATCTAGTTCAGGGGCTCCTCTGACTAGTAGGATCCTCCGGATTGATCTGAAGTTAACATGCAGGGAAATGTCCCCTACGTATGTGTTGCCACAGGTGACCTTTTAGGGCAAATAGATGGCCCTGGTAGATGATTAAACCACCAGGTAAACCAGGGCCATCTATTTTTTCCACCAAAACAACCAAAAGGGACACCTATATTATATGTGTTGCAAGTGAACCATACAAAAAAAAAAATGGTGAACCACAGCTAATTGGAGAATTGGGCTCCCTGCTCCCAAATTCAGGGCGTCCATACCGAAATGGGTCGATTCCCACGAGCACCACAAACTGCTTCAAGCGGAGGCTGGGCCAGAAAAAACAATCCACCGGCCGCCTGGCCAGAGGGTCGACCTGAGATCTACTTAAGGGGCCTGGGCAAAGTAGATCCTCATGGGAGCTTGCGCAAACTCTTGGTATTTGCCTTCTCCCAAAAGCCGTCAAGAAACAAGACGTTCATTGTGGGCTGTTCTTGAACATTGCCCCTCCCAAAAGTCGAGTTGGTTTTCAGCCGTCTCCCCGAAAGCTCTGCTGAAAAGGCACACGTTTCAAAGCTGGCCTGTTGAAACGTTGATTTGCTTTGACACGTTCTGAAAAGATAGAATGAGTTGTATCCCTAGTTGACCAGACGTTGGTTCCCAATTCATATATGTTTAGTCGGTGACAACTTGATCAACACTTCTAGGTCCTCCAGAAGAGAGGTTAGAATAAGGGCACCAACTTCTTTTCTGTAGTCTATTTTAGTAGGGGAACCGAATCTCCCAACCAAAAAACAAATGGTGAGAAAGGGCACAACTGGGGGACCTAGACTACGAAATTCCGGGACATTACCCTCCAAAGTTGGTCTTCACTGAGTCTTCACTGATGTCAACGTTTACCTCTTTCCGCACAGCCCGGTGAGCTGTCATGCATGACATGCTCCGAACGGCCCCGTCCCAGGAAGCACCAAACGGAAGTTCAGATTCTGTTCCCTTCACGTCTAACCTCAAATATTCAAGACCGACCATATGTGTTCCATCACGACTATTCAGTTCCAGTTGAGGTCTCAAAATCGTACCCTAAAAGGGTTGGCTTTGGTGTGATTTTCACTGATGCATCATCTGGGCTGTTCACAAAGCCTCTGCCAAACGTTTAACCCCCAGCGACTTGAATGAAAATGACAAGTTGAACCGGATGTTACCCACCCAGACCATGTGTTTGGGGGGAGACCCATTTGGGGCTTGGCCCATTCTGAGAGAAACTTTCGCGTTCTAAGGTTGTCAAACCGGTCAAACTTGGCACGGGAGCCCGGACACTGCCATGGGCTCGGCCGGTGGAGACCTCGGGCTCGCGCCCACCCCCCAACGAAAAGCTTGCCTCTTTTTTTGGAGGGCGGCCCCCTGTTTTGGGGGGGTTTAAAGGGAAACGACAAGGGCCAACCACCAGTTTGTAGGGTTCCCTTCAAAATGACACACCGAAAAATAGATCTGCTTTGTTCTAACTGTTTAAGGGTAGCATGTTAACCTCTGAAACAAGGAGATGTCTTCATCATGGAAAACTAGGCTTTTCGAGTGGGTATTCGGAGTGGCGGGGTTGACGAGTTGGACCTGTCCAAAAGGATGCCTGCACCTTCACGGGCTCCATTCATTCTCCCCAAGCAGTGAGTTTAAGCCTATCTTCAGAAAGAAGGCAGGGGGAACATCTTGGACACTCTCTTGGTTGGTTGACTGTGAAGGAACCCTCCGAAGAAAAGAGAAGCACCGAACAAGGTACGGGGAATACCCCACAGGACTGGCTAAGGCAAAAGCGAGGCCTCGCGGCTCGACTTACGGCAAGTCGGCTCTGGGGACACCAGTCAAGCCAAAGCCAATTTTGAGAACTTGAGGTTTGCATCAGCCAGGTCCTCCAGTAGAGAGGATAGAATAAGGGTACCTTTTTTCTTCCTGTAATTGGAGTATTTTAGTAGAAGAACCCTCCCAACCAAAAAAAGGGGTGAGAAAGGGCAATACTGGGGGGCCTGGTCAGGGTGCCAGTTTTGTTTCCTTGTGTTAAACTTGTTTAAAGAGAAACCACCACTGACCGGTTAGCTCACTGTCAGGGTCCCTGGCACCTTGTGAGGATGCACTTTGACCCCTTCCCCCAGAAAGAAAGGATCACTCGACCAGCTAAAGAAGGCAAGCTAAGCCCAATGTAGGGCAAGGGTCGATGTCTTTATTTCTTTGCGACCTGGGGCAAAAAGGCAAAACTGAAGCGGTTTGCTTGGAGAGAGCTGTTGGGTGAAGCAGCTTGCTCAAGTCCGGCCATGTCCTTCGCCAAGCGCGACCAAGGTTCCTTGACATCCAGAAAGCGGGAGAAAATCTTCGACATCAGCTGGTAAAAGTGATCTGGGCTGTTCGTTTTCTGATCCCCTGCTTCAAGTTTAACGTTTCGTGGGTTAAATTCGGAAACTGCCACCAAACCAGCTAAAAACAGCTGAAAACCCAAGCTGAACCGGATGGCAGGGAAGCGCCAAGTGAGTGGTTACGCCCTTCTTCGCTTCTGAGCTCGTCCCGAAATTTGTGACATGCATCCTTTCAGGGGCCCACTGATTTGGGCCCATGACTGAGCTCCCCGGCAGGCTTGAGGTGGACGTCGGGCCTCATGCCGTGTTTTGTTGCGCTTGCGTTGGCCGGGTGCTTGCTTGCTTGCTTGCCTGCCTGCCTGCTTGCTTGCTTGGTTGGTTGGGTGGTTGGCTGGTTGGCTGATTGGTGGGTAGTTTCGTTGCTTGGCTGCGTGGTTGCGTCTTTGTCTTGCATTTGTGCTTGGATTTGTTTCTTTCGGCCCCTTTGGCGCGGTCAGCACTGCCAAGTGCCATCCCCTGAACGAGTTGAGCCGCCAAAACCCTGTGCCAAGCTGGGTCTCTCTAAATCCTTTGTCTTCGGTTTAAGGGGCTTTGGTTTTTGTAACCCTGTCGTCTCTTCCTGTATTCTGCACGCAGTCTTCCCATCATCTGCCCGGTCTTCCTGTAGTCTTCCCGCAGTCTTAGCGTAATCTGCCCTTTGTCTTCCGCTTACCTTCTCTAGAGTCAATATGCACAAAGCCACATCTACGTGAAAAGAAAGGGCTTTGCTTAGGCGTCGTCTAGCCTTCTTTTCAAGACCTGCTCGCATCCTGCAAACAGTACCAAATACCCAGACTCGCCTTCATGTTTGTTTACCCTATTCCAATACACATCCCTTGTCAAGGCAGCCTTGTGATAGCTCAGTCTCAGATCTGCTGGTTGGGCGGTCCTTCAAGGCTTTGGGCGGTGGGTCTCATGACCCTTGAGTCTAACTACTCTTTTTGTTGGGTGACTCCGGGACATGCAAAGCCCTTGAAGCCCAGCGTCTTGCGGACTCGACTCATATCCCAAGCCCCAAAGCTCCCCAAGTTGGCCACTTGGCCTTGGGGCTTTTGCAATTCGGGCGGAGTGCGATGGGCTTGGAAGCCGAAAGGGTCTACGTACTTTCCGAGGACTAGGGAGCTCGAAATGAAAGATACTTGTACACTGCGGCTAATATGGAACCCATCGACAAAAATAGGATGCGACCCTTTTTACGAGGGCGAAGGCCACAGAAGATGCGTCAAACACGTCAGCAAGTGCTCCCTTGTTTTGGGGGAAATTACCCGCCTTTTGCTGTTGTTGTTTTTGGCAAAGGGAAACCTGAGGAAAGCAATTGCCCGCCATGTTTGGGGGCTTCACTTGACCCCTTCGAAAAGGGCTCGCCACTTCTGTCGCTTGGGGCCCCCACCTGTTGGGCTCCGAAGCGCTGACGCCTGGTGCCAGGGAATCGGTTAAGAAAGTCTACCGTGGTAATACCCTAAGGGTCCGATTCGACCGTGTTTGGGCCCTCCAAATGGGTTGAGGGCCCTTGAGGAATTGGTCTGGGTGCTCCATTGGAGGGTCCGGGGTTCGGGGCATTGGAGGGGTCATGACCCTCAGGGTAGGTTCTAGTCTGTGGGCTCTGGGCCCCGGGGTTCAGTTACCATCGTTCAACCAATGGGGGTCCATATCTTCACCGCCATTTGCCTCAGGAATTTCACCCTCCAACTTCTTTTCATCGGGGCCAAGGAACCCCAAGGGTCATGACCCCTCCAATGCCCCGAACCCCGGACTCTATGGAGAACCCCAACCAGTTCCTCAAGGGCCTTCAACAACCCATTTGGCGGGCCCAAAAAAGGTCGGGACTCGAATCGGACCCTTAGGGTAGCCCCTTAAAACAAGTACAACCACCCAATCTGGATGACAATCCTTAGGTAACTGGTGGAGACATCTGAGCCCCGGTTTGAACCCCGAGGTCTGCAATATCAGCGCGTCTTTCTTGAAAAACCGCCGGAAAATCGCGGTTCGCTGCAAGGAGACCCAAAGGAAATCCACCCATTTGAGGGCTACTACTTTTGAGGCAACCCCATATAGCCAGCACCAGAAACACCAGAAATAAGAACTGGCTCCCCAAGTAAAGGCCTTTCATGGTGAGCTCCTTCACCCCCGAAGAAGCGAGCTCGCAACAAAAAATCATGTGTATATATGTATATATATATATATATATTATATTGTGGAGTAATGTAAATATCATGAGGCCTCCCTTTGGGCGATGGTTTGGCAATTGGAATGCTTTCTTATCCTTTTCAGGGGGAGGGGGGGTTGGGAGGGGCACTGTTCGTAAAACCAGACCTAAACTTTACAAACTCCGGCAAGAGGGAGAGGGGAGGGAACAGTCTTCTAGGATTCCCCATTCTTTTCAACCATCGTTCTTTGCAAAAGCCAGCTGCTTTCCCAGGTTTTTGGTGGTTTTCTAGAAAGAAGGATCCCTGGAAAGAATGGGGAAGCTACCCTTAGAAGTCTGCAAATCCAGCAATGAAATTGATCTCTTCAAAACCCAGAGAAAAGAACACATATGTCCTTAAACAATAACATCATGCCAGCAAATGCAAGGGCACCAGGGAAAAACAAAAAAACTATGTCCTTAAGAACTTTGATTTCGGCAATTTTGGAAGGACGCCTCTACCCCTTGCGTTCTCCTCCCCGTTTCGTCGTCTCCCCGTTTCCGCCTCCGTCGCCGCCGCGGCGGTCGCCGCCTCGCGACGCACCAGGGGGCCGTTGGCCAGGCGCGCGCTGAGCTGCAGCCACGGCAGCAGCTCCACGCGGCCGGCGGCGTAGCGGACCTCCGGCCGTCGGTCGGTGCGAGGCGGTGCCCGTGGATTTTTTGGAGGTCTTAAAGGGAAATTGAAGGGAAAGGCCATTTTGGCGGGTCCCCGATTTTTTTACACACAAGGGTTCCCCTTTGAATGTCTTTGGCGTTTAGGGCCCGTTGGTACCCTGGTTTTGGAGGTCGTTAAGCCTCCATTTCTTGGAGTTGGTACCCGTTGTTTTTGGAGGTCTTTACTCGGTTGCTTTCTGCTCCCCTACTATTGTTTTAACTTTTAGTGGTTTAATGGAAAAGCCATTAGTTGGCGAAAAGTTAAAGTCCTAACATCCAAGCAACATGCGCCAAAGTTGAAACCTCCATTTGCCTCAGCCCCCAGGAAAAATAATCATATGTCCAGTGATAGATTCCCTTTGAAACCAACAACGGGAAATAAAACATATTCTTAAGCAAATGGAAAGGTTCCCGACCAGATTCTGGTTGTTGGGTCCTGTTTAAAGGATGTCCCTGATTGAAGATGTGGGCGTCCAATGGGTGTTTTTCAACTTTTCGAGGCTTAGCTTCCATGTCTTGGCATCGAGCATGCATCATCATTTCAGGTCTGGGCTGCCCTCAGATCCGCTGCTAAAAGTTTAGGTTTTAGTGGGTGAAATGGAAATCCCCACTAAACCCAAAGAAGCGCTAAAAACCTAAGGAACCGGATGGCTGGGAGCCACCAAGAGGTATGGAGAAGCAGTGCGCAGTACCCATTAAGGCTCATAGTCCCTTGGCCAATTGTTCCCTTGGCCCCACTGGGCATCTAATCCCATGGTCGTCGGTTTCTCCTTGTGGGCTTTGAAGGTACGGATGTGTTCATACCACCAATATAAACTTGCTTTAAGCGTATCTAAGCCTTATGCAAATAATATAGAACCTCCATAGCTCCAAATCCCATATTTGGCTGTGGGTCAAAACCCCTGGTGAACATCCAAGTAGGTGGCCAATGGATGTGCATCCACCCCAAAGTGGAGCCATTGGTTCTGCCCTATGGCCATATCTAGACTTGTCCGATTGAAAGCAAAAAGTATCCACTGCAACATGCGCGCTGCCGAGGCACCGGGTGCAAAAGCACCACCCTGGACCGCGGCGTGGGCTGCGGGTATGGGCTGCCTGTCGGGCTGGGAAGTCGGCTGTAGGGGAAAAGCTGCTCCTTTTGACACCTGGGTATGTGTCAACAGTTGGGGACCCCTTAAATGCGTTGAATGGTTGGTTGGCTTTTGGTTCCCTTTATAAAAACCCCAAAAGGGGGTATGCAACAAACACGTTTTCAGTGGCCCTTTCAGATTGGCTCAAAGGAAAACCGAAAGGATACCCACCAAACAAAGCTGTCCCCGCTATGTTGGCACATACCCATTTTGGCATCAGGAACCTTGCCCAGTGATTCCAATTACTAGTACCCGCAAAGTAGGTAACCAAAGGAAACACCCCCTGTCTGAATTTGGCTGCGTCGAGTCACTCCCAAGGGGCTTACAAAAAAGGTGGTGAGCAACGAGGGCATCTTGGGGACTCGTTCTTTCCAACCCCAAACCTGCAATCAACGCCTGGCTTGTTGTCCCTCGCTATCCGGGTCGAGAAAGGCATCCAGGAAATCGGAATGAGCAATGCTTTGCCACATCCCCCCGTTGGGTTCCTTGGCTTTCTGATAACCCAAGCAAAGGACGCCAAAGCTGCAGATAGACAGGCCATGCCTCGGGGAACCAGGGGTACCATGATACCAGTCTCCAGCTCTTGGTCGCCAAAACGAACCGCACGCCGCAAGGCTTGCGCAATCTGCATTCAACTCGTGGAACCTCCGTTTCCCAGGCGGACTCAGGCAACTTCCCTTTAAACACCATGTCTAAAAGGGGTCCAACCAATGGACGGGTCTGAAAACCTCCAATCAAACGTTCGTATCGGGCATCTCTGGGAAAAGTCGAAGGGCCCCCTCAAAGAAAGATATCAGCGCTAGAGGTGGATGTTGTTAAATGGGGCAAGACTCCCAGCATGCCACCGCGGGTCTGAGTACCTTGTGAGGATGTACTAAATAACCCTTTTTGGCCCCTCAATCCTCAGACTGACCCCACTACTCACCATGATCAATGTTTGAATCAAAGTCACCCCAGTGATGAGTTCAAGGGAAACAGTGAGCCCAGACAGCTCAAGAAACTCCTGGGCATAGGTGTCCTTTTTGGGAAAATAGATGGCCCTGGTAGTTGATTGAACCACCTGGCAAACCAGGAATCGCCCAACCTATCTTTCAACCAAATCAACCAAAAAGGACACCTGTGCCCCTGGCGCCGATTCAGCGCACCCTTCCTTCGTGCAGCCCGCCGCGTAGCCAGCACCGCAGCAGCGACACCAGCGGGGAGGCCTCGGAAATGGGAAAAAATTACCCCCCTGCTATGGCTGAAAAAAATGTTTAGAAGCAGATGAAGCCATCGAAAACGAATACCAAGTCTTAGCTGGAAAATCAGAAAATAACACCTGAGAGCCCACAAAGGGGGAACCAAGAATAGATTCCCAAGGGTAGAGATTTCTGCAAGGGATCTGTGGCTTCCATGTCAATCAGGGGAACGCGGTTTCCTACTTGGGAGTCCGGCCAAGGTTGTAAGTTGTAAGATACCTTGCTTAGGCCCTCATAAGTCACTCTAAGGGGTACCCCAGTGGCTAGCCACGGTGTAACTTGGCCATACATCCAAAAAGGGGTAGGTGTCAAGTGTTTGTGGGAGCCCACAAATTACTAGCTTGCTAGCTGCTTGGGTGTGCGGCCAAGGTAGCATTCTAGGTTATAACCCACTTAGTGGAAAAATCCCTGTCAATTTGTGGGTTACGTCATATGTCCCAGGTTCCCTACCCCCCGATGGTATTCGCCCCTCTTCCCGCGCCCACCCCAGAATCCCTAGGCCCAACATCCCCATCCCTGCCATCGGTCCTCTGGGGGGGGGGGAGAAGGGAGGACCTATTTCCTGGAACATGTGGCTAACCCGAGTGGCTAACCACGTGCTAACCTTGTACCAGAGTTCTAAGGGCTTTTTGCGCATCCTCAAACAAAATAAACATCAAGCATCTGGAAAAATAAACCTCAAATTTGGGGCAATCATCCATAGTCTGAGGATGTTCTGAAAATCCGTGCGACCAAGCTACCGGACCCGCCGGCTCAAGACCATATGGCAAAGCCTTGTCCCAGCATTCCCCTTGATTCAAGTGGAACCAAATAAAATACATAAGCGCCAGTCTAAGTCTTTGTTGGGGAGGAACAAATGCACACTCCCCATATATGGGCAATATATTGGCGATCTACGCAGGTACCCCGGCCCCTTTCCATCCCTCCAAAATCCATCCCCCTTCCATCCCTCCAAAATCCATCAGGAGCTGCAACCACCTCAAAGAAATCTTTGACGGAATCCACGAACGTAAGAACCTGCAGCCCCAAAAGCCTTGACAACAAATCCCACTGGGCAAATCGGAAAGGATGCATCTGGGCAAATCACTATGCAACAAAAATGGAAGAAACAGGAATCCCACAAAACCAGCTCGAAGGTAAACCCAAATGCATAAGACTTCCATTGGTAAACCAGGGTAGAAGTAGATGGCAACCCCTTACGCATTCCATCATTCCGAATTCCTTTCCCTTGTCACAAGAAGGGAACTGCGCCATATAACAGCTCTTGCAACCCCAACGTACCCAACCTGGCGGGTTAAAAGGGGTCCCCCGCCAAAACAAGAAACACGTCAGAGTTCGTCTTAAATGTTGACTGGCGAGGGATTTGTCAAATCTGGGCCAGAGTCAGTGGCGACGTTCAAAGGGACACCCACTGGGCAAACAGAATGCCAACCACATCCCTGAACCCGCTGCCAAGGCTCCGAAGTGTTGTCGTTCCTAATGGCGCCATGCTCGCGCGTGCCAAGGAACGTTGCAAGAAAATGTCCCCAGAGGGCGCAGTCGCTAGCACTTGATCCCACGAATAAGCTTCTTTCTAGTTTGATTTCCTCATACAACAGGCAAACTCAGAAGCATATATGTGTGGAACTGCAGATCACAGGCGACGAAGGCTGAAGGCATATGCCCGCTTATTGATGCCGCCAGGGACGGTGGGTTTGTTTTAAAATAAGGGGACCTCTGAACAGTGACTTCCCATTGATGTCTTTCTTGGTACACTCAAAAATACACACACATTCAAACAGACGCACGCGCACACAGCAAGCTAACAAACAAACAAACAAAAGCAAACAAAACAAACAAACAAAAACAAACAAAACAAACAAACAAACAAACAAACAAGCGAGCGAGCAAGCAAGCAAGCAACAGGCAGGCAGGCAAGCAAGCAAGCACGCACACAGACAACCAGACGCACGCCGCACACGCACACGCACACGCAGACACACACACACACACACACACAGAGACACGCAGACACACAGACACACCCAGACACACAGACACACAGACACACAGACACACACACAGACACACACAGACACACCCAGACACACACAGACACACCCAGACACACCCAGACACACGCACACCCGCACACACGCACACACGCACACAGGCACACACGCACACAGGCACACACGCACACGCACACACGCACACGCACACACGCATACGCGCACACGCGCACGCGCACGCACACGCACACGCACACGCACACGCACACGCACACGCACACGCACACGCACACGCACACGCACACGCACACGCACACGCACACGTACACGCACACCCACACACACACACACACAACCCACACCCACCCACACCCACACCCACACACACACACACACACGCACCCACACACGCACACAAACAAACACCCGCGCGCGCGCGAGCACCTGTAATCAAACAAAATATGGGCCAACGTTCGTTGCCGGTTTCTATCAACAAGTCGATGTGCGTTGGATGAAAACGGCGGCACACCCTGATCGTTTCCTACAAGAGGGTGCTTACTTACATGTTCGGCCAAGTACGCTGTTGGCAACCTGGTTTGTGCGTATCCAAGATATAAATACACTAACCAGGCGAGTGTGTGAGCAACCATGTAAGTGTAAAGTTTGAGCTGCTCATTTGTGCCCAACAGGTGGCTAGCCACTCACCAACTTGCCCCAACTGCAAGTGTGTGAGCCAGGGTCGTGGCTTTTGTCAAGAGAATCAATCCCTTCAACGGGGGACCAGAAAAAGAAAAGGCCATGAGTTTTTAACCCTAAGGGTCCCAGACTTCTGCTTGGTCCCTTAAGCCCATCCTCAGACGGAAACCATCTTCCACCTCCCCCGGCTCTTTTGCCGGTCCTCAAAAGAAGTAATGGTTCACGGCCCCTGAATGGAGGGCCCCTTATGTGCATAGGGTCATGAGCCTTAGGGTAATGGTCCTGCTTCAGGAGTCGAATGTTGAAGGGGCATTGTGCGTGCCGCTTTAGAACAGCAGAAAACACAACCTAAAAACAGGTTCCCCTTTCCACTTGCGGAAAGCCGAAACGTGAGGTCCCTTGGCTCCACGTGTCACCAGTATAGGTGCAGCCTTCCCAAGCAAAAGTCCGCTTTGCACATGAAACTAGACGAGACCAATAAACCAAATTAACCAGTTGTCCAACAGCAAAACAAAGCATCACTCTTCCAGGCTTGATCTTTGACCCTATGCACAAGTGAAGCGGCGTGCGAGCAAGTAGTTGGACAGTGTCATGCTCCCACAAGAACAACATGCTGATTTCCGGCTGCAACTTTGCAACCTCCAGTTTGCTCGTTCCCTCGTATTCAACTCGCCCTAAATAGCCCAGCCTGGCAATTCTGAAACGCCGGAGAACCCCGATGCCCACTGGATTTCCACGGGGAATAAAAGAATTGGCACCCTTTTGCTGCTGGTGGAGTTTCAAGGGGAACTCTTTTTCTGCTGGTGGAGTTGCAAGGGCACCCTTAACCCAAAAAAAAGGAAACCAGGCACCTTGAGTTTCAAGGGGAACCCTAACCCAAAAAAGGCTAGAAAAATATAACAAGGGAATTTCTTCCCCCCAAAAAATACAAGGTTGGAACCCAAAAAAAAGACTCGGCGCCGCTGGGCGGATTTCAAAAAGCCGCGGACATCCCTTGCCGTCCGGGCGCAGCAGCTCCGACACCTCTCACCGAACCGGGCGCGAGCGGCGAGCGGGCAACCCTGTCCCCGGTTCGCCGCTGTTCCGTTTGGCGAGTCCAAGAACCTGGCTGGGTCCTCCAGATTTGCGTGGTTAGAATAAGGTGGTACCAACTTGCTTTTCTTTTTTGTCTAGTGGTTCGAGTAAGGGCAGCCTTTTTTCTGTGGTCTATCCGCCGACATTGTTCGGCGTGTCGGACACTTACTAGAGGATAGAGGATAACCCCCCCCCCTTACCCCCCCCAGCCCGACGTCTGATACGTAGGTTTTAGCGGGGGCGGGGGGTCCCCCACGTACCGCGCGGCAATTTGATGACGCTCCACTAAACGTAGTCGTCTTCGGGGAGTTTGGACGTCCTCTTTGCGAAAACGCTGGAAAAACCGCGTTTTTTTTGCGGGAAATACTGGGGAGCAAAGGGGAAATGCAAGGAAGTGCAAGGAAATGAGGGGAGGAAATAGGAAGTCGACATGACAGGAAAGCAACGGGAAATGAAAGGGAAACGAACTGAAAGGGACAGGAAAGGGACAGAAATGAAAACAAGGGGAGTGCAGGGGGAATGAAAGGGAAACACAGCACAAGGAAGCAAATAGGCATGGCGGGAGATGTAGGGAAATGACTCGCAACGCAAGAACGGGACACACATGGAAAATGAAGCGGACATACCGAGAAAATGTCAGGGACAGGAAGGGGGAGTTGAAAGGAATGGAAGGGACATGACGGGACATCATGAGAAACGTGAAGAGGACATGAAGGGGAAATCAAGGGAAAGCCAGTTGTGAGATAACAGTTCAGGGTCATGAAGGGGAGTGACGTGACGCTGCAATGCAGAGAGAGAGAGAGATAGAGAAAGATAGAGAGAGATAGAGAGAGACAGAGCCAGCCAGAGTCAGAGAAAGAGACGGAGAAAGAGACACACAGAGAGAGACAGAGAGAGAGACAGAGAGAGTGAGAGAGAAAGACAGAGACAGAGAAAGACAGAGAGAGAGAGAGAGAGAGAGAGAGAGAGAGAGAGAGAGAGAGAGAGAGATTGAGAGAGAGAGAGAGAGAATTAGGGTACCCTTTTTCTGTAGAGGGGCGTGGACAGGAAGGAGACAGGGAGACAGAAAGAGACAGCAACAGAGAGACAGAGACAGAGCAGAGACAGAGACAGAGACAGAGACAGAGAGAGGGAGATTGAGGAGCTTGTTTTTTTGGTTATTTTTTGGAATGCGGCGGAACCTTGAACAGTCATGCGGGTTTCGTGGATGTCCCCCATTCGTCTAGCCTGCTTGGGCACGGTCAGCCGGTCTGTCTGAAGCCACTGAAGCCACTGAGACCTGAGGTTGCACTGTCGGCGAGGCACTGGCCTTCTGTGTCCCTCAGACTAGACTATGGGGCGTTGCTCGACTTTTCCACAGCCAGGGGTCTCGGGTAAAAACGGGTTCTGATGATCCTGGGTCGTTTCCAGCCTAGGGGGGCGCAATAGGCAAGCCGAGCTACCGGGTAGCTCGTGTCGTTACAAGGTGTGTCACTCGACTCTGGAGACAACACGTAAGCCGAGCTGCCTCGGCCGCTGAAGCCGGCGCACGTGGCTTGGCAGGGCGAGCCTGGCCGGTGCTACTCTTAGTGTCGTGACAGTGCCCGGGTCGTGGGAGTGTCAGTCTGAAAATAAACGGAATCAACCGTCTTGTTGGCTGGGCTATCGCATTGGAACCTGCGGCTCTCTTTTCACGTACGCGTTTGCGTCTTGTTCTCGGTCACGAACTGCCGCTTTCGTCTTGCCTCGCAACAGGAGACACGCGGCTCTGTCTTGCAGGGTTTCCAGCCAAGGACGCGTCAACAGCGCAGGTCCTGAATTGGCACGCCTGTCCCTAATGCTTCCCGCCTCCGCCTGCGTCGCGCGGGCGGAGCTGTAGCGGCGGGGTGGCGCATGCGGTCTTCTTGCCTGTGGGTTCAAGACACGACCTCGTCACTGACCCTCAGTAAGCTGTTGGGCAAACATCCACTGGTGTGTTTTCGACGTCTTCTCTAGAGGGGATGCCGTCTGATGTCTTCCGATGCAGGTAACGACTTGCCGCGCAACGGATGCATGTTGCCCCAAGTGATGTGCTGCCGTCTGTGGGGCTGATGTCTCCCTGGCGCCGTCTCGGTGCCTCCGGTTGCCCCTGCCTCCAGAGCCTCGGCTGCGTTTTTTGGCCTCGCGCTCCGCCGCTCTGTCTCGGCCACCTCCAGGCTGTTGCTCCCGCACCCGCGCCATCACGCACCTTTGTGCGATGGTCCAAGCGTTCACTGAACCCGAAGTCTCCCAAACTTGCTGCTAGGCAGCTGCTCCCTGACCCCATCATGGCTTGGACAGTACTTTCACCACATCATCGCATTACCTCTGACACCACGAAGACGTGGATAGCAGACCGTGAGCCTGCTTACAGATAATCAGCTACTCGTCCGAGAAGAGAAAAGTGGAGCCCCCAACCATTTCTGGATAAAACAAAGGAGCGATCGGCTGCTTTCAGCTTCCAACCCGCGGAAAAGTCCCGCCTGCGCAAGGAGTGGCCGATCGCGAGACATAACCCCAAACCCATGCGTGCCGAGGTCGAGCTGACCCTTCCCCACGACACGCTATCCTTCGTATTCCGGACTACCCGGTCTGACCAAGTCAGTCAATGTCGGCGGACTGAGCCGGAGGCTCTAAAGTTTTAGTAGGGGAACCCTCCCAGCCAGAGTTAATCAATTCCCCCTATTAAGAAAGGTTTCCCTAATAATCAATATTTGCTTCGGAAGTCCCAAATCCGGGAATACTACTTTTAGAATAGCCAATACTAAACCAATTCTAAAGTAGGTATTTTCCTGCCCGTGCTTCGGGGGCACGTTTCCTTTACTACGGCTGTACTACAAAGTTGCGACTTTCGAGCCAGAGCTCCGGGAGCACGTTTCCTATACTACGGTTGTGCTACAAAGTTGCGACTTTCGAGCCAGAGCTCCGGGAGCACTACGGTTGTACTACAAAGTTGCGACTTTCGAGCCCGAGCTCTGGGAGCACGTTTCCTTTACTACGGCTGCGCTACAAAGTTGCGACTTTCGAGCCAGAGCTTCCGGGAGTACGTTTCCTTTGATACCGGCAGGCTGTGCCCACTAACTACTTAGCTACAAAGGCTGGTGGTCAAAGTCAGAGGGCGCCTCAAACCAAAAGCAGCTGCAGACAAGCCTACGCAGAACAAGAGGTACCTCCAAACCCTGCCTTCCAGATCCAGGGGACCCCTAACAATAAAATTGTTTTGCTGGCCTTTTTTTTTGTTTTTTTTTTTTTTTATTAGGGGGGGGGGAGGGTCGTTTATTATTAGGGGGAAGGGATTACTGGGGACCTAGTGGGGGTCAATCTCAAGAATGGCGGGAAAACTGCCTTGGGATTTCACCCGTTTGTGGTGAAATCCCGAAACGGCTCGAAGCCACAGAGAATCTTTTGAGAGGCCACACTTTCTTGGTTGATGTTGGAAGGGGATCAAAAATTCTCAAATTTTCGCAGTTAAGTAGGGATTTCCAACTAAACCACCATAAGCAAACATGTAAAATGTTTCCCAACAACAACCATGGTTTGAGTGGCCCGAGACAGCGCGACAAAACCAGTTTGAGGCTCCTGGCACAGAGAAAGCGATGAGTTCTTGCCAGTGGCTCAGCTGCGGACCCTAACCGTGTCTCTCTGTTCCGACTCAAGTGCTGCAGACGATGAGGATGCTACACAGCTCCGAATGCTGAACTTACTCTACGGACCCCATGAAATTGCCTGGAACACGAAAAACGACCCTTCGCGAGACCTGCACCCCGCGGCCGCACGATAGGCCGGAAACAAAGTCCAAAACTGCGATGGCCAACCTTTGACGCGCAACCCCAAAATCATGCGCAACTGCTTGGCCGGCACTGAAAGCTCACCTGCCAAAGTCGAGCCGGGCATTTGGGCGCAGAAAAACAAAAATCCTGCGCCAAGAGTTCCGGCCAGCACCCTTCTCGGCCTCAGTACTTGTTTTGAGGGTTGTTTGTTCTTAAAGCTGGCGCTGGCCCTGAACACCGCAAAACCACACCCAAGCCAGGAACCTGAGAAACCACCAGCAAAAACACCTCATCCCTTTCCGGACTGTTCAAAACCCTTCCCCGACTGGCACAAAGATTCTGCGGCGCTGGCCGGGATCGATCCACCACATTTTTCGGCTTGACGCAAGGGATCGCAATCCCAGGGCGCCTCAAAAACAATGTTTCAAATTCAGATTGTTCCATATATGGCTGTGGCTCAAAAAACCGGAATTCCAAAATGGAACCCTGGTAAGTGGAAAAATGGACCAAAACCTGCGAAACCCCTCCTGTTTAAATTTGAGCCACACCCAATATTCCTTCGACCTTAACAATGTTCTCAAACGCCAGCAACATCACCCAAGAACCCTGGCTTGCTCAGCCAAGAAATCCAACGCCCGCAGCGACCGCCTCCGCCAACTCAGCCGCCAAATCCAGGAAGACCAAATCCGCGTCCCGGCCGCTGCGGCGCAAGTGCAGTGCCTCAAATCGTGGCCTTTTGCCAGTCTGACTCAGTCCTTTTGATTGCTCTGAGGGTACCTTGGCCCACATCTCACAGAAAACTGCGCTCTGATGCGCTCTGACTGTGTTCCAATTTGTTGTCCACCCTAAAATACCCAGTTTGGCTCGGATTTATCCGGCCAAGTTAGCATGAATTGATCCACCTGAATACTACCCCTCTAACAGGATGAAATCCACCTGTAGGGCTAAAAAAGTGGATGAACTGGGATGGCGGCAACGTAAGAACTTGTCGAACACCCAAGCAAAAGGAATCAAGTACCCTTAGGCCCTGATGTCCGCTAGAGAGCGCGTGCCGCTAAACTAGAACTGGAGCCTCCAAACCCCCCCCAACCCCCGTGTTGAAACAATCACGGCCCAAGTTGTTGAAGCAGGTGAGTGTGCGCTTACCATTTGGCAGGCATGTGTGCAGCGCTGAGCGGGTGCACGGGAGCGGGTGAGCCCTGCCCCAGGACACATGTGAAATTCCATACGAAATGAACGTGTGCAGGGTGAAGTCTGTCGAAAATGCTGCACAGGCCACACGAAATCACAGTTGTCCGATTTTACAAGCCCAAATATCTTCCAAGTAAATATCCCGGTTGAATGACCAAAACTGGTTAAAAAAAAATATTTGACACAAATCTGAGACTGAAACAGCCCTTCCAGCATGGGGCTGGTCTGGCATGCCTGGGGATTGATGACGGTTGCACCCAATCTAAGCCAACTCTCTGTCGCCCTCTGTCCAAGAAAGTCTTTTTTGGAGGGTTCCCGTTTGGGGGTGGTTTACACGAAAACCAAAAGGGAACGCCATCAAGTTGTGCCCTAAAAAGACACCCCCCCATTTGTTGTTTTTCTCTCTCTCTCTCTCTGTCTCTTGTTTGTCTTTGTTCCTACATTCCTTGTTTTCGCAACTCGCTGGAAGCGAGCAGAGGAGGTAGCCGCTCGTCTTCATATGAGCAACGAACAGTATTACCAGATGTCGGTAAAGCAAACAAGAAGGTTGGCTTATCATGCCTGCAACTGAGCACGTATCGCTTTCAACAAAGGACCCCTGTGGTGAAAGGACCTCTCATGGGATGACAACTCGGTGCGATTTCGGCTTCAACCGTCCTCCTCAAGGTGTAGTAAAATACCAAAAGAGTTCATTACCAAAAGAGTAACGTAGCAAAAGAAAAGAAAAGACAAAAACAACTGGTGGAATCCACCAAAACAGCCACCTGCAAGCGGTTTCCCAGAACAGCTCTTCCAGACCAGACTTTCCGGGCATGGCGCGAAAACCACGTGGCTGCTGGAGGAGTCCGGGCTGAAGGGCCGGTCCTGGTCAGATGCCCAGTGGATTTTCATGGGAAAAAATGATTGGCATCCGATCTTTTTGGTTGCTTGAAGGGAGACCCTTCCCAAAAACCAGGGAAAAGAATTGGCGCCACTGGGCAACTGGGTACCAATGGAAGGCCTACTTGGGTGGTTGGATTCGCCAAGTTAGTAAACTGTTGGCAACCCAGATAACTAAGTCCTCCGTGAATGTAAAAATACCCCTGTCATTGGTGGGCTATCCCCCAAGTGGCGAACTACTTACTAGCCTGGCGAATCGAGAATCCAAGTACCAATCCAACGGAGGCCTTCCATTGATACTGTTGATGGAAGCGCGGGATCCATTAAAGGCACCACCGGGAAACCATGACTAGGTCCTCCAGTAGAGAGATTAGAATAAGGGTACCCACCCTTTTTCTGTAGTCTATTTTAGAAGGGGGGTTAGGGGGACCTGGGCACGAGCAGCAGCACGCCGTATGCGGCGAGCTGCATGTAGTCCACCAACTTCTGGGTGAGAAAGGGCACTACTGGAGGGCCTGGATGACGTTTGTTGGTATTTACCGGGGAATAGAATCAGAAGCCAGGCCGGGTTCTTGGGTGCAGAATTTTGCCCATCCACTCTTATTGAGGTCTCACCTCGTCCAGGGTCGCAAATCACTTGCGTTCAGCCAATGGTGCCACTACCCCCCATCACTCCCAAGGGAAATGTGTAACGGGCATATCATGACTGGGCTGCCCGCGCGAGGCTCGAAATGGGTATGCACGCCCATAGACGTATCAGGCTGCAAAGACTCCCCACTCGAGGCTCGGAATCAACGGTTTCTATGACCTGGATATGAATAATGGTTCCATAATCCCACTATAGAACCCTTGGGAAACTTTTTGGGGATACCTCCAAGAGAAAAACCGGCACATGTTAACCCATACATGCCCAATATATGTGTGTTTTCTCAAAGTAAGTTGGCATGGTTTCAGAGGAAACAGCAAGGCAGCCAACGATAAAGGAATTGGTCCCTATGTTGCTTGCGGGTGCTGAGTAGGGAATGAGGGAATGAACCCAGTCCCCTTAAAAGCAACTACAACGAAATGGTTTACAAGGGTCAATCCATTTCTCATTCCCTACTTCTCGCACCAGCAAGTTTGAGAATACCCATATGTCTTTTTGTTCCTCAAATTGGGGACGCCATCCAGGTAGGTGGTTTCCTCTTGGTTTCCTTTTTTACAACCATCCAAAAACGGGTCCCCCTATTTTGAGGCCACGCCCATATGGCAGTGGTTGTCCCTGGCCAACAAAATGGTGGTACATGGGGGTTGATCCGCCCCAAAATGGCTCGGCATAGGTTATGACCCATGGCCATATGTTTCCAACGTCAACTTAAAGAAGGCGCGAGCCTCACGGCATCGGAACTCGGAAATCGGGGGCCTCCAGCTTCCTCCTCGCATCCCCGTCGCAAAGCAACTTGTAGGCCACGCTCTCCTCGGACGGCGCCCGCTCGAATTTTTGGCGGGGCTTTCTGTGGGTCGGTCGCGTGGTTTTTTCTCTGTGGGCATAGATGGCGCCGTCTTTGGCGTCTTTCTGTGGGTCGGTCGAAGGGATGGTTTGTTTTTGTTGGTCTGTGGGCATGGATTTTGGATGTTTTTTTCCCTGTGGGCATAGAGTTTGAATGTTTTTGTGTTTTTCCTCTTTTTTTCTGTGGGCATAGAGTTTAAGATCCAATCAACACCAACAAGTCAGGGTTCCCGGAGTTCCGCTGGAACAAACAAAAACTTGCAGGAGTTTGCTTGCACGAGCTTGCTTGCTTGCGTGCTTGAAAACGGGTACAACCCATCCATCAAAGGACGCCGGCCTCCTTTTAAAGTGCTCCAACTGATTCTTTGTGGGGGCCAGTTTATAGGTGGTCTTTGCCCCAGTGTTGTAGGGTGCTGGCAGGGCACACACGAGGTTGGTGATACGGCTGCCATAAAGAGCAACAAGTTGCCTCATGCTCTGGGCAAGCCAAGCTGACTTAGATAGATAAGATAGATAAGATTAGATAGATAAATAGATATAGATAGATAGAGAAATGAGGTAGATAGATAGAGAGATCGATATGTAAAGAGAAATGAAGACGGAAAATAGAGAAAGGGAAAAAGAAATGAAGGAAGCACAGAAGAAAGAACGAAAGAAAGAAAGACAGAAAGATAGACCCATGGAGAAACGATGCAAAGGAAGATGGAAATAAAGAAGAAGCGAGAGGTAAAGAAGAAAATAAGGAGCAAGATAACTATAGTCTTCATATTGTGAAACTTTCGCCCAACGGCTTCGCCGGCTCTACTGGTACGTTTCTCATCGGTTGTATTTCAACTGGCTCACCACGTGCTAACTTGGCCGCGCATCCAAGTTGGCCCTGATCGAGCCACCAACGGCGGTTTGTCTTAACCAGCGAATCCCCCCACACGGTGGGTGTCCCATAGTTTTCCTTCATCCCTGGTTCCAAAGCATCTCAAAACGGGACTCTTACCCGCGAGACCTTTGTTTTGTCGATCAACCGTTTTGTGTTGTATAGTCAGGCCACCCCTGTGAACAAATGCCACCAAACAACAATGTATAAGCAAATCTATGCCACGTCTCAGACCCCAGAACAACCAAAAAAAAAAGTCACCTCACCCATTCAGGGGGAAATGCATACTTGGTCCTCCAATAGAGAGGGAGAATACGAGTACCTTTTTTCTGTAGTCTACTTTAGAGGGAACCCTCCCCCAAAAAGGGGAACAGGGCACGGTGTGTAGAATGCCGTGGTGTTTCGGTCACATTGAGCGCCAGAACTCTCACTTGAACCATCAAACTCTACCGGTTTTGTGCACAGCACCTTTGCTGATCATGTTTCATTCGAATTTCTAGGGGGGAAAGCAGAAAACCGCGTTTTGGCCAAGGCGAAATGCTCATTTTCAGTAGAAGTTGAAAGCCCGAAACTACTGGCAGAATCCGACTGGGCTTTGTTGTTTTAATCATGGAGCAACAAGGAGATGTCAGCCACACACTTCAGCATTGCGTTTATCCTTGCACAAGCTCTTGCAGCTCTTTGAAGAACTCATGCGGCCTCTTTGGGCCCACGTGTTTGCGCCACACCCGCTGGAACACCAGGCGAGGCACATCCTCAGACAGTTTGCTACGTCCATCGACTTTGTCGGGGGTCTTGATCTTGCGAGGCATCCAATCATTTTTGAGAAGTTGCCAGCTGCGGTCTATGCATTGAGTGCCAGCATTGACTAATTAACCCGATCACAGCCTCCGTTGAAACGCCATGAAAAAGACGCCTTGGAAGCCAACACACGAGAAATCTGCCAACTGGATTCAAGCGGCCGAAGTCTAATCTCTGGTGAATCCAACACTGGCACAGCCGAGCGCCGACGAGATGGAGTACGAGGCGAGGACGCGAGCGAGAGCGGCATCTGGTAGATGAAGACATGGACTCCAAAGACAGCCGTAGCAGGCGCTTGGAAGGAACGAGAGCAGCAGCGTAGACAAACAAAGGCCAAGGAACAAAAAGCGCAGATATTCTGAACCACTCGGCAGCCAGTGCGCCAGCCAGCGCAGGCAGCGAACTCCACAGCAGGGGAAAGCGATCTTCTTGCGCAACAGTGTTCTGCACGAATGCAAGCACGGGATCGGAATTGGCAGGTCGACTGCCTCCTCCTACCAAGCCAGCCAAGCAAGCGTCGGCAAGAGAAAGGGGTGCAGCACGGGATTGGTCTCAAGAAAAGACGTGCGCTTTGCTAGTCGAAGCAAAATGATGAAGGCCAAAGCCGAGGCAATGGGCAAGGACATGAAAACGCTGGAATCCAAAAAGCTGCGTGCATGATGCAGAATGAGGAAATGCAGACCGCAGTTTCCCTGAAGCAGCCTGCCTGCACGCTCTGACGACCACGAAACCATTGCCCCCCCCCCCCACCCCACCCGCAAAAAAAAACAAAAAAGAGAAAGATGCACAGAAAAACCTACCGCGTTCTACCCGCCCTGTGCCCACTACTGGGGGGCCTAGTATAAACACCTCCGTGACATCGTTTCCCTCGTCGCTCCAAGTCGCATCCCCCCTCGCCGCACAAAACGAACCGCGCGCCAAGGCCGAGCCACTTCGGGCGCCGAGCGCCGCTGCAGCGCTCCGCCGGTGAGCAGATCGGAGGCCCGGCCCTCCGTCCCGAACCCCCGCGGAGCCCGAAACGCGGGGCTTGGACCATGGTCCTTATCTTCCATTTGGATAAGACCCCCGGAGAAAAAGAAGAGATATAACTCCGGTGGTGATCAATTCCGTTTAAAGCCAACGAGGGAAAGTATTTTTTTTCTTGAGCAAGTGGATGTTATGGAACTGCTGGGATGGAACTGGGTTCTATGTTAGGGTAAATGGCATGGCCATGTCTAAAACAAAAAAGAAAAGAAAAACGGGGGACCAATGCAACCGGATGGGAAGGGTCAATTCCTTTAAAATGGAGCTGGCCGGCTGCGGGGGATCACAAGGGCTTTCTCCAACTGTAGTTGGAATTTCTTTTTTCAGGGGGAACCTCTGGTGGGTTCCATGTTCGGACAGGAGGGCAAGTGGCATGGCCAGAGTGTTTGTTCCTTTCAAAATTGGGGACCCATTCCTGATAAGTCCCGCAGTTTGAGACACCATTTGATAGTTGGAAGTCAGCCAAAATCCGGAGACCCTTTTGCAATTTCAGCTTCCAGCCTTCTTTGGCCAAGGGTTTAGCATTGGCTGATCCAGACTTAGAACCCCGCAAAAAGCGGTTGATTTGCTTGCAAAAGAAATGGAACTTGAAGGATACCTGAAAGGACCGGTCAGGTCTGTCTGACAATGTTGAGGTGTGCCTTGCCGGAGTTCTCTTTGTTTTCCTGTGGTCGTTTGTTGGTTCAGGGACTCCCATCCAAAGGGGGAATTCCCCCAAAAGAGCTTCCTCTCAAAATCTCGGGTGGTTGGGTTGCCTCCATTCATCTGCAGACGCGCAAGTGGGCTACTGGCACCTGAACCAAATATCTCGCAGTTCGCAGCATTTGCCTTGGGGGACGCCTCTGTTGGGCTCCTTCCCCCGTGGAAAAAGCAACAACAACTTCCAGTAGTGATAAATTCCCCTAGGTCCTCCAGTAGAGAGGTCAGAGTAAGGGTACCCTTTTTTCCCCAACAGCTGAAAGCTTTTGGGGTCGATAGGCCCAGATAGGCTCCGGAATGGTCCGGGGCTGAGCTTATTCTGTAGTCTATTTTAGTAGGGGAACCTCCCCCAAAAAATGGGTAAAAGGGCAGCAATTACTGGGGGACCTAGTCCCTTTAAAGCCAACAAGCGAAACTAAACAAATGGAAGCTTCCTTTCTGGGAAGTAGCGTTGGGAAGGGTGTTCCCCATGTCCCTTCGACCGAACCTCGCCTGACGCAACTCCTGCAGAGAGGCAGAGTAATACCTACACCAAACACATCCCGCGTTCTGATTTTGCTTCACATGCATGTCCGAACAGACTACCACACATTTGACCTCAGATCCCCTGCTCAAAGTTTAACTTTCAGTGGATTACGTGAAAAAACCCAACCACTCAACTGGCCAACTCAAAAAACCTCCGGAAAACGAAGCGAGGATCCGGACGGCTCTCCGACGGATGTTCCATCGCCCCGCGTCCCGCGTCTCGCCTTGTAGATTTCGAAGAAGGAGATCTCCACTTCCAGATCCGCCAAGTCGCTCCTGGCCTTCTTGGCCTGGCGACTTGATGCACCGATCTGGGGGTTGATTCCTTGCCCATTTGTTTTGAACCATCGTAGTTATTTTCAACATGGGAAAGCTCAAAGTTGCTTTTCTTGCCAGTGCTGCCTCACCTGCCCAATCCCAGACACCCCTTTTCAGGTTGGGACTGTTTGATTCCGCCCAGCTGGGTTTTTGATGGTTTCCTGTAAACTTCTCAACCTGCTTTTCCATTCTTGTCCTTTTCAACCAGCGATCTGAACGCAAGTGATTTGCAGCCCTGGACAAGTTGAGACCTCAATAGTCATTTGGGGGCCGCAGGGAATATTGATCAACCCCCATGTGAGAAATCACAAGAGCAGCTCAGCTGGTTGATGTGATGGACCATCATTTTTGGGCTGATACACCAACCAAGAAACTCAAAGCGATCCCCACCCCAGCCCAGAACCTATCCTGAGGTTGTCTTTGACCCTGCAAAACCTGTTTTGCTTTGCCATGTAGGGAAGCAGTCATTGCCCAAACGGCAAGAAGGTTGTCTCGGTCATAAGAAAGAGTAGCCAGGCGCTCATGCCTGTGAACCACTCCACAAATCCTCTATTCAATTCACGCAACTCCCCTATTCTGATTCGGATTTCATGTCATAAGCATCTTGAAATCCTGAACAGCTGGTCGTGAAAAGGACCGGGTCCCTTCCGACCACGAGTTATGGGCGCTTTAATCATGGCACTGAAACTTGATGTTGGCTCAATTGATGTGGTCTTTTACGCCTGGTAGGTGGGAACACCGAGGTCCAAACAACAAGCAGAGCACACTCACATGCCAGATTCATGCTTGAAGTGCTGACAACTGAGCGCCAGAGTACAGTCAGGCCAAAGGGTGGGTACAGTGATCCCCCACAACAAATGAGGTTCGTTTAAAACCAGTTTTCAGGGCTTTAAAATATGATTGTCATGTTTAGGTAAACATGCGGCCATCAAAACGCAAGGACACCATGCAATTTTGGACCCTTCAGGCTTGTACTTTTGACAGTTTTGAACACATCTGCACGTTTCCATCTCTCCGCGTCCATTTCGGAAGGTGGAAGTGACTCTCAGCATTGACTTGGCAGGGTGTTGTGCAAGCTGTCCTCCAAGTCGTGAGATTCTGACTCAACTGAAAGATTGAGAAACACCCAGGCCGTCTTTTCGATCCACTGGGGAAACCACCAAAAAGATTCGATGCTTCCCACATGATCCACATGGGAAAAGTTCCCCATGGTCAAAACTGGGGGTGTTGAAAGGAATGTTGATCAACCCCCACTTGGCTCGGGTCGAGCGCAAACTTCGCCTCGAAGAGCATGGTCAAAGTCCGGGGAATCAACCCCCGGTCCGCAAAGTGCCGCGCGCCACCCATGATGGCCTCAAGGGTCCGTCCATTCGATCGGCTGGGGACCCATCAAATACCCTCTCTCCCACTGCCATGGCACCTGACAGAGGGTCCTCCAAGAGGAACCTGATCTTCCAGGTACCCTTCCAGGAAGGAAATCATTTTCCCCCCAGCCCATCAAAAGCCCGCTTCGCCGCACGGCCCCCGAATTGGCGTGGCGTGCAGCCGAAGCCCCGAGGCCGAGGGGCATAGGACTTGCCGCCCCCAGCGGCCCCGAGCGCAACAAAGGCCGCGCTGCTCGCCTGGCGACCCGAAGCCCGCAGTGGCCAACTGCCTGCTGGGGTGTGGGGGCGAAGCTTGGGGGGGGGGGGGGAATTGTCTTTGACCCGTTTTTGGATGGTTTTAACAGGAAAAGAGGAAACCACCTTGGAGGGGTCCCCGATTTGAGAAACACCCATATGGTGCGAGAGATGCTGGGAATGAAAAATTGGCAGGGCCCGAGAAAAACCATCCAACTAGTGGTTTCCTTTAAGGGCACCAAAGCCTGGGTTCATTCACACATTCTGAACCAACACAAGCACCTTACTCAAACCAACCCCACGGATCGAGCAGTTTTCCCTTTCGCATTGAGAGGTGAAAATGGGTGGACCCCCCGCCCAAAAAAAATAAGGTGTTTCCTTTTGGTCTCCCTTTAAACCAAGCCCTTTTAAACGTTCCCGCAAAAACAGGCCCAGTTGGGTCTGTCTTGAGGGTATCCCCATTTCTGTGGTCGTACAGAAAAACAAAAGGAAACAACCGTTTTTGTTGGGTCCCATACCAAAACGGCATACCCATATTGCTCAGCTGACGTAAACATGTTTTAAACAGGGGGGCCTTGGTTGTTTTCATTTGGTCCTCCATGCAACCACCAAAGGGAGGAGTTGTTGCCCCGACAAAGGATGAGAGTCGCAACATGCCCAAAGGCGTGCATCCTGCCACTTGGCTCTTCACCCAAAGCCGTGGATGTGTAAATGATTAGAACCAAACTGACACCGGCATAGGTAAAAAAAAAACACCAGGATATGGACCGCAGGTTCTAGTCCTTGGCTGCAAAATACCAGGAACACTATTTTGGGTTCCTGTATTTGACCGGCAGCCACACCAGTGGAATCCACTTATCTTCATCATTCTTCATCCAAGCAGATCTAAGGACTCCGATGGAGAAAAACCAAACAAAACACATACCGCGCAATGGGGATTCAAAGTTTAGGGTGGAGGGTTCGTTCTCTTCAGGGATCTTCAGGTATATACCCTAACTGCATGTAGCCTGACTGGCCTCTGAAAGATCATGATCCTTTCAAAGGGAGCTTTCAGATATCATGTACGAGAGCCTTGAGTCCAACCAAAACACTGGGAATCTAGGTCCTCCAGTAGAGAGGTTAGAATAAGGGTGCCCTTTTTTCTGTAGTCTACTTTAGTAGGGGAACCCTCCCCGAAAAAACAAACCGTAAAAGGCACTACTGGGGGACCTAGGAATTCTGGGTCCCAACTCAATTCCCGCTCCCTTTAGGTTTCAGCAAAGCCAACGGACCTTTTCTGCAAATCAACTGTACGACGTTTTAGGTCCCCACGTGGCGCATGGCGGTTTTGCAAAACCGCCACGTCCTCAAATCCAGACCATTGCTTTGTCGCGTGCTGGGAGATTGGGAACCCAATTTGAATGGTTTCAAGCGAAACACAAGGAACACACCAACCACTTTGCGGGGTTGTCGGGCTAGTGACTGGTAAGAAACTGAACATCAGTGTCTTAGCTTTATGCGTTCTGCCATGGTGTCTGCTTGACATCCTTTGAAAGCAACAGAGAAGCCTGAGCAAGTTGGACAAGGATCACCAACTAACTGTTTGATCCTGGCTAAACTTTGAACGCTGAGTGGGGCATGTCAACTCCTAAAAATAACCTACCTGGAGTCTCCTTCTGACTCTTTCAAAATGGGGTCATGACACAATAAACATTGTTGGCTCATGACCAACCATTTTCTGAGGATCAGAAGACTCCAGGCAGAGCTCCAGGGGGGGCCACAAAAAAAGACCAAGAAGTCTGAGGGTTGTGGCTCGACACCAGGAAACAGCCACTAGTACAAGTCTCGGTTGCGCCCCCAGCTCCGGCGATCCGGCGATCCGATCACTGGCCTCATCCAGGGCCGCAGCGACTGCGTCCTTGGCGACCTCCTGGAAGACCATGTCCTGCCACTTGCGTTTAGGATGGAAGAAATAACAACATGTCCAGTGATCGAGCTCCTTTAAAACAGGGAAAATAAAGAATAGTCTTAAGCAAATGGAAGGAAGCAAATCCCTTGGGACCTGATGCAAAGAGCCGAACACTTTAGTGTCACTTTGGTGCCTCCTCGCAAAGTACGGGCCGGGGATAGCATGCCCCGGCCCCGGCCCCAACCTGTAGCCCCCTGGCCACGCTTCCACCGGTTTCAAAGAGAGGACCCGCGAGTATGGGACACGCGAAAACTGGCAACCAAATGGCCGAACTTCAAGCTTCTGGGGAACGACATCCTTGTGACACGCGGGGCGCGTTTCGCGGTCAGGGGCCAAGGAGTTGGGCCACGGTCCATGGCAGGGTTTGGGGGGCCCCCCTGGAAGACGCAGGGGGGGACTTGTTTTTTTGGGACATCCAAATTCGGTGGGGATTTATGTCCCCCAAGCATTTTAGAGAGGTTCCTCTATTAACACTCATAGCATTTCTTTCCAGAAGTCCTTGCGTCGAGGCCCTGGCCTTGACGCATCGCGCGTTGAAACCGCAACCCTTTGGCTGTAAAGATGACTTGCCACCCGAAGGACGGAAATGGGGCATCGTGAATTGCCATGGGTTGTGGACACCTTGTGGTTCCAAGTCTACAACATCGCAGGCCCAATCTAATTGCTTTGGCTTCCTTTCAAGGTCGGAAGGAATTTCAGCTAAGGCGGACCTTTGTCACGCCCCTTGGTTTTCCCAATCGGAAACTCTTTCCGCGAGACGAGTGGGTCATTTTGAGGTGTTTCATTCCCATGTCAAAGTGTAGCCACAACAAACAATGTCGCTCACAAACATCTAACAATTCACCAACCCATAGAAGGAAACCCTTCAAAGGCACTGTTGCTCTTCGCGCAGGTGTCAGCTCAAAACATCCAAGGAAACTCAACAAATTCACCGGGATGTCAACGGGTAAGTCGCTCTGTCAGAACGTTGAATGGGAGAAAATTTCAAATCTGCCTCCGGGACCTTAGGGCCCCAACCTGGAGGCCTGGGCCATGGATGCGCAAATCCACACCGAGAGGACAACATGTGGGTCAAAATTGGTTCTAAAATGGGTGCACCGAAAGCCCCAAAACGGGGCATCCAAAACGGTTTTGACCACAATGTCAAAAGGTCGTCAAAAACTCTGCGATGGCTCCTGCGGAGTGCCAGGCACAAGCACGCGGTCGAAGGGCACACGGTATCCATCCACGTGAAGACCTCGTGTGGCGCAAGCACATTCTAGCCGGTGTCTGGAAAAGCAGAGGGCTTCTGGAGTATGCGAGTCGCGTGCAAAACACAGAGGAACACATGTGTGTATATATATATATATGTATATGTGTGTATCAGTCTTTGACTCAAAATGCCAGTGAACAATCAATCAAATGGCACTATAGTTCATGATGACATGTACATATGTCAACATTGTTTAATACATAACATAGTATTGTTTAAATATATAGTTAAATGAGCACATGTGTAAAATAACACACCATGTGCAATACTGTATATGTATATATATATATTACACACTATACACATACAGAATATTGTATATATATATATACCTGGATCTTCTGAGGGAGCGTAATTTCTGCCGTTTGGCCAAACTGCAGAAAATGTCGCCGTCTCAATTAATTTCAGCCGTTTCAATCAATACTTGCCGTTTTGCGAATTTCCTGCAGTTTCGTTCATGCTGACAAAGCTGTTTTGCGTCATGGCCCCAATTTAGTGCGGACAAATGCGCCTGGAGGTGTGTGAAGGGCATGGCAAGTAAAATGCTGTAAGATGCCCAGATTGCAAAGTTGCTTAAAAGCTTCGGATAGCAGGATAAATCCTGCTACTGCCGCGCATCCCTGAGCAAAGCCAGTAGCGTTGTTCAAGCACGTGCGCAAGATTTCTGAGCTGTCTTTCGTATCTGTCAGTGGTGGCGCTCAAGAGCCCTGATCTGGAACCAACATCCTGAGAATTCCAGACTTGCGTGCGCAAAGATGCGAGACCTGTAGCTTAAGCTCCTCACTCTCTTTTTTTTCCCGAGTCGCAGTCACCGCTCGCACCTTCTCAGCACAGCACGCCACCAACACGAATCACATCACCACTTAATTTTTGGTTTCAGACAGTGCCAACATCAGCAAGTTTAATTGAATTTAATATGTTGTGGCTGCTTACTCATATATTCTTGTCAAATGTGACTGCAGCCAGAATGATGACCGACAGTCATTTCCGAGGACAGCCTGTGCAACAGATTTCTTCCTGGGAGAGCCCATCTGATAGAGCAGCGTGTGAAGTGAACCGGCAAGCGCTATGAATGTGGTTCGCTAAAAACCGCCGTTTGGCCGCAAAATATCGCCGTTTGGCCGCAAATTATCGCCGTTTTGTTTCTGCAAGTTTGGACACAGTTGCCTGAATCTTTCCAAGGCGACACAACTCGGGGTCTTTCCCTCTAGGGCTGTGATGGCAAGCCCTGTTGCAATTCAGAAATTGACGCTTCCCAGGTGACCCCAGGTGTGCGCAGCAGTAAACAAAGCCATCCAACAGCAATATCACGGCAACTGCTGAAGTAGCAACTGACATTCTTATGTGTTGGCGTGGTTCCCTCGTATCTCCTCGTTTCGCATGCTTCCAACCTTCTTGGCTTGCATGCAAACCAGCCTAAAGCGAATTGGCCTTCCATCCTAACATTGTGCCGATAACCACTATGCAAGACTTGCCCTTCTGACGTTAGGAAGGCATTTCAAGCTAAACGTGCGCCCAGTTTTAGTCGCAAATAGTTTCAACAACTCAGCAAAAAACACTTGACATTGTGTGATTCGTAAGGCCATTAGAGATCTTACCACTCAGAGTGTTGCTTGAAATGGTTATAACCTTCGCCGCGCAGCAGCGCTAAAACCAGTTCATGCCCCAGTCCTGCGCCGGCAACAAGTGGTTGGATGCTGTTTGCTGGACCTCCAATACTCAAGAGGCGTGATAATCAAACAAATAGATCGCTGCGGCGCTAGTGCTGCGAAGTCAAGTGCATCACATTCGACCAGAACCAGCATACTGGCATGAGTTTCAAGCACCCTGATGCTGAAAAGAGGAAAAGCGCAGTTTGCATCAAAATGCGCCGTCTCAACTTAAAACCTGGTTGTGCCTGAAACTGCTGAAATTATGCCCCTCTTGGAAGATACAGGTATATATATATATATATATGTATTGGTTGATATCTGCCGGCGCCTTACGCTGAAAAGGCGGCTGGCCGCCTGGGAAAGATGGAACGCACATACACGATGCGATTGTCCCATTAGACTCCCCCACGCTCTGGGCCCAAATCCTGACAGTGCAACACAATCAAAACCCGGTATTAAAATGGTCTACCCAGAACCATGTAAAGAATTAAGAAGGCGGCCGCAGCTATTTATGGTTGGGATTGTCCCTTACTAACCTTCATCTACCCGGGTTTTGATTGTGGCTCAGGTTCTCTCTTGGCATCTTCTGAGTCTCAATTCCAGCCTGGGACGGGCTTCAACAGCACCATGGTATTAGTCAAGAAAATGGTCTGTCCGCATGGCATGGCTGCATGCATCCCCGCACAGAGATATGTGTATGCGAGATTGGACTGTTGTGCTAGGATTGTTACAATCCAGGAACAACCTTAGGCCGATACAGCAATGGGGATTCTGGTGGTGTCGAACATTCCAGCCGCAAATAATGCATGCAGCCATGGGAATGCTGGTGTCAACAGTCTTTAGCTGTATTGCATACACGGTTCGAACCTTCCGTTGGATATCGCCTAGACTCCCAGCGTCCCTGCTGGGACCAGATCCAAACATGCGCGCGTTCTTTGGGCATCTTCTGGAGCTCAACTAGTGGTTGTCCCTTTGGTTCCCAAGCCCAACCCTCCCCCGCCACCCCCCTTCGCCTCATCTGCGCCACATTGAAGCCCTCCCAAAATGGGGCCCCGGCATTTGTCCTCGATGGAGAAGTTCGGCTCCAGGAACTCCGAGTGCGGGTGCACCACGGCGAGGTGCCGAATGGGCGCCATGAGCGGAGCGCTTTGGAGTGAGCCTCTCGCCTTTTGTTTGTCTTCTGCTTTCTTCTCTCTCTACTTTAATTGGCTATCTATGTCAAGTTCCATCTAACTAGCTAACAATCTCTCTCTCTCTCCTTCTCTCTCTGCACTGTATCTAGCTATCCACCTAATTCTATCTACCTATCTAACAATCTCTCTCTGTCTCTCTCTTCCCTCTCCCTCTCTTTCTGTGACTGGTTTTGTTTTGACTGGCACGTAAAGTTGGTACGATAAAACATGACCTGTGTTCACTTGATCTTCATAATATTGACGAAGACACCGTTCAACAAAAAGCTTACAGTTTGCCAACTGAACTGGCAATCTCTCTCTCTCTCTCTCTCTCCAACAGTTGTGTGAAATCTATGTGTTAGGTGATTGCTGTAAAACTTCTCCGGATCCAGCTGGGTCACATGCGACTGTGTTGCTTCTGTGTGATCCCTGCGAAATGACTGGCGAATCCCTGAAGAAGAGTGTGCACATCCTCTAAGTCTGAGTAGTAGACTTCCTGGGAGTGTACAATCCAGGGCACTACGTGATGCTAGCCTGCTGGCCGGAAAAGTATAGCTATAGCTGTAACTCTCCTCCGAATACGTCTTCTGATTGACACTCGTTAAGTTGCAGTCTGCAATCAACGTCCTCCGAATCAGTGAGAAGCCGGTTGCCCATCCCAGGCATTCCACCACAGTAGGGAACCAGGCATTTTCCTGCTGTTTTGAAGTGGCAGTTCCCCTGGTTACCTATACGGGTTCATGGAACCCCTTGATTGGATATGCAACAGGGTTCCGCAGCCGTATCTTCCACCCATACATATCACCCTTGAAAGGAAACCGATGATGTCTAACATCGCCGCCCCGGGCCCAAGGACCCCTGGCTGACATCGCCCCAAGACATCCCATGTGGCACAAGGCGACGTCATCCGAGCCATCCCAGTGGCTGCCACAGGCGCGCGACGAGCGGCTAAGGGGGGAAGATGGGGAATGGGCACCTTCTTGCACGTTTCTCAGCAAAGAGGAAACAAGCCATTTTTTCTTGACCCCTAGTTTGAGAAACCCACACCTGAAACCTCGCAAAATGCTATTGGGGCAATCTCGTCAAAAGGGGATCCCTCGTTTGGGTTGCATCTGGATGTGGACTGTAGGGACCTTTGCAGGCCCAGGGTTCCCCGAGCACAAATCCGGTTTAGAACCCAGAGGCTTAAGCTCACGAAATCCCCACAGAAACGGCGCCATCGGATGGCGGCATGGGCGGATGGCGCCATCGGTGTGCGTTTGCTCGAAAACCAAAACCGA